AACTGTAGGAACTAAAATCTGTGCATACAATATAATAAATACCCGCTACTTAATTTACAGACAAAATAGAGTATTAAAAAAAAACAAAAAAAAACCCTGTTGTTAAATACACACATTTTAAGACCAAAATGAGGAGCCTGACAGTGTCACGGTTCATGTTTTGTAGTCGTTGTTTTTGCTTATTTTGGTGTATCTTTGCCTTTACTGTTGTGTGCCCTTGGTGTTTTATACTGACATTTGTCCCGTCTGCTTCTAGTTTTGAGTTTTACTTCCTGTCTTGATTGTTTGCCCCGCCCTGATGTGTTTCACCTGCATCTGTGTGCATATATACCCTGTGTTCTGCTTTGCCCTTTGTTGGATCATGTCTGTTGTAGTTTCAATTTTAGATTTTTGGAACTATGTGGTTTTTTTTGGGATCTTTTTTGTTCGTATTTAAAGAACTTTAAAGCAGTCCTGCATTTTAGGTCCTCCCTTTATTTCCACGTGACAGACATGAGCAGATACAGAGCGAGGCCTGACGGCTTTTCAATAGAAAGCCAGAATCGATGGAGCCAGAAGCGCGTCCATGCTCACTTCCTATTTGGTTAGCTATGTCCATTTATATAAACAGTCTATGTCCTCCCACACACAAACACTGAAGTCTCCAAAGGCATAAAAAGATGAGCTCATTTCACATTAGTCATCGGTCACTCGATCACAGCACGACCTGAAGAGAACAAAGGGGACCGCAGATGGGACCCCGACTGAGAGATACGAACACTTAAAGAGGTTTAAAAAGGACAGGAAATGACATCACGGAGGAAAAAATGCTCTCATGGGTTCTCAAATTATTGTTTCATTTAATGGTACTGATGATTTGTGGTTTTATATTAAATTTACCGTGGTTTAAACTTTTATATCGAGTCCAGTTAAAGATTTAAACTATAATCTTGAGTTAGTCCTGGTTCGGTGCACATTTTGTTCTTAAAGCCACGCTGTGTAACATTTCCGGGTATGGGCACGCAAATTCCTTGTTAAAGACTTCGGGAAATTCGCAGCACTAGAACTATTTAGAAGTCAGGTCTGTGGAGAGACAATCCCGCTTGCATTAAGTAAGGATTCACATTTTTCTAAGTATTTCTGAGCATAAATGATTGTTCTAATATGAATACTATTACTTAAAGGTACACTATGTAACTTTTTGCTTGGGGCATCGTCACCTGCTTGTAGGGCTGCTCGATTATGAAAAAAATCATTGTCAAGTTTATTTTGGTCAATATTGAAATCACATTTAAATGATTTTTTTTTTGTTACGCAATGCATTTATTCAGCATTTCTCTCTCAAAAAAACACTTTGTTATTGATAATTTACACAAAACATTTAAATTGAAAGTAAATTCAGGCTACAAATATGAACCTTAGAGCAGTTTTGCAATGTATAAAACAAAACAAAAATTAATAAAATATTTGAACATGAAATAAGACATAGAAAAACATAAATGTATCCAAAATAAACTATATATCCAGCTGTTCTACAATCTCTGAACTTAAAAAATAAAATAAATATACTTATTTATATAACAAAACCATCCCAAAATAAACTTTCAACTCGATTATATGAGTTTGGAGATCGATTGACACACAAATCGAAATCACAATCAAAATTAAACAGCTCTACTTTACATTTATTCAGTTAAAGGTGGTTTTATAGATCAAAAAATACCTACAAAACAGGGATTTTGACTGTGAGCGGGGTCGCCTCTCCACAGATGTGACCTGTAACGTGGTCTGGTTCAGTTTCCAGGAAGACAGAAAGGTTTAATATCATACTGTGAAACATTCCGATCAAGGTAATTTCCGATCCGAAAGTAAAAATGGAGAAACTAATTCGACGGACCTTCCAGCTGAAAAATTACACAAAGAACCTTCGATTTAATGGCTGAAATGTTACACAATAAGACTTTAATTAGTACCACATTATCATCTTAGTAATAGTGTTCACCTTTTACATTTCAGTACCTGTTTGAGAATCCAACTTCCAAACGTGAGGTGAGAAAAGCCAGAGAGGAAGTAATAACTCAACGTGACAGTGATGAAAAATGGGAGGCTTAATAATGAATGGGACATATATATTTGCGAGAGTTCTTAAAGGACAGGAAGTGACATCATCGAGTGAAACGGCCTTTGAAGCTGAAGCTGATCGAAGTGAAAGGAGTCTCTGTGCTCCTGAGGAGGCCGCAGTAAAACAGTGAGGGGCACATTCCTGACTCTGCTCCCGAACCACAACAACAATAAAGTCAAGATCAGCATTAAACACAGCTGTGCGCAATACATCTGCAAGGCACTACTGTACTACTACTACTAATATTACTACTAATACTATTACTAATACTACTACTAATACACCTACTACTACACTGCTCAAAGTACGTACAATGCTCCCATTAAAAACGACGACTACTAATACTGCTAATTTCAATTGCTTCCACTGTTCGACCACAAATATATACTACTTACTACTACTACTACTACTACTACTACTACTGCTACTACTATTGCTAAAAGTACTATTTTGAAAGCTCCTATTACAAACAACCTCCTAGTATTATCCATCCTAGTGTTACAAATATCACCAACTACTACTACTGTCACTACTACCGCTTCTGCTACTACTACTACTATCACTACTACTACTACTGCTACTGCTACTACTGCAAATATTACTACTACTACTACTGCTGCTACTACTACTGCAACTATTACTACTACTGCTGCTACTACTACTGCTGCAACTATTACTACTACTGCTGCAACTATTACTACTACTGCTGCTACTACTACTGCAACTATTACTACTACTGCTGCTACTACTACTGCTGCAACTATTACTACTACTGCTGCAACTATTACTACTACTGCTGCTACTACTACTGCTGCAACTATTACTACTACTGCTGCTGCTTCTACTACTGCTGCAACTATTACTACTACTGCTGCTACTACTACTGTTATTATTGCTGTTACTACTGTTGCTACTACTGCTACTTTTACTTCTATTGCTGCTACTACTACTATTACTACTACGGCTACTGCTACTGTTACTACTACTACTGCTACTACTACTACTATTACTACTACCACCACTTCTATGGCTACTGCTACTGCTACTACTACTACTATTACTACTGCTGCTGCTGCTGCTACTGCAAAAAGTACTATTTTAAATCCTCCTATTACACACAATCCCTGCTACTACTACTACTGTTGCTACTCCTATTGCTAAAATACTTTTTTGAATCCTAGTATTACAACAACAACTACTAATACAACCACAACTACCACTACTACTGCCAGTACCACTACCACTACCACCATGTCTACTACTACTACTACAACTGCATCAGCTGACCCCACACTCTACTCGTGTTAATAGCATCACTAGTAAATTTAGATTACAGTAGATCCTTATTATATCTTTGTTCTCAGCTGCTTGTGTAAAACATACCAAAAATGCCTCCGCATTATTCAAAACTGACACTATCGTCACAGCAGCAGAAGAATAATTTCCAAACCACACACTCCTCCACTTTAGAACTGAGTCAACTGCACATGAAGCATTTTAAAAGACGTGTGACTCAGCTGACGCGCACGTAAAAGTCTGACCGTCCAGTGTGGTCTTGAACGCACCATCCCTTACCTCACTGTCTGTGGCGGTGATGAGCCAGACCCCCTCAGAGAGACCCACCATGATCCACGACACACACACACACACAGCTGCATCACGCTCACAGTACAGTTTTCCGATTGAAACTGGACCAGCACATAAATAATAAGACCCTACTGGCCTCACCATATATGCAGTTTTACACTTAAGTACTAACAGTATGAAATATTCGAGTTATTTAAAGGTCACATATTACACAAAATAGACTCTTGTGAGCTTTGAGCCGTGTTACAATGTTCTTACCTCCTCAAAATCAAACCTGGAGTTGTGTTTTGTTTCATTCACACATGTTTGAGTAATCCTTTATTATTAGTCTGTCTACAACACCAAAGTTCATAATGCTCTGTTCCAACTTGTGATGTCATGAAGTGGTAGTTTTCAAGTTAACAGCCCCTTTTACCTTTAGTTTAGTAGAGAGATTGGTATTTCCAGGGCTGAAATCATCCAAATGACTGTAGTGTATGAAGGTTAAACATATAGTGTAATGTATTACCACATGACGTCACAATAATAATGGATCGGTTTTATATAGCGATTTTTTGGACACTCAAAGACGTTTTACAGCATTATTCTTTCATGACTTGGTATTTGTGCAGACTGATGGAAGCGAGGCTGCCATTCTGCACCATCAGCTCTTCTGACCAATCATCACCAATCACACGCACACACCACTTTTTTACTGGGCTATGTGGGTGTAGAGCCTTGCCTAAGGACACAATGGCAGTTTTTTGCCACTGGAGTCCTACTGTGGCACTTGGTATTCCCAGTGGTCTCCCATCCAAGTCCTAACCAGGCCCAGCCTTGCTTAGCTTTTGAGATCTGATGAGATCAGGTTTTAATAAACCACTATGGCCACAAGGTGGAACAGAGTGTTTTTTAGTTTGAGAAAAGAACAAAATGTGAAGAATTTCTGTTTTAAACATGTGTGGCTGAAACAAAACACAACCCAGGTATGTTTGTGTTGAGGAAACAACATTATAACAGATCAGAAAACAGTGTAATACTGCTCTTTACTAACTACTTTAAATACTTTCTGTAGGCTTGGTATTTCTGTAAAATTTTGGTGCATATGAAAACACGTATAGGCAAGGTAAAAGAAGGGGAACTAAACAGTCTACCCTGTGGTTAGTGGGCACAGAGCAAATGCATTCTTCTACTAATACAACAACTTTGATAAACCAGTGCATATTTCCATCAACATTCCTCAAGTGAAAAAGGCTTAATCACAAACAGTAAAAGCTCTTTGTAGATCGTGTGGTGAAAGTGTGCAAACTTTAAACCAAAACGCTCGTCCTACCTTGAACTCGTGTAGCTGCTGTTTGATGGTGTCCACCTCTGTCCCCACCACGGCCTGAGCCTCCAGCCCCTCCTCCGCCCGTCCCAGCATGCTTTGCAGCTCGGAGACCAGGCGGTAAAAGTCCCGCACGCGCTCAGAAGCATCCTCGATCTGATCCAAGCGGGCCTGACCACGCTCACTCAGCTAAAAGAGAGACATGATTTATTACATAAAAGAAACATAAAATAAGGTGGCGAAAATATTTTAAACGGCATTAGCATTTTTTCACTTGTATTATATTGCAAATCTTCTACATCACAAATCATTACATTAGTTCTTCTTATTCACCTTGCCCGCCTGTCGACTCAGCGCCTCGGTCTCTCTCCTGAGGGCGAGCAGGTCTGGAGATGACCCCTCTCTTCGGAGCATGTTGGTACATTCGGCGGCGTGGGCCTCGAGCTGGGACCTCACTGTGCTCAAACGGGACAGGAACCCTTTGAGCACGTCTGCCTGGGAGGAGAGGGAGTCTGCGTCCCTCCCCACGGGGCAGAGGGAGTCCAGCTCATCGTCCAGATCGGCCAAACGAGAGAAGACGTCGCGCACATGAGACTGGACCTCACTGACGCCCTGCAGACGCGACTCCAGAGACGAACAGCAAGACTCGATCTGAAGAACAGATGGAGGAGATAAGTTCAGAAAATGCATGGATTTTAACAGTTTTACTTGTTTTACTCTAACATGAGCCACATTTTATGCTCATCATGTGTAAGATAATTTATTAAAGCCACAGTATGTAAGTTTTAAGAAAAGTTAGTTTTATGTTTTATCATTTTTGGTTGTGTTTACAGCATTAAAAAACATCAAATAACACAATGTCCTTCCAGTTCGGGGGCCTGCATCTCCACAAACCTCTTTCATTTGGCCTGCTGACCTCATCTTGCTTGTTTCATTGGCTTTTATCTTCCATAAAATGTATCATAGAAGTCTGGTTTTAAATTCTTATTTCTGTGAAATCATGCAAATAAAGTGCCACCTCCATAAAGTCACATAGTGTACCTTTAAGTGAGTTTATCCATTTTATAGAGATTGATATTGATGGTGAACTGGTTACTGCTGTAGAAGTTTTCAGCTTGTCTAAGAAAGAGTAGAAATAAAAGGCTGGAGACCAACGGATGTCTTAAGCAGGACAAGTATATTTACTATCAATAATTTGGGCCCGGGGGACTTGAAAATTCAACATAGTATGAATTCAAAAGAGAACATAATATAATAATTGAGTGTTCAAGCCGCTTGACTCTGCTTCCAGAGAAGGAGGTTTATAAAGTAAGTGTGCTGAGACTATGAAGGCCAGTAGACATCGGTTAGACAGAAATATGCCACAATTTAGATAATGATGTGTCAATGATGTGCCAAGGGAAGATGATCGTGTGACTATAGCTCCTGTGAGTCAATGTTAAACTGTAGGTGGAGGATAAATTACTTAAATTCTCTCACAGTTACTAGTCAGACTGAATGTAAAAAAAAAAAAAAAAAAAGATTACTGACAGATGTGCCTAACGTCCGTAACGTCCAATATAAAACAAATATATAAAAGCAAACAAAAGAGCTCTGGAACAAGCCAATAAACTGCTAAGTCACTACTGATAAATACAAGTATCACACTGTTGCATCTTATACTTCAGTATTTAGCATGTTAAAATCTCTGTTGGTTTAACATTAGGTCAACTGAAAAATCAGTGGAAAATACATTCAGTTTACTAGATTTTTTGTTGCATAAGCTGACAGTGAAGGTTCAGAGGAGCAGTGACATACATTACTGTGGCACATATTCACAGCACCTACGTGTGACCCACTTCTGGATCCTGAGCCACCAGTTCAACAAGTCAGTTTGAACTATGCTTAAATTATATAGGATGAACTCATTTAAAACCAATATTTTTTGACATTTATTGTATCACATATCATCTTTGCTGATCCTGATAAGAACTGTGTATTATTTACTCTAAAAGACAATTCCAAAGTATAAATAGATTTTTGAAAAAGTTTTATTCACGTGGTAGGACTCATAACTCTACCATACCATTGTCTATTTAAAGAATATTAAAAACAGCATTAAATAAACTAAAGTAGCGCCAGACATGTCAGAGCAAAACTCCTACTTGGCTGGTTTACATTTCACACCATGACAAAACGCTGCATGTCCACAATGACCATAAAAGACAACTGTAAGCCAAAGATCCAACCGTCAAAACAACTGTGGAGCTGCTCTGGTTTATCTCAATGTTAGAACACTTAACACCGCGCACCTACACACAAATATATGCACACCAAAATAACCCACACCTCCTCGCCATGACCGCGTGTATAAATAGGGCTACTGCTTTTGCATTTCTTCACTCACAAGCTCATAAATTAAAACTCTATCTAGGCACCACCGCTACCTATGTCCATGATGTTTCAATTTGTGCCCTGTTTACGTTGGGTTTTCAGCAGTTTTCATTGGCTGTAGTTTTGCCCAAAAGGGAAAACATTTAAGACGGCGTTGATAGCTAAAGCTGTGCTACAAAAATACACAAACAAGCCGCTTTCTTTACATTTTATGAGGTGCTGAAAGAGTCGGATGCCCCGGAGTATTTGGGCAAGCTTTGAACAAATAGGCCTAATTTATACATCGACATGCGACTCGTAAAAGGTTTTTCCTATATTGACAGAGTTTTAAAGGGATTTCTACACACTAAAATTCCTTTAAACACTACTACTATTGTTATCGCTGTTATTGCTACCATCAGAGTAAAACATTAAAGAGGAGGTATTATAAAAAAAATAAATTTTTGTTTATCTTTCTACCAGGTTATAACGTGATATACATACCTTTTATTGTTTTGAAAATGTCATATTTGACGAAAGATATATATTACTATTATTATTTGATGTTTTGATTCTCCTTTTTCTTTGCTCCTTGTGTTAAGTCACTCCCCCTTCACAGCACCATCACATTAAATTCAGAGCGTATCCCACTAAATGAAACTACTGCATGTCAAGTTGCTGTGTGCAGTTTTGTATCATGTTTTTGGATATTTATGGAGAATTATCGTGTGGGAGCATTGGTGACGTAGGATTGTGGGCAGAGAATTGGACAGAATATTTCAGTTAACAGTAAAAAGGGTTGGAAAAGGGCCTGGGAGAGATCACTAAATTACTAAAACGTGCATCATGACATCTAAAACCTCTTCAGACATGTTTTTGATGTTTTGGGCAATATTATAACATGGTAAAAGCTAAAAAAAATGATTGTGCATAATACCCCCTCTTTTCAGTAAAGGGCCATTCCAAGCCCAAATCTCCGAATGCCCCCACCACCATCTCAGATTTGACTAAAAAAATTCAATATCAAACCTCTGTCTTTGAAATTGCACTTTTCATAGTCCTTCAAAGATGCCCTCAAATTTGAAAAGTTAAATTTTTGAGCAAATTCAAGACCCCAGAAATGTATGATAAATCAAAAGTGTAAAAGTCCATATTTTACAAGTACATCTGACAAATTTTAACCCTTAAAAATTTGAAGGCCCAACCTTAAATAGTTTTTTTTAGATACAGCAATCTGAAAGTGGCTTCCTTGGACAACTCTGCTCAAAACAGGTCAGGGCAGAGTTGACAAAATATCTTTTAATGACAAAACTATAAGGAGTTGGGAGATAAAATTTGGGAGTTTTCCTGTTGGAAAGTGTGTGAACCTTCTAGAATTTTTTCAGTCAAATCTGAGATGGTCGGATGGGGGCATTTGGAGATTTGGCGTGGAATGACCCTAAACCTATTTCTAAATATTTACAATTGTTAAAAAAAACAAGCTGAATATTTCAAATAGCATTATAAAACACTTGAAAATCAATCAAAAATTGCCTAGTAATTTTCAATAAATAAATGACAATAACATTAGGAAACCTCACCTTGTCAGTAACTTCTTCATACTCCTTCTCTGTGTCTTTGGCCTGATTCTGGAGCCTGTCGGCCCCTTCAGTGCTGCCCCCTGGTGTCTGTGGGGCGTCCTGCACCAGCCCCTGGGCCAGGTCTTTGAGGTAGACCACCTGCGGCTGGAGCGACCTCAGACTGTCCTGTTGACTGCGCAGTCTCTCCAGGCTCTTAGCGCTGCACGCCTACACGGACCACAGACATGAGCAGAGGTTACATGAGCCGTAAATCTAATCTCAAGACTGTTTAACACATTTGAAATATAAGATACAGTTTCAATGAGTAGTCAGGCTGTACAACATGAAAAAAAATATTATAGTATTAGAAAATAACTAAATAATAGAAAATATGTAGTTTAATATTCTTTGCCTTTTTTATTATTATTTTATTTTATTAATATATTATTTTATAATTTATTGTATTATTTATTAAATTTATTTATTTATTTGTATTATTACTTTATTTAGTCAGAACTGTGTCACACTTAAAATGTAATACTTAGGCAGTTCTGAGACAATCCCAAATATGTAATAATAAAATCAATGTATTAATAATAAAATCTAATAATCTATTCTATTAAATCTATGTATTTGAAATGACTGGATACATTTAGTCACAATATACTGTAAATAGACTTGTGTGTTTGTTATCAGTGCATCAAAAATCTGATCATAATCTGATTTCTGGAGTTGTCAAAGAGTCAAATCTGATCCTGTGAGAAATGTTTTTGTTTTACTTTTATTTCTTTTAATATGGCTAAGAGATTTTGACGATGAGATGACAATATATTCACGAGTTACTGAAACTGCTGCCATGGCAATTTAAAATAAAATCATCTCTTGAAGGCTAAAAAGTCCTCAAAATATCACCTAAAACAAGAAGCTGAAACCCATTCTTCTGCTATATATATACCTGGTCCTTATACACCTGTGGTCCTTCTGTACCTGTGGTCCTTATACACCTGTCTTTCTTATATACCTGTGGTCCTAGCGCCTCCTGGACTTCGATCTGGTGCTTGGCGGCCTCGAGCCTCCTCTCCACAGCCGCTCTGCCCTCCTCAAACTCCCTGAGACGAGTGCTGAGCTCCTCCAGGTGAGACGTCCTGTTGTGGACACTCTCCCCCAGACGGTCCACTCGACGGTTCAGCTGGGCCTTCTCATCCCTCACCTGAAAGAGCAGGGGACAAAATACAAGGAATTAAGACTTTTTAATCTAAAGTGGGAGACAAGAGACAGTTTCACCAGTGATTATATTGTATTTTCAGATCATTTATACAATTGTTTTCTCATCAAAAACATAAATGCAGTTGTGTTTTATTCACACATGTTCAACACAAAAAAAACCCTGCATGTTTAGTTAATTAAACTAAAACAGGATTTAATCAGGACTGAATCAGGACTAAACCAAGTCTCAAACCAGGACTAAACCAGGACTAAAACAGAATCTAATCAGGACTATACCAGGACTGAACCAGGTCTAGACCAGGTCCAAAACCAGGTCCAAAACCAGGACTACACCAGGAGCAAACCAGGACTAAACCAGATCTAAAACCAGGACTAAACCAGGATTTAATCAGGACTAAACCAGGACTAAAACAGGTCTAAAACCAGGACTAAACCAGAATTTAATCAGGACTAAACCAGGACTAAAACAGGTCTAAAACCAGGACTAAACCAGAATTTAATCAGGACTAAACCAGGACTAAAACAGGTCTAAAACCAGGACTAAACCAGAATTTAATCAGGATTAAACCAGGACTAACTCAGGACTAAACCAGGACTAAAACAGAATTTAATCAGGACTAAACCAGGACTAAACCAGGACTAAAACAGAATTTAATCAGGACTAAACCAGGACTAACCCAGGACCAAACCAGGACTAAAACAGAATTTAATCAGGACTAAACCAGGACCAAACCAGGACAAAACCAGGCCCCCTGTCCTCGAAATACTATCGGACATAAAACTGGTCTGTGGAGCTAAAAAGTTTGAGGACCACTGCTTTAGTACATTAGCTCGTACCTCTTCGTCACCGATACAGCACTGCTCCAGCAGCTGATCGGCCGCGGTGTTAAAAGCTTCCATGTGGGGCTGTCTCCTCTCCAGCTCCAGCCCCAGAGCTTTGGCCTTCAGCAGACACTCGTCCAGCGCAGAAGACTCCAAGGAGGGCTGAATCTCTCTATCCCTCTCCTCACAGTCGGACAACCATGGCACCAGCTCGCTCTTATGCTGCTGGTAGGCCTCTGCTTTGGCTAGAGTATTCTTCAGCTTGCTCTCCCTCTCCGATATTTTCTCATTCAGTCCTTCCCAGTCTCGTTTTAAACCGGTGAGTTGGCATTGCAGCGCGGTTCTTTCGTCTCCTCCGGTTGGTAAAGACGCTAAAAGTGAAGCGCCCTCAGCCTGGAGGAGTTCGTAGGATCCTCTCTGACTGGCTATGCCCCGCTGTAGATCTTCTGTTTGGGACAAGAGGGAGCGGAGGGCATCGGGGGTACAGGGTAAGGACACACTAGAGGCTTCTTTGAGATCCGCCTGTTTGTCCAACCACGACCGGAGCTCCTCAAACATCTGCTGGAACTGCTGTGTGGAGGAGAGAGCCGCCTGAAGCTGGGACAGACCATCAGCTGGAGACGAAGAGACGAGAGATTATTTTAGATCATTCTGGCAGTTTAGACACCTTTAATGTTATTTATTTATTTTTTTATTTCTTGTGCTATGAATAATCAGTTTATGATAATAATATACTTTCCATATGTAAACAAATACAAAACAAAACTACAAGACTACAAGACCATTTTAAATCAAGTGATAATATTTAAAGGTGCAATGTGCAACTTTTCTGGTGGAGAGTCCGTCACTTGCTAGTATCATGGAAATGTTATTGCTTTGTCTAGAACAGGAGTGTCAAACTCATATTCACAGAGGACCAAAATTAAAAATTGGGATGTGGGCCAAACTAAATATTTACTGAAAAATGTGAACAACATCTGCATCTTTTCTCTCCTTTCGAAATATGTAATGTTAAACCTTTTCTTATTAAAATAAATGTTTATTAATAGTTTTGCTTAAACATTGAATCCAGAAAACAAAATTTTAAATAAATAATGTCTCTATATCCTATCTGTAGCGGGCAGGCCAGCTCTAATACATATTTGATAGGATCTCAGGAGCTAAATATAATTCTATCTTGGCCCGCGATACAAGTTTGACATGTCTGGTCTAAAATGTTCCATAGTATGGCATTTTCTATTTTGCATATGTTTAATTTCAAGTGTTTTTATTGCTAAGAAACACCTTGAAAAGCGTGTATTCTTAGTGAGTGTCGTAGTGTGCTTGCCTCTCCACAGATCTGACCTGTAACTTGACCTGGTAGTGTCGCCTACATGTCTTTATGGAGAGGGATAAGTTTAATGCCATATTGTGAAACATCTCTATGAAGACAAGCAGGACTTTCATGGCTAAAAAAGTTGCACAGTGCACCTTTAACATTGACGTTATTGGAAATCCGTTTTCTTTATTTATGTAAATGGAGAAAGCATTTAGAGCATTTATGTAATCATTTTTATGTCGTTATAGTCCATATATTGTTACAATTAGACTGTTGAACCCAATGATCCTAACTTCTTGGGTTCTTTTCTTATGTACTTTAACTCCTTGGATTATTTAAAGAAGCAAAAAGTGAAGCGTCCTCTGCCTAAGAAGTTAAACTACGTAAGAAGACAAAATGAAAAACTTTGCTTTTCCAATGACCCCAAGTTATAAATTGCTGCAAGATTTCTTAGGTTATGTTGCTTTACTCGTACCCGTAGGTAAATTTGCTTTGCAGATTTCATCCACATTTCACATTTCATTCGTGTGTTACAGTGCTTAGTGCAGAACATAAACAATTAAAATCATCCAAAACGTCTTGTTAAAAAATCTTAAATAAATAGATTACAATTTATTCATAAGATGATGATGAAGCTGATTCTTCTAGATCTTTAAAACAGAGGGACAGCTGAATCTGAGTGTTCAGTGCAAACTCTGAGGCAATTCCAAACACACCAGTTTAAAATGATTCCTCTGGTGGTTTCTCAAAAATTCATATTGTCAAAATTTTAACAGTTAACTCATAAACCGTATAATGAAGTGGACTAAGGGAGTGTGAGGTCACGAGGTCAGCAGTTATATTGGCAAATTTGGACTTCCATATTAGGGAGAGGAATTTATTTACAGACAAAACAGTGCAATAAAAACACCAGGACCATGCAGAGCAGATTAATATGGACATTTTAAGACCAAAACAACGAGGTTCAGTGCAGCAGTTACAGAGATAGGGTGGACAATTTTTCAATGGAACCAGAGTCGATGGAGCCGGAAGTGTCCCCATGCTCACTTCCTATTGAGAATATAGCAGCTCGGGGGTTAGCTATGTCCATTTATTAGGGATGTGTATCGTCAAAGTTCTCACAATAATATCTTGGGCTGTCACAATATATGGAATTACAAACTTCTATGCGTAAATGCATTGTTTTATTGCAGCAACAGCTAAAAACAAATTGCAGACTGTCAACTTTTATTCCATGTCTATGCAGAAAACATGAAGAGATAACTGTTACAAAGAGCTTTTCTATATTAATTATTTGGACAATGACACAAAACAATTCCCAAAGACTTGCCAAGGCTTTTTAAAAGGAAAAAGTAGCATTTCTTCAATTCTCATTCAATTCAATAAAATACGTACTGTGAAATGAATATTGTAATTGTATTGTACCGTGTGATTTACATATCGTTACATCCCTACCGTTAATATATACTAGGGATGTAACGAAATCCAAATCTCTCGGTACGATATTATCACAATATGCATCTCATGGTACGATATTTATTGCAATAGTTTGGAAAGGCTGATAAAATTGTAGATAGGACACGTTTCTGCTTTTAAAATACCTTGACAAGATTTTGGTGTGAATTATTTCCATCATAATCCCAAGAATTCAAGTAAAAACATATTTCTTCATGTTTTTGCACTGAAATGAATCATGGGATATGTAGTTCCATGTGTTTATAAGCTGTTGCCACTGTAAAACCATGCACTTAAGTAAAGGAACTTGTAATTCCATATATTGTGACATTTTAATATTATTGTGAGAATTTTGACGATACGATATCACGATATTTCGTTTATTGTTCCATCCCTAATATATACAGTCTATGTTCTGCTCCTACAACTAGAAAAACTACTTTCTATTTTATTTTTAATTCACAGGGGCTTTTGTTGTCCAAAGTTAACCACGTAATTTCCCTCATGGATTTATAAAGTTTAAGTTACCTCTACCACGACAACGACATCTGTCACCATGACCTTTTTAATACTAGATCTGCATCGATCTCCCACTCACCGGCGCGCTCCTCTAGACTCCTCAGGGGCCCGCTCACACTGTCCAGCCTCTTCTTGAGCTCCTCTTTCAGGTACGGTTCCACCACGATGGCACTGAGCTCCTGGCACAGCCTCTCAGCCTCGGCCAGCTCTCCTCTCCGCCGCTCCAGCTCAGACTTGATCTCTCCGGTCTCCTGCAGCCGCTGCTTCAGGGCCTCGGGCTGAGCGCTCAGAGAGGCCTGGGAGTCCAGTCTCTCCCCCAGAGCAGAGACACTGGAGGACAGCTCCCTCAGCAGGGTCTAAGTAAAGGAGATTAATATCGACTCAGATTTGTGACAGAAATGAAAAGTATTGACAAGTTTTCAAGTAACTGTCAGTGTTAATGTATTGTCTGGAAAATGGGGCAGATAACAAAAGATTACTCTTCTTTCAGTTTCTTTTCGTTCATTTCTTGTATGTTTAACGTTATGTGACTGTTTACCGTATTTTTCAGACTATAAAGTGCAACGGATTATAAGGCGTAATATCAATAATGTTGAATTCGCTCATATTTTCATACATAATGTGCACCGGATTATAAGGTGCATTAAGTGAAACAAACGGATGAAACTTGAGACTGATCCCTTAGCCCAGGCATCCACGATCCATTGGCAGATCATGGAGTAATTCACCCAGCATTGCCTCCCTGTCTTGGTGAATGTGTATTATGAATGTGAATGCGGGTGGATAATTTAAGTTTCCAACAAGGACGACTCAAATATACAATGAGTAATAATGTGTTTAATGCTGCTTTGCGCACATTTTTTCATGTTTTACAGAAAGGAAACTTAAAACCACATGGCTAATTTGCATAAACTATAAGTGCTGAAAAAAACAGCTTGGTTTTTGAGATTTTTGAGCGCCGTGTACCACATAAATCGGTTCGAGGTCAGTAAGCACAACCAGAATTAATACATAAGGCGCACCAGATTATAAGGTGCACTGTCGATTTCTGAGAAAATTAAAGGCCTTTTAGGTTTTATGAATGAAATAAATAAAAGAAGACATTATGCATTTTGTGTGTTCAGCTTTTCTAAAATATTTGAGCTACTCCACACTATCAACTGTCTTTCAGTGTATAGTATATTGAATTTAAAAATTAAAGAAAACCCTTCAAATTCAATATTATTCAAAAAGTGTACCACAGCAAACTAAAGGACTTTTTTTTTGGCATCTAGAAATACACTATACTAACACATTTTTTATAGAAAGACACATTTTTGGGTCATTACTGAGTCAACAGCACTATTCTCATACACTTAATAAACCTGTTTTAAAATTCCTTCATCAAAATAAGTAATCTTATGATAAAATCTTATTACAAAATGTTTTCATAACCTAAAATTATTATGATATATGTATATTATTTCATTGATATTTTGGCATTTGATCATTTGAGTCCATTTCTTATCTTTATGGGTCTGTGAGTGCTATAAAATACATTTGTTTTCATTGACAGAATCATAGCGAGAAGAGTACAGTTATTAACAAAGGCTTTCAATATAAATCACTGACTTCATCCATTAAAACATTTTATTGGAAAACCTCTATAAAATGGTTAGCTCATGTTTTTTTTGTTTTTTTTTTTACAACCTACCATTACTTGATTAAACCTTAAAATAGTCTCTGTTGTATGTGACAGCTCTTACCTGGTATCTCTGGCTGGTTCCTTGTGCCTGGTCGATGTTGCTGGCTCTCTGCGTCAGTCTGTCCGTGAGTCCGTCCCACTGTTGGGTGATGGACCCCAGCTCGGCCCTCACCTCCCCCAGGTCAGAGGGCTCCTGCGAGGGGTCGGACTGAGACAGGATGCCCTCCGCCGCCTGGGTCAACTGGTCCAACTGCGGACGCCGCGTCTCAAACTCACGCAACATGAACTGGAAACGACAAATTAGAAAGTTAGTATGGTTAGAATTGGCCATTAAAGCTATAAGTTATTAGAAATACAGACACTACTGGTCAAAAGTTTTAGAACACCACACTTCTTTCAGTTTTTTTTTTACTGTTGAACAAAAAGTATTCTAAACTTTTGATTCATTAAAGTGTCCAGTGACCTTTAGCAGATATAACAGCTGAACACACTTGTGGCTCATTCTTTTTACAATAGAAATCAAATATTCTTCAGAAAGTTCTTCCCAAGTCTGTTGCAGAAGTTCACCATAAATGTGTGGCACTTCTTCTGTCCAGTTCATCCCAAACCAGCTCGATGGGTTTAAGTCTGAGGACTGTGCTGGACACTACATGTTTTAAAGTTTACCATCTTGTTCTTTTTTCCTGAGGTAGTTTTGGCAGAGCTTAGACTTGGAGTTATTTTTTATCTTTTTTTTAACCTCTGGCTGTTCAGTATTTATCTTTGTACCATTTCAAGTTCTTCCTTGGACTTGCACGACTTGCAAAAAATAACTGGAAAAATTAGGATGTTCCAAAACTTCTGACCGGTCGTGTATATAAAGTATATAAGACAGAAAAAATAAAAGATTAATAATACAGCTGTTGATTTATTGATTGTTCATTTTTTTAAAACAATAAAAACTGTCAAATTGATATATTTTAGATTCTATTGTATAAATTATCCAACATAACAGACACTGGAGTAGTTACTAAGCCTGAATCATTCTTAATTCTTTAATCATTCTTTATTAAAAAACTTCTATCGGATGTTAGCTGCAAGCACATAAGATATTTAGATCACCATGTTACTTTTTATTGTTTTGAAAATGCTATATTTACTATATTCATCAAAAATAGTGTTTTATAAGCTTCACTTTTGTTTTCTCTGCTCTGAGTCTCTACTCCCTTTGCTCTGCGCCTTAAGTCATTCCCCCTTCAGAGCGCTTTTTATGTATTTTTTAAATTTATGTATTTATTTTGGGCAAGTAGAGATCTACATTCTTATATAATGGAACATATAACATTAGTGAAATCACAATAGAAATAAAAATAACCACAACAAAAAAATTTGCCCAGAAAGGAGTGGGAAGAAGAAAACTTATTTAATCCCACCCTCACTCTTCTAATATGCCATCATAACACAATCTGCCGTGCGTCACATTAACAGAACTACTGCACATCGCATCAGCTTTGTTAAGTTCTTGTGTACAGTTTTGTATCAAGTTTTTGAGGGAGTAAATACTCAAAACCTGCATGGATGACATCTACAACTTTTTCAGGCATGTATTTGATGAGAGTACAACATTCTAGCAAGAAAAAAAAAAAGGATTTTGCTTAATGCCACCTCTTTAAGACTAATTAAGGAGTAGTTATTATAAAGCGGCACCAACACCATCACTTTGTATTATTGGTTCTATTCACGCTTAAGTCACAAACCAGGAAGACGATTGGAAAGATGCGAACGACAATTTCTGGTGTAGTTACCGACACTGGGCTCTCCTGCCGACTGTGATAAAACCATGGATCTATTAAAATAACTGGATAGGGTTTTGCTCCTTGTAGCTGTCTCCAGTTGACGTAGTGGCCACTCACTGTTACTTCAGTGAAAAAAATCCCATGGGCTGAGAGGATTTTTCTTGTAGAGTGCAATGTAATCACAAACTGCTTGCGTTCAGCTGACAGGGCACCTACAACTTTCCAAAATGTCGGATTTGTTGGCGAGTTTTACCCGTTTTTTCTCAGCTCAAAACTCTTCAGTTGGCTTAAAAAACACTTTATAATCGTTCGCTTCGGCTCCGCTCTAGCTCTGATTGATCAAAGCGATCACGTAATACGCTACTGCACATGCTCGGTCGGCCCACAGCCACCAGAAGTACCTCATCGGGCTAAATGTTAATCTGGAATCATGCGCCTTTGAGCTCGACCCATTGACTTGAACGGGAAGCCATTCTGAAACCCCGGGGCTTGGTTAAAACCCACTGAAGTAAATGTGATCAGCGGTAAAATGAAGACTGCATGTGCGGTTTGGAATCATCTTGAATTTTGCGCACTCACCTCTTCTAATTGCTTCTCGTCTAAATGTCTTCTAAATGTACCCAGTGCGCTCGGAGTTGTGTGTCAGTGGGGAAATTATGAAAACTGAGGTATCGTAGTAATTGTTGATTAGCAGAACAGAACCCGCTGGAAGTTGTGATCGCGTCTTTCCAAACGTCTTCTTGGTTTGTGATATAAGCGTGAATAAAGCTTTTTGTATTTATTTAAACCTCTTAGACCTTCACTGACCTGCACTTGCTGTTTCTGCGTGTTGAGCATGTTGGGGTCTATGCTCAGGGGTCCCAGGACACTCATCATCAGCTCCTTCTCCCTGAGCCACGGGGCGAGCTGATTGGCCGCCGAGGCGAAGGTGCCCAGCCTATCAGCGCACGTCTCGAGCTCCTTCTGCCTTTGTGCCGCCGTCTGATTGGTCGCCTGCCACCTGGAGTCTGGGGAAAAAGGTAATTTAGGTATTTAGGTCATTTCACCCAAAGTGCAATAAAGGTAGTGACTTGGAGCAACAAAAAATTCAGGTCATATTATAATGTGTTTGATCTATTCTTTGTTATATAAATAGAAGTAGTAGATCTCTTGTGCATAAGTAAATAAGACAATACTGTGGAAAACTTCAATAATTCTAATTAACAGAATATAAAATGTCAACTTTTTACCATTTCATGCACATGGAGCTGGTATAAAAAAATATTTGAAATGGGTTTATAATGACAAAAACATGTAACATTTATTTTCTGTATATTATAGTTACTTTAATTCATCTTTTCTTACTTTTAAAAAACTGAAACCGAATAGAACTGATATTTTAGAACATTTACATATCAAATTGTTCACGTACGACATAGAATAAGATTTTCATTGACTATAAGAGAAAACAATTAAACTGAACTAAACCTAAAACTAAACAACCAAAGTCATGAATCATTTGACCTTGAGCAGTGAATGAGATAGAAATATGGATTCAAATTGGACTCGATTAGATGAATAATTTCAGTATTTTCCAGTTTTATATGAGTCTTGCAGATGTTATGAGCCAAAAGAGGGGTTTATTCTATCAGAAAATCTAAGCTTATCTCCTGACACTGTGTAACTTTTCTGTAGAGGGTCCCCAACCTGTTTGTCTCCATGGAGATGTTAATGTTTTGGTATGTCCACACTATGGCATTAAACCAGTGTTTTCTAAACTTTTTTTCTGGGGACCCATATTTTCACAAACCTTCGTGACATTATTTGTACATGACAAAATAAAGGTGGATTTGATCATTACTGAACATTAATGAGGATATTTTATTGTTGATTGAGTCTCACAACAATTAATATTACACAAGTTTTAAACAATGAAAGAAGTAATTGAACCAGAAATAAAAGGATCCATAAGTTGCCTATTTGGACATTAAATGTAGCCCATTTCTTTTTCTTTTCAACGTTCAACTGAACCAGCAATATTGGAACAAAATAGACAATAAAATAATTACAAAAAGATAGGATTCACTGACTCACTCACTTTCTCATATGTTAGAACTTTATATTGCAGACGGACATGCAAATCATGACAAGGAGACCCAAAAAAAATCTCTTGTGGCCCAGTCTTTGGGAAACAATGCATTAAACTGACCTGACTTGTATTTGTTCAACAACAGGTGTTGTTTATTGCTCAAAATCTTAAAAACACAAATTCTTACTGTGAGTGGGGACGTCTCTCCACAAATCTAACCTGTAACTTCGCTTGCAAGCCTCCATGGAGATTCTTAAATTCATGGCAATACTTTGGAACTTTTTAGGCACATCTCCATGGAGACAAGCAGGTGATGGACCCTCCACCAGACAAGTTATACATTGCACCTTTAAGTTGTATTTTCTGCAGGTGTACCTCAAGGCTCGATTTTTAGGCCCAGTGTTATTTATTTACATTAATAATCTTTGTGCTTATTTGTGAACTTTATGCACCACTTTTATGCCGATGATACAGTACTTTATTACTATTCAACTTCTGTAGCTCGTTCTCTCAGGATGCGTGCTGCAGTAAGAGATTTTGATCTTAATGGATTTTTCACCTGGTTAAATAAAGCCAAATGAATTAAGTTCAGTCCAAACAATACCATGCTTTCCCAGAGTCCCTCCTACATCTGCTTTTCTCAGCCTGTGACTCACCCTCTGGGCATCTGACTGTGCCCATCTGTGCATTATGAAACTGAAAAGCCCCCATCTACTATTTCACCTTAAATATTTCTGAGTGTTACCTCATCGGACTGGCGCTCTGGCGAAAATATCAAATCGTGTGAGTAGGTTTGGCAGCAATAATTTCTAGTCTCTCACTGCATACATTTTATTTGGAGGAAAAGAGAGTAACCAGATGTATTTTTGAGAAGAAATTGTAAAGCATTTCAACAAAGAGTGAGCGCCATTGTAACTATATGGGGCAGATGACAGGTTTATTTAAAAGATGTCTCTCTTTTCACAAGTATTTCTCATAATGTTGCTACTCTCTGTTATAGCAATGGCATGGGAATAGAAAAGTAAATGACACTATGGGTTATGATTCATTTTGCAGCATTATTTCTTCATTATTACCAAGCCAATACTAACCATTTTTAGTAGGAGTAATAGTTTAGAGTCTTCATAATTGGTGTTTAGGGATGGGACGAGATCTCGTGCCGCAAGATCAAGACAAAATTACCCCAGCATGTGAGAAAATTATCTTGTGAGATTGTTTCTCCCTGAATTTACCTTTACTTTAGACAAAAAGAGTTATGAGCTGTGAGTTATACACTTTGAGAAGCAGTAATTCCAAAAATCAGCATGACAATGACTGCTTAAGTATTACATAAAATAAATAAAATATTAAAGCCAAAATTGTGAAATGTATTGCACTACTTAGTTACCACAAATTATGTCAAAATCTAATCCTGTCTCCTTCTCATGGATCCAAATCTTGTGGTGTGTCTCATCTCATGAAAACTGTGTCTCGTTCCACCCCTAGTTAATAGCACTATAGGCGTACCGTGATTTATTAGGCAGCCTTAAGCCCTATTCGCACCGGATAAATCCAACCTGGGGACGTCTGGTAATTTGCAAATTACCGCCCCACCTCTACTTGCAACACATTCAAAGTCCGTAAATTACTCTATTTTACTGACATTGAGACAGAGATTGAAAGAGAAAAGGCACGAAAAATACACCAACAAACACTGAGATGCAGATTAACACGGGACTAGTATTATCATCAGACATCTGTGTTACAGACAAGGCACATTTGCACAGGATTAAGATCTCATGCATCCTCCGCAATTATTACAAATCACCAAAGGTCCACAGGTTACTAATCCCGTGCAAATAGGGCTTTATTTCTAAATTGTTATCAAGTCATTTCTAGCCGTGTTACCTGGTGGTTTACAGTCTTCATAATTGGTTAGTTACCGTGAAATAAATATGAATAATAAAGTGTACTGGTGGTTTTCAGATTGTAGAATGTGATGATTCTTAAATGAAAGCAAAAGCCAGATTTCCCTATTGATTACATTGTACTTTGCCATGAACTATCTAAAAAATAAATTCACAAATGTTGAACCTAATCATTTCTATTATTGATTAGACTGAAGAACTCACTGTATCACGACAAAAATCTGCATTTGAACCATTGTGATTTTAGCTGCCCCAATCTGTATTTAATATTATTGGTTTATAGACACTAGTTATGTTGAATTACTAAAACTGCTAATACTGTGCTGTAAAATAAAGTGTGACCCTAAATGTTCTAAATGTGTGTATATTAATATGAAATAGGACAGCCAACGCAATGATTTTCTAGTCTCATCTTTCTCTAAATGGACGGGGAGTTTGCGTCAGGTCCCAGAGGCGACAGTGGTCTTTGTTTAAGTTGACACATGTTACCGCCGCTTTGCTCTGGGCTTTGAAATCTGAAACCTTGTTAATAATGATTCTACCCACATGAGTACAGCTCATCTCCACCATCAAAATTTTAAAAACCATTATGCAAAATTAATAATCTCATTTTTTTAAAGACGCCATGACAGGAGAACCAAAGAATTACAATTACCCAATCCATTTACCTTTTCTCTTCTATGAATACTTTGTAAATTTTATTTGTACTAGTACTGATTTGTACTTGAAATAACACTTTTGGCAGGTTTTACCACTAAAATCTATAGATCAATGTTTCCCAAACTTTTTTTCTGGGACCCATATTTTAAAAGTCACAATTTTTTGGCAATAAAATCAATAAACATTATTCGTAAATCACAAAATAAAGGTGGATTTGACCATTATTGAACATTATTGAGGATATTTTATTGCTGACTGAGTGATCGTGTCTCTCTGAACTCAAGTTTTAAACAATGAAAAAAGGGATAAAAAGGAACCATAAGTCACCTATTTGGTCATTAAAAGTAGCCCATTACGTTTTCTTTTCAACATTCAATTGAACCAGCAATATTGGAACAAAATAGTCAATAAAATAATTACAAAAAGATTAGAAATTATACAAAACATGTCTTTTCATTTAATTTCATTTCAACCTACATGCAGATCGTAACAAGGCGACCAAAAAAAATCTCTTGCGACCCACCTGAGGGTCACTTCCCAGTCTTTGGGAAACAATGCTATAGATGACTAAAGCTCAGAGGTCCTACATTACACAAAATTCATTTTAAGTCATGTTATAATGTTGTTACCTACTCAAAAACATACCTAGAGTTGTGTTTTGTTTCATTCCCACATGTTTGAGTATCACTTTATTAGTCTGTCTACATCTCCAAAGCTCAGAATGCTGTTTTATTTTCTTCTTGTGATGTCCTGTAGTGCCCTTTTGTTTAGTAGAGATTGGAAATTCCAGGTTTAAACAATAGTAGTGAAGGTGTATGAAGTTTAAAAACACAATGGAGCACTTCCTGTTTTACCATATGACATCATAAGAGTGTTTTCCATCTGAGATAAGAACTAAAATATTCAAGATTTGTGTGGAGACATGGACGCTGATCACACACATGTTTTGGAGTTGCCTGAAAATGAGGGTATATTGGGAACAATTAAACACGACCTTAACGAGTATTCTGGGATATGGAATTCCAAACATATGTCTTGTGATGTATCTGGGAAGGATGACATGCATTTGACAAAAATTGTTTTAGCTGCATCTAAAAAGGGAATTACAAAGAGGTGGTTGCAACCAGATCCACCTGCACAACAAGACTGGATCAGGATTGTGGAGAATATTTCAGTGATGGAAAGAATAACATATAATCTTAAACCGAAAGGGCACAAATACGATGAGAAATGGGAAAAATGGAATGTATTCATAAATGACACCAGTAAAACAACATAGTACATAAAAATGTCAATACCAAATGCATGTTTAAATAAGAACCTGTAACTCCAGACTGTTGTTACATTGTTTTAGATTTTATATTGTTTCTTGTATGTTTTGAAATGTTACTTAAAACCAATAAAACAAAGTTATAAACAAAGATTTGAGTGTTAAACATGTGTGAATGAAACAAAACACAACTCCAAGTCTGTTTTTGATCAAGAAACTACATTATAACATGGATCAAAAATCAAAAATAGCTTAATATGAACCCTTGAAGTTATTTTAGAAACGTTTCGACTTGTCCATCCATCTCTGGTTGTTATTACTAATTTATATTTCCCTTCTGTCATTGATGTTGATACAGTCACAGTGTTGGTCTTATAAGGACACATACCGATCTCTTGTAGCTGCTGTCTCCAGGTCTCAGCCTCTGGAGAATCTGGGTTTTCTGAGATCAGTTTCCTCAAAGTGCTCTTCAGCTCCTCCACTTTAGCGGCGCGTTCGGCCAGTTCAGACAGCAACGCCTAAAGAAAAAGTCAATAATAACTCTCAATGTATGAATTATGCCATCATCATCATTAGGTTTGTGCTCAAAAATATTACTGATACTGTGCTCAACTAACATGACAATCATAAGTCCTTCGTGATACCTTGTTCTCTTGAGCTTGTGCACGGACGACCTCGGACTTGGACGGGGAGGCGACCTGAGCCTGGGTGAAGCTGCTCTCCTTTTGGGTGAGCCAGCCCTGGAGTTCCTGGGTGCCCTCGGACGCCTTCTGCCTCAGCTCCAGAGAGGACTGCTGTTTGGACAGACGCTCCTGCAGATCTGAACCCAGAGACTCGTATCTGCTGTTCACGTCTGACACGGCCACCTGCAGCTCTGTCAAATCTGAAAAAGACAGGGACAAATGTGCAGTTATTTTTAATAGCACCAGCCATGTGGGAATTCTGATTATGCTCAGAGAGATGCATAATTTGATTAAAAAATATTAAGCAATGTATCAAACATAATGAACAATAATGAAAAAACTTTAGTGAAAGTTAATAAGAGCAAACCCATATTTAAAAAAGGTTCACTATGTAACATTTCTGCCACCTGCTTGTCTGCGTGGAGAAATTGCTTTGTTTGGAATGTTCCACAGTATGACATTAGATCAGTGGCGGGGCGTCAAATATCTGAATCACAGACTGATGTTAATTATATTACTATTAAATAATTCAAAATGTTCTGTCCGCTTCCTTTCAGAGCTTTTACGATGCTTGTGCTGCTTCCACACATGGATTTTCATATTAAAGCATTTGACCAATCACATTTCAGCCGTCATTTGTTGCTAGGCAGAGTCAAAGTCAAAGAAGTGTCCCTGATGCTTTCACAACCCTTTCTGCAGGCCTTCGAACATAAAGTAAATGTCAATGAAACTGTTGTTTCAACCAATCAGATTTTGAGTTGGTATCACCAGGGCCTCCTAGCAGCGCATGACAACGTCACCGGATTCAGACCTGCTGATTGGACAGTCAGAGAGTGAACCAGCCAAAGCAGCAAACTGCATCTGTAGTGGAACCAGGTCTAAACCAGGACTACACCAGGACTAATCTTGGACTTGAGAGAGGTCCTTTCATCTGCGGTCACCGACAGTCTACGCAGGCACACCTTCAGGCCAGTCTTGACAAACAGTTCTGGTTTAGTCCTGGTTTAGCACCCCAGCACTCCTCACTTTTTCTCCATGCATCGCGCATCCCCATCTCCACGGCTCTTTATACTGTGTTTCTGTATAATGAGAGTGGATTGTTTCAGACGGAGCACTACTCAAGGCCTAGGTGTTAAATGCAAGCTCCGCCACTGAAGTAATCAGAGGTGAGGACTTGTAAGTCGTGACTTGGACTCAAATCAGACTTGAGTCACTATTTTTAGGACTTGAGACTTGATATGATAAAATGGACTAAGACTTGGGACTCGATTTGGACTTGAAGGTCAGTGACTTGGGACTTGACTCGGGCTTGAGGCGTGTGACATGAGAAGACTAGTGGTGTATATACAGTCTGTGTTGAACAAACTTCAGTCAGTAGTAGTGCTAAAACATTTCCTTACATTTCATTTTTTATCTATTCAGTATCTTTCAATCCTCAGTCAATGCATTTCCTCATCCTACAACTGTACAAACATTTATATTCAACAGCAAGCTGACATAAAAAGTGAAAAGACAAAAGACAACAAACATTTTTTTCTATAAAGTCAGAGAATCCTGGAGCAGCACAGACAGTTACCTTTACATGTGTGAATGCCATTGAGACTGCTGGGACCTGAAGAACCATTGATGTGAGGGGCACCTGAAGAAAGACACACAGCTACTCAGACGAGAACAACAAGAAGAAGGCCACAAGAAGCACACAGAAGCTTCACACGAACAACGATAATACAGAAAAGAAGCAAGCACGTTACAGAGATGATAAATGGAGCCTGTTAACTTAATGTTAGCCGTGTTAAAATGTTTATACATCATCAAAACATAAAATACCTGGAGTTGTGTTTTGTTTTATTCACACATGTTTGAGAAATGAAAAAAGAGTGTGAGGAAATGTTTGATATTTCATGGTAATGTTTGATAATCATTCAACTGTGGATGTTTCATTATGTTTGAATCTAATTAATTTAATCCATGGTATTTAAATGTAATTTTATTTAATTTTTTTTATGCACAGCGATCATGTTCAGTTTTTAAAGTATTCATAAGGTGGAGGATTTACTATAAGCCCTTTTAGGTTTTTTGTCTCTTCCGGCACCTACTTTTTTTATCTAATGTGTGTTTTTTTTTATATAGTTATGTTACATGTGCAATAAATAAATAAATAAATACAAAATAAATCCTTTATTATTAGTCTGTTTACATCTCCAAAGCTCAAAATGTTCTGTAATGTCATGAAGCTGTTGTTTTCAAGTTAACAGCTACTTTTTACTTTTTGTTCAGTAGAGTTTAACAATTCCAGGGCTGAAAATCATCCAAGTGATTCTAGTAAATTTGTATGGAGTTCAAAAACACAATGCAGCACTTTTCTGTATCACCACATGACATCACAAGTTGGGAAAGAGTTTCAGTTTCAGAGAGAAGAACTCAGCCTTTATAAGCAGGGTTTGTGTTAAGAAACAAAACACAACTCCAGGTATGTTTTAGATGAAGAAACTTTATACTATAGATCAGAAAACAGGGTAATACAAGTCAGTGCGATTTCTTACCAGTTTTGGTTTGTGGTGCGGTGATGTCGATGATAATTGTCTCCAGCTCTGAGCCTTTTTTGTTCAACTCCTGAACTCTGGATTTCTGAGATTCCCAGTCATTCAACAAGTCCTGAAGAAAGACAGTTGATTATTAAAGAAGAGATATTACACTTGTTAACACATAAGACTGTATAGAATCATTTACAGTCTCTGCTGCTTTCACTCCCCATGCCATGTCACTCCCCCTTCAGAGCGCTATCACAACACAATCAGCGTGCGTTCCTCTAATGAAACTACTGCACATCTCATCAGGGGTGTGAAATTGTACTGTATTGTTTTGTATCTTGCGTTTTGAGCAGAGGCTAGGATTGTACTCGTAAAAAGGGTTGACACGGCCCAGGAGAGATCACTAGATTACTGAAACATGCATGGATGACATTTAAAACACACTCCAAAAAGTTGATTTTGCATAGTATAACGTGTAGTAATTTTTTAATGCCGTTTCAGGGTATTTTTTAAAGTGAATTGTGTAACTTTTATGGTAAAGGGTCCATCAAAAGTTTTTCGTCATACAGATGTTATTGCTTTGTCTGGAATGTTTCACAGTATGGCATTAAACTTTTCTATCTTCATGGAGATCAAACCTGTTTTCCTAGGTATTTTTGAGCTATAAAATCACCTGTAATTGAATAAATGTAGGAAACAAGCAGGTGATTGACCCCAAAACAAAAAGTTACACACTGCGCCTTTTATTTTGTACGTGTGTATTTATATGAAAGCAATTATCTTCAATCAGTAGAACAAACGAACCTTGAGCTGCTGTACCCTCCTCTGCAGCCCGTCCGTGTTGAGGCTGCTCTCTTTGGCGGGGAGTTGGTCCTGCGCCGTCTGCAGCCACCTGAGGAGGGAGCCGGAGAGCCCACGGAACTGATGCAGCTGCTCCTCACAGGCGTGGATCGCAGCGAATCTGAAAAACACAGAAGAAGAAGAGGTTCATATTTAGTCTAATGTAAATAAATAATTGTTTTTAGAGGAAGGAAAGTTTGGTTTGAGCTAAATAACATACGCCAATGTTTAAAGGCAAACAGGGAACATTAGTTTGAGGTGAATATGATGAACAGATTTTTGTATTGTGGAGAGTATTCAAATTAAAGGCATAGTATGTAACTTTCTGGATGATTCCTTGGAAACAGTTCAATGAAAACAAGACAGTTAAAACCGTACTCTGGGAATATCTGCATGGATATGTCTAAAGATCTGCACACTGTAGATTTAAATTGCGAAAAGTTCATTTTAATAACTAGATTTTTGTTCCAAGCCAAAATATCAATATCTCATATATATTAAAAGTAGGTTTGAATAAAAACAATGAAAGAACTAAGTCAGGACAAAACCAGGACCAGGGGCCTCATTTATAAAGCTCGCTTATGCACAAATCCTTGCGTAGTTGCTCTCTACACCAACCGCGGGATTTATGAAACTTGTCCTAAGTCTGGCGCTTTGCTTATCTCTACACCAACTCAGGACCTCCTGTAAGCTCTACGCAAAGTCTGGAGACACGGGGAAAAAGCAACACTCGAGGAGAGGAGCAGAAGTGAACAGAGTTTGAGGAAGAGTTTGATCAGAAACTTAAGAGAAAATCCACGTATATAAAAGAATGACCTTCAGATTTGTGCATTTAAGTGTTTGGTTCGCCAAAACAGGGAGAAGGGCTGTTTAATATTTTGGAGAATAATGAGTGGAATAAACATTTGAAACTCATGCATGTTCCCGGTGTGGCGCAGGGTCTCCCACAGTCCGCACCGTGACCATAGACTTCTATAGAACACAGTCTGTGACCCAACACAGAGGACGAAATAATGACCGGACCTGAGAAAAAACTCTTCCCTTGGACACAGCAGGAGCCAGGATTTTGATTTAATGAACGCAACTTTAACACTTTTACTTTAGTCTTTATGCACCAAGTGACTCAAGTCTGCGCACGACACGAAGCCTACTGTCCGAACCTGACCTGAGCACAAAATTATCCCTACATTTTTGCGTAATAAGGAGCTCGAGCAAATGTCACACATGTTTAACACATAAATCCTACTCCACTGTATTTTTAAACTAAACACACAATCATTTCAGTCTTGGAATTGCCAGTCTCTACTGAACAAAAGTCAAAAGGTAGTTATTGAAAACTACTGCTTCATGACATCACAAGTTGGAGCAGAGCATTTTGAGCTTTGGAGTTGTGGACATGTAGACGTGTGAGTGAAGCAAAACACAACTACGTAAGTTTTTGATGAGGTAACAACAATGTTTTAAAGCTCACAAGAGTCAATTTTGTATAATCTAGGACCTTTAACCGGCTTGCTTGTATCCACATTGTCCTTTTCGGGGCATTTCTGGGAAGAGGGCAGAAAAATAGCTCACAGTCTCTGCTTTGGCTCAGAACAAATACAGGACTGCGATATAAAGCATACAGTTATGTTTTTATGATATAATTATAGAAGAGAGTACATAAACTGTTTCTGACGGGCCCGGGGGCACTGCTGACACAGCCCTGGCCTCTCTGATCTCACTGTAGACAAAACAGCTCTCACAAGTCTTTTGGCCCTGGACAGTGTCATTATAATGCTGCCATTTTTCTCCCTCGGGACACAGAAAGAAAGAGGCTGGGGCTGATCCAAAAGTGAGCGGGACAATGAGCCATGTCCACTGCTTATATTAGCCTCCGACAGCAGCCAAATACAGCGGCTAAAGCGGACCAGAATACGCGGCATGTTTGGTATGTTTAACAAGACCGTTTAGAGACAGAGCCAAATGATGCTTTATGTTACAGGTGAGTACAGGTCGGTCCTTGTTTAGATGGTTTTACTTTACTTTACTTTACTTAATATTACAGTATTATTGCTGTTTCCTCATCACAAACAGACCTGGAGTTGTGTTTTGTTTCATTCATACATATTTAGCACACAAACCCTGCAGATTTAGGCTGAGTTCTTCTCTAAAACAGAAAAAAACTCTGTCATATGATAATACAGGAAGTGCTCCACTGTGTTTTTAAACTCCACACACCTTCACTAGAGTAATATGGATGATTTCAGTTGTGGAGCTGATAGTCTCTGCTGAACCAGAGGTAAAAAGGGAAGCTGTTAACTTAAAAACTACCGCTTCATGACTTCCAAAAGTAGAACATAGCGTTTAGATATTTGTAGATGCAGACAGACTAATAATAAAAAGTTACTCAGACAAAATTCTAATATAGAGATGACAACATCCTAACATTGCTTAACCTCCTAGAACCCACACTCTTGCATGGCTTTATTGATTTCTCTTTCTTATTTGGGCTGATTGGGACCTGATGAGAGCAAAAATTCTATTTTTTAGAATATTTTAATATTTTGTCCACATATGATATACAAGATATTCATTTTAATATTTTTGTTTTAATCATTTTAATCATTTAATTTTAATCATTTTGATGGAACACAATAAAGTCATAATTGAATACTGATTTGCAAAACCTACTGTATTTACTAAGTGCCTGAACAAACCAAAATGTGTTGGCCACTCATACCAAGTCCTAGGAAGAGTTAACTTTTTGTAATATAGAACCTTTAAAGTCACTATTTCTACAAAATACATTAATCATACATTTAGAACTAATTTAGCTCATGCGTATTCATATTTGGTAAATATATCGTGCTGACCTCTTTTAATCAACTCCATTATTAAAGTGAATAAACCAAGGCTCAACTCCAGGTGTTGTTGTTTTTTTTTGATGAGGAAACAACATTATAAAAGTTTAAAATCATTTTCCAAGTACAGATTTTTATATTTGTCAAACCAGAACTGAACCAGGACTGGACTAGGATTGAACCATGTCTACTCTACCCCAAGCAATACCTGAAGCAAAAAAAACAAACAAACAAACAAAACAAAAAACAAAAAACAGACTAATAAGGCCAGGATAAGAACTGGATCTGCACGAAACAACAATTTAAAGGTGCACTATGTTACTTTTTGGTTGGGATACACTTGTTTCTGTGGATATGTCATTGCTCTGTCTGGAATGTTTCACAGTATGACATTAAACAGCTCTACATTTATTACATTACAGTGCATGGATGTGATGACTGAGACTGAATGGGAATATAGTTTCACTTATTTTATTGACTGGATGAATGTTTGCATCAATATACTGTACATTGCATTTTATTTTATTGGCATGTGCACCATTTATGACTTTGTGTAGTTCAGTGTTTTTATGTGCATTTTTCCTGATAAATAGACAAATAAACTAAACTAAACTAAACAGGTGGTTTATTGGTCAAAAATACCTAGAAAAGCTTGGTCTGGTTTGGTCTCCATGATGACAGAAAGGTTTAATGCCATACTGTGAAACATTCCAGACAAAGCAGTAACACGTCCATGGAGAAAAGCATTTGACGAACCCTCCACTAGAAATATTACACACTACACCTTTAACTATGTCTGTGCTGAGCTCAACGGGTCCAGGTCCAGTTAGTCCATGAACCCGGCTCTAAGGTCTCAGAGGTGACAACAACTATTATTTTAAACCTTGTCACTTAATATGCGATCAGGCGTGTTAAAACAGGACTTTTAAGTGGCGGTTAAATCCGTCCAAAATCCCACACACATTCCGTGAGTTGTATTTTTAAAATCCCTTGCCCCCTGCTGGCGCTGACAGGGCCTCGCGTGTGGAAACAGGGTCGGCATGGCAACCGGCGAAGGATACGGTTTTAGAAATGCCAACAGCAAAGGGGACGCAACACAAAGTCACCGGGAGAGTTTTAAAAGAGAAGGGCTAATCCAGACATAATCCCATTTTATTTTTTACCAGCTATAAAGAGTGATACATTAGAATAACCGTGTTTAAACCCAGGAATAGAGCGTAGACAGTCTAAACAGACACAGGAAGTTAAGTGTCTTGCCCAAAGACACCAAAATATCAATATTAGGGATGTAACATTAACCATAATATCGTGATATCGTGTCATCAAAATGCTCACAATAATAAGTTCCTTCGCTTAAATACCTTGTTTTACAGTAGCAACAGCTTATAAACATCGGGAACTACATATCCCATGATTCATTTCAGTGCAAACAACATGAAGAAATATGTTTTTTACTTGAATTCTTGGGATTATGACGGAAATAATTTACACCAAAAAGTTATCATGGCATTTTAAAAGCAAAAAGAGTCCCATCTACAATTATATCAGCCTCTCCAAAAATATCGCAATAAATATCGTACCGTGAGATGCATATCGTGATAATATCGTATCGAGAGATTTGGATATCATTACGTTCCTAATGAATATATCATCAAGACTATTTTTTTGTATCTTTTAGCAATTCATTTGTGACCGCACTACAATTTTGTTCCTTATATTATTAAATTCATCAATTGCAAAAATCTAACTTTGGTTTAAAGACTTGAAATGACTTGAAGCCCAAAGCAGACGACTTGGACTTGACTTGGACTTATGGACCAGTGACTCGAGACTCGACTTGGACTTGCCTGTATTTGACTTGGGACTTGACTCGGACTTGAGGTCAAAGACTTGAGACTTACTTGAGACTTGCAAAACAATGATTTGGTCCCACCTCTGATAAGTGGTGTAGTGTGGTCGATTTAACAAATAAATACTGTTGCTAAAATCATGAGGGACTTTACGATTCCCAGATCTAAACAGTATTGATTAAAGCTGAGATTGAATTGTTAATCTTTTAGATAGTTGGGCAAATTGGAGGAAACTGTTATCAACCATTTTATCCATGTAACTGATGCTATTGTCCGCTTACAAATCATGTACAAAATTAAATAATGGTGTCAAAACAGCTTTGAATCTTGTCTGGAGCCAATTTGTGGATGACAGTCTTTAAAGGTTTCAGTAAATTGTAAATGTGTGCATTGCTTTTTGAAACTTGTATATAAAAAACATAGCGTTATCCTCTGTAGTATTTGTTTTTCGGAGAGGTGGTTGCTTGTATTACCTTTTATTGACGCTTGTCTCCAGTTGGTTGAATTCTTCAGACACTTCTTTGACGTTGTCCAATAGGCTCTGAGTGTTGGTGAAGGTTTTCGATTGGCTGAGCTCAGAGCCCAGGCTGCAGAAAGACTTCAGCTGACCGGACTCCTGCTCCAGCTCAGACTTCACCTCCTGAAAATCACAAACACAAGTACAATGTATTAAAAAAAAAAGGCGAAACAAAGACAAGAGTGTCAGAATAATTTTATTATCCCATATTTGCTAAATGCTTGTGTGATATTCTAGGCCTATGAGTTAACCATTTATGTACTACAATTCTTTGATTTATAATGTACCAATCACTTGTCACTTGTTGAATAACCTCTGTGTGTTTGACAACTGTGTGCAGTGTCCTGTCGCTCTAGTGAACCTCGAGATGATTCCTCACATGAAGCCAACTCCCACTGTCACACATGCAAGAGTTATGATGGTGTCTGACCTAAGGCACCTCCTGATTGTTAATCATGTTTTATGTGTTTGTACTATGCATAGCTGCATCAGTTTCTTATTATGTCTTTGCTGATTCCCCCTTCCCCTTGAGAATTATCATTCTGTAACTAGGGCCTCCTAATGAAATAAAAGGAGGAGAGCGGCCTTGAGTCATCAGAACGTGTGGATAATAAGTGCATAAGTACATGAGGAAATGTTCATGTACATTTTTAGATTTTGTACATGTGATCTGACCTCTATCGTCTGCCTGTAGTCCTCCACACTGCGGTCTGGTTGTCCCACAGGGCTCAGGGCCTTCAGTCTGCTCTGGGTGAACACCTGGAGGTCCGTGCCCAAGCGCTCGTAGTTCTCCAGGCGGGGCAGCAGTGCTTTGAGCTCGGTCTCCCTCTCCGTTTGAACCGCCTGGGCTTTAGTGAACCTCTGCGTGAGCTGGTCCAGGGAGCTCTTCAGACCGGAGGCGGTGGAGGCGTCCGAGCTCTGCAGAAGTTTGGACACGGCGTCTCTTGTGGCGTCGACGCTGCCCTGTCTCGACAGTATCTCCTGACGCAGTTTCTGTAGAATAAGAGATTTTAGATAAGCCTGTCACGATAAAAAATTTGAATTGCAACTTATTGTTTTCGTGAATATACAAGATAATATTGAAGCAAATTTATACCACTGACACGATAATCATTAAGCAGAAACTATTCTAAATTGTTTATATATTTGAGATACAAATAATAAATTGCAGAATTAATCACTTAAGTTCTTAGTTTGTATCTATAATGGGTCATAAAAGTTATTTCAACCCTCAGCAGCTCAAATCTTATCATATTACTAAATATAAAAATAAACAAATTATCCCTAGTGTAAAGAAAAATTACCCATGATAAATATTGTCCCCAAAAATTATTGTTCCATTTGTCATTTATTAAACGATAAGTCAATATAGTAATTTTGGTGACAATTTTCAAACTTCGGCTTTAAGTAATTATTCAGATTTTATATTTGAACAAAAAACTCAAACAAAAATGATCATATAAAAGCAGCAGGTTTTGTCCTCCCTAGTCAAATACAGGTAGATTTTATATTTTTGCTCATAACATTTTACCCTTGCTAGCAACTTTTTTCATATATAACTTTACAGAGGCTTAGATGTATATTTTGTAAACAATAATTAGATATTAAAGCAAAGCAGATAATGCAAAGAGTTACTAAGAAAATACTGTATGTATGTATAAATGTTTAAAACAATCATTGGTAAGTAACATCTGAATAGGAACAGTAACAGTCCTTGTTATCAGAGGTATAATACTCCTTACAATAGAAGCATAGCCAGATTGGACTGTACTAAATTAGAATGGAAACGCTGCTTCTTCTCTTTAACTCTCGTGCTACTACCATTTATTCTACAACAAGGCATTAGCGATGACCAGAAGAAATTTAGTGGTTTCAAAAATCAAATAACTCCTCTTTTTTTTTTAATACTTGTTTTTTGTTTGTTTTTTGTACATACCTGGTTCTGTGTGAGAGCCTCTTGCACAGCCTGAGCGGTGGGCAGTACCGGTGCCGGCTGCAGGGGGAGCTCTTCTAACCAGGACAGCAGAGTCTTGAGTCCCTCCTGGACGCTGACGGACTGAGCCACGGCGGTCTGGAGCTGCTCCGCCCGCTCCGACACAGACGAGGACAGAGAGCCAAAACGCTTCTCCAGACCATCTACAAAAAACACAGTATATGGCATTTTATTTAGCTTATTACCATGGCAACATACAAGATATTTGCAGTATTTTAAAAGAATAGAAACTTTATTCCATCGTAGCTACAATTTGCACCAATGAATAATAATAAATGTATATGAACTTGATTTGTCTGTAAAAAAAACTTTTCTTGTAGAGGATCTGCCATCTATTTGCCTCTACTAAGATGTTATTATTTTGCCTGGTATGATTCACAGTATGGAATTATGAGCTACGATATTAAAATCCATGGAGACAAGCGAGTGTTACTGTAATTCAAAGTTCTCCAACCTGTAGGTCAGGAGTTATTAGTAGTTCTCTGCTAGACGTCTGCGTGACACAAACATTTTCAGTTCTACTCCCACCCTGCTCATAAAGAATTGTAATTTTCATTCCCGCTCCCATCCGCATCTACGATATTTTGTTCTGCTCCCGCCTGCAAATCCCGCAAGATGGGGGTTTCTTTCATTAGCTCTATCAAACATGGAGAAGTGGAAAGGAATTGTGTAAAATGTGCGGCAGTTTAGACCAAGTCTGCAAGTTTAGGCTGCTTAAAGTGTTTTTATAAAACATCCAGCACAAATTATGCATGATAGGTATACATTAATCATTTGTATATTTTACTTTACACTCTATATTTAGTTTGCGGGACTGCAGTTTATCATCCCACCCACCTCCGCCATGAGCTTTCAAAATGTGTCCCATGTTGCACTGTTTTGCGTTAGGAATGCAGGGCTCTATTCTCCAAGTATTTCTGAATTATACACATTGTGCTGAATAAGTAAAATGTAATAAGTTACCCTTGTAAATGTATAATTTTGTTGACTAACTTTGTGCATTAATAAATAATTCTTTATTTTTATCTAACAGCATCTAAGGCTGTGAAAGTTCTATACTCAGTTTCGTGTGACTGCTAACATTTTTTAGCTCTAAGTTGGAGACCCCTGCTGTAATTGAATAAATGCAATATTATTTTCCATCCAGGCAAAGAATTAACAACTCCATGGACACAAACAACAGGATCCCCCATAACCAGAAAGGTTCCATAGTGGACTTTTAACTTGATATGACCACAGTTTGCCCTATAGTTACCTGCAGCACAGAGGATGTCCACAGCTCTGAGGGACGGAGACTCCTCGGTGCTCACCAGGTCTCGCCCGGCGCGTTTCACCTTCTCCAGCTGGACGGAGCGCTCCGCCATTTCATCCTGCAACGACTGCAGCGACGAGATTATAGTTAAAATAAACAAACAACTACTTTGTTCATAGTAATAGGACCAATCTCTCTACATTTCTGAGCTCTATTTTTGCACCTTTTTGTTCAATGCTTTAATTAACCATAATAAAGCATCTGACTGATCCTCACCTGGACTTGTCGTAGTGTGTTCTGCAAGTTCTGTGGGTCTGTGTCCACTGTGGGTTTGGTGATGCTTTGGTTTTGTTCCTGAGCGCTGAGCCACGAGTGCAGAGACACCATCTCATCCTGATACTGCTGGTACCGCTCCAACAGGCCGGAGAGACGGGCCCCCAACTCTGACGACTGAGACCACAACAGAACAGGAGGTTATTATTGGAAGTTTAATGAAATAATAGGGGAAAACATTCAAGAAAATCAACTTAAATCTCTTTTCCGTTACCTTAGTATGCAGTGCAGTGTATCTGTGGTTAGCGTCGTGTAGTTTGTCTGTGACCAGTTGTTTGGTGCTGTCCAGAGCGGGGTCAGAACCTCCCACCTGCTCCAGAGCCCCCTGCACCGAGTCCAGAACCTTCTGACCCGAAATGGACACGAAGCGCAGGTCTGCTTTGTGGCAAATGACATCCTCAGACAGCTGACAACAGAAAAAATGTATGTATGTGTTAGTTTAGTTCATAGTTTAATGCAAAATGTCTGAAAAATGCAAAAGAAAGCTCATTGTGTTAGATTAAAAGAAGAATTTTTGTTGTGGTTATTTCTATTATGATTTCACTAGAGTTAAATGTTCCATTGTATAAGAATGTAAAGCTCCTACTTGCCCAAAATAAATACATAAATAAATAAATAAAAAGTTTAATAGAGATATAATAAAGGCAAACAATATTAACAGCTATAATAAATACCAAAAGGTTGAAATAGTAAATCGGGGTAATAAAGAACTACCGAATCAATATACAAAAAAATCTATAATAAAAAGATATAAAAAAAAACATTTACTACTATGGCAGTATAAATGATGCTATCACCATTATTACTGAATAAAGTATAGAATAGAAAACAATACAAGAAGTGCTCCACCGTGTTTTCAATTAACTTATAATTAACTACTTTTGATCATTTCAGCCGTGGAACTGCCAATTTCTACTGAACTTAAAGTAAAAGGTGTCTGCTGACTCGAAAACTGCCCCTACATCAGGGGTTCTTAGCCTTTTCTGACGCTGCGGCCCGATTTTTCCAGTGCAGAGTGGCTCGAGGCCCATTAAATATTAACACTGTAGAGATTTAACTGATCTCACTCATTTTTATTCAATAATAAATCAAATCCACTCACAGTTTAACAAACTAAACCCTGAATAAACTTTAATGAATAATAACATGACATGGTAAAATGTGATCACCACAGAGATTTTTATTAAACCTATATCAACTTTTGCTAATAATTCATGAAACAGATCAAGCAAGAAAAAAGGCTGTAAAGGCTTAAGTCAGGCCCATTAATAATAAAGACCAATATTTAGATTTAACTTTTAACAAAACAAGGGACTCAGAATTAAAAAAAAACATAAAAATCAGTCAATCAATAAACAAAAAAAAGATAGTGATAAAATAAATACATTCATAATAATATTTTTTAAACATTAGATTTTAATATGCTACAAAATAATAAAAAATATATATAATGTTGTGTTATTGTATATGATGACAACTAATTTTGATTCTGGACTCTAAAAAAATTATTTAGTGTGTTTCTAAAGCGAAGTAACAAGCTAAACACTGACAACCTACGGCCCTCACAGCCCAGAGTTTTTTGCGGCCCTCCAGATGAGTTTGGGCCCTATGGTTAAGAATCACTCTACTACATGACATCATAAGGTGGAACAGACAATTTTGAGCTTTGGAAATGTAAACAGACTAATCATAAAGGATTACTCAAACATGTGTGAATGAAACAAAACACAACTATGGTTTTGGACGAGGTAACAGCATTATAGCAGGGCTGGACGCTCACATTAATCCGTTTTGTTTAATATAGGACCATAACAGTACATTTTTATTATGATGAGCTACGAATTGTGTATAAACAGTCCTATACAAACTTGCCTTGCCATAAGTCTGTGTCTATACACTGATAAAACTTGCAAATCTATACACAATCCCTACATTTTCTTCTATAGCTCTAGTCTAGTTAATCATGGGAATTACAGTTAAAGCCTATAGTGTAATGATCTGTATCAAATTGGCTGAGAAACAAGTCGAAGAAAACATATGTAGCTCCCTAATGTGGTGCCAAGGGACCACTAACAAGTGAAATTACCCCAGGGGCTTCTATATAATGTGTGACTGTATAAATCACAGCTCGTTTGGCCAAAAGAACAGAAACGGAGTCTGGGAAACGGCTGCTGCTCGGGCAATTAAACATGAAAAAGGCCAGAGAGGTATTTGTTTTCACTGTACTTTTGAAAACTCCAGATGCTTTACATGATTAGTTTTCAGTATTTTCGCAAAGCTGGGTTTCTCGTTATGATGTAGGAGTGACGAAAGCAAAGTACGGTTAAAACTTCTTCACGGTTGAAAGCTTAAATTATATTACACAAAAATGACTCTTTAAGCCATAGTGTAATATAGAGCCTTTAATAATTCTCCATACCTTCCTGTGCTCCTCCATTCTTGCCTTCAGGCCCTGGGCGTCGGTCTCTCCTTCTCCCAGAGACTTGAGCTCGTGTTCGGACTGATCCAGCCACGACACCAGGCTCCCGTGCTCCTGGACGAACTTGGTGAGCTCGTCCTTCAGGGCCTCGGACTTCCTCAAGCGGTCCTGGGAGAATGGGAGTTAGTGGAAATGCACAAAACATGAGGATGCTCTTTGACAGGTATACTAAGAAGAGTAGAAGTATCAGGTCTAATTAGTAAAGTATCTGTTAGGGATGTAACGATATCCAAATCTCTCGATATGATATTTATTGCAATATTGTGAAGATGTTGATATAATTGTAGATAAGACACTTTTTTGCTTTCAAATCCCTTCACAAGATTTTGGTGTGAATTATTTACGTCATAATCCCAAGAATTCAAGTAAAAAACATATTTCTTCATGTTGTCTGCACTGAAATGAATCATGGGATATGTAGTTCCCGATGTTTATAAGCTGTTGCTACTATAAAACCATGCATTTAAGCAAAGGAACTCGTCATTCAATATATTGTGACAGTCCTTTTTGACTTTTGATGATAAGATATCACGATATTTCAGTTATTTTACATCCCTAGTATCTATATGTTTTTGTCAGCTAGGCCCCATCCACACTAGTACGTATTAGAGTGGTTTTCATTGTGGATGCAATGTTCGTTCACACTAATCCGATGGAAGACAATCTCTGAACAATCTGGTGCCGCCAGCTCCCACGAATTCATCTGAGTACAGATCTGATCCGGCACTGTGCGGACGCCTGAAAAAGCTGATATGCTGATGTAGGAGCTCTAATTGCGTCGTTATTGAACCACGTCACTGTGAATTGTGCCTTCCTGATTCGCTGGATTCGTGACATCGGTCATGTGACAAACGGGAAGAGCGTAGCTAGAACTATTTGCACAGAACCATTAGCAGAACATCCCTCTGTCACAGAAAGTACACAGATATTCCACTGAGTTATGTCCTTTTTAAGTCCGACAGAAGTTGAACCGCATAGGGACACAAGGAGCGAGCTGTTTTTTGAGCGCTTAGTTTATGCAGATTAGCCATGTAGTTTAAGTTTTGTTTCTGTAAAACGTAAACAAATATGCTCAAAGCTGTGTGGATAGGGAAGGCTTGCGGACACAGAAACAACGTGTCTGGAGGCAAATCATTTCCGATACGGTGATTCGTTTCAGTGTAATAATACTGAATTACTGAATACTGAATTACTTAAATATGCACGGGTGACATCTAAACCTCTCCTGGTATTTTTTTTTGATGAGGAAACAACATTATAAGATGTGTAGAAGCATAATGATATGAAGACTGTATTTACCTGGCAGTTGTGCAGCCGCTCCTGGTGCTGGGCCTGTAGCTGGTCCAGAGCCGCCCTCAGACGCCTCTTCTCTTCGGGGGGGACGGCGGAGTCTGGCTGCTCCAGGAGAGAGCGCACGGACTGGGACACCTGCATCAGCTGGGCCTGCTGAGCCTGGAGCTGCTGCAACTCGGACTGAAGGAGACACAGGCAGGGGGTAAAGAGATTATATTATGAGAAACCAAAGTGAATCAGTGAGTAAAAAAGTAACCCTAAATCATTCTTAAACACTCCAATTAAAGACGTACTGTATATTAGGACAGATCTAACTGTCTAGGTGTGTGTTTTTGTGTGAAGTCCGTTGATTATACACACAGCTGTTTTCTTTTAATACTGTTTTGTCCTAATAAATATTAAAAAATAAAATTACAGTCATAAGCTCCAGTTTTTGAGTTAGTCCTCTTTCATATTTTTGCCGAAAATCAAACACTTAAACACAACCATGAACAGTATATTAATCAGAGGTCAATGAAAATGTGTTTTAAATAAATCATTATCACGATTATTTTGGTCAACGATTATTCAAACAATTATTTTTTAGTTACACGATGCATTTATTCAGCATTTCTCTCTCAAAAAAAACACTTTGTTATTGATAATTTATGCAAAACTTTCAAATTGAAAATAAATTCAGGCTACAAATATGAATCTTAGAGCAGCTTTGCGATGTATAAAACATAAAATGAATAAAATAAAAAACTTTGAACATTAAATAAGACATAGAAAAACATAAATGTATCCAAAATAAACTATAAATCCAGCTGTTCTACAATCTCTATATTAAAAAATAAAATAAAATAAATATACTTATTTATATAAAAAATAAACTTTTTTAAGCTTTATCATTTCAACTCGATTATATGAGTTTGGAGATCGTTTGACGCACAAATCGAAATCGAAATCGCGATCAAAATTCAATTAATTGCACAGCCTTAGCGTGCGTCGTGTCTCCATCGTAACTGTTGAAACTCTGCCATAGATATACATGCAGTGCCCCCCAGCGTGATGCCACTGCAAAGCATGAACTGCATTTAGAGCTTTTGGACATAATTTTTCAGACTTGATACATCGTTCAGATTATCCGAGTTGGAGCTGCTTCGTCCTGAGGGGATAAACAAAGCTCAAACTGACATTAAACCAAATGTCATCCGTCGCGTTACAAAACGGCCGACCTTTACGCCGCAGTCAACGCCGAGAAATAACTGTGCAAAATGGAACCTTCATACAAAATACATAAAACAATTACTAGAAATTGTTTTTAAAATATTATGAGCCATTAAGGTCAATTTATGAGGTAAAACAAGAGGGAACTGCAATAAGTAGAAGTAGTAGTGGTTGCTGTAGTTGTTGAAGTAGCCATAGTTGTAATTGTAGTCATAGTAGTAGTAGTAGTAGTAGTAGTAGTAGTAGCAGTAGTAGTAGTAGTAGTAGCAGTAGTAGCAGCAGTAGTAGTAGTAGTAGTAGTAGTAGTAGTAGCAGTAGTAGTAGTAGTAGTCAGTAGTAGTAGTAGTAGTAGTAGTAGTAGTAGCAGTAGTAGTAGTAGTAGCAGTAGTAGCAGTAGTAGTAGTAGTAGCAGTAGTAGTAGTAGCAGTAGTAGCAGTAGTAGTAGTAGTAGTAATAGTAGCAGTAGTAGTAGTAACAGTAATAGTAGCAGTAGCAGTAGTAGCACTAGTAGTAGTAATAGTAGCAGTAGCAGTAGTAGCACTAGTAGTAGTAATAGCAGTAGTAGCAGTAGAAGTAGTAGTAGCAGTAGCAGTAGTAGTAGTAGTAGCAGTAACAGTAATGGTAGTAGTAGCAGTAGTAGTAGTAGTAGTAACAATAATGGTAGTAGTAGTAGTATTAGTAGTAGTAACAGAAGCAGCAATAGTAGTAGTAGTAGTAGTAGTAGTAGCAGTAGTAGTAGTAGTAGTAGTAGTAGTAGTAGTAGTAGTCGCAATATTAATGGTAGCAGTAGTAGCAGTAGTAGTAGTAGTAGTAATAGTAGCAGTAGTAGTAGTAACAGTAATGGTAGCAGTAGCAGTAGTAGCACTAGTAGTAGTAATAGTAGCAGTAGCAGTAGTAGCACTAGTAGTAGTAATAGCAGTAGTAGCAGTAGAAGTAGTAGTAGCAGTAGCAGTAGTAGTAGTAGTAGCAGTAACAGTAATGGTAGTAGTAGTAGCAGTAGTAGTAGTAGTAGTAACAATAATGGTAGTAGTAGTAGTATTAGTAGTAGTAACAGAAGCAGCAATAGTAGTAGTAGTAGTTGTAGTAGCAGTAGCAGCAGAAACAGTAGTAGCAGTAGTAGTAGTACTACTAGCAGCAGTAGAAGCAATAGTAGTTGTAGTAGTAGCAGTAGTAGAAGTAGTAGCAGTAGTAGTAGCAGTAGTAGTAATAGTAGCAATAGCAGTAATAGTAGCAGTAGCAGTAGTAGTAGTAGTATTACTTTATAATATATAGTTTCCAACCTGTAGCATGTCTGTATGTGACTTCACAGCGCCCTCTGGTGGTGACAGGGCAGATTGCACAGAGTCCAGTGTGCCGTTGAAGCCCGTTCCTTTGGCTCCCAGTTGGTTGAGGCTGGACAGTTCGTTTAGGAGCGAGTCGATCTGTCCTCGAGTCTCCTGCAGCTCCTCCTCTGCCTTCGCCTAACATGAAAAAAACATTTCAATATTTTGATATCTTCTTGATATTTTAGTAGCAACACTTTATTTTAGGTTGCACTTAAAAGCTTCTGACCAGCTATGAATACACATACATTTAAGAGGTTATTTTGTAATTATTTAATGTACATAATATATTTAATGTTTTTAATCTTATTTTGCATTATTTTCCAACTTAAATCGAAGTGTTTTCTCATACACACTGTGGTCATGGTCATATTTTTTTCTACAGCACTTTTTTTTTTTTTATGTCGAGTGCAGATTCATACCAACCTTCAGATGAGTGGACAAACACAAAATAAAAACGGTAGGTATGGAGATGAGGTTGAGGCTATCTTATTATGCTGCTAATCAGACTTCTACTAACACTTTCCTATTATTTATTTACTTATTACTGTTTACTAATATGATGTTAAGACATAATTAAAGATTACAGATTTTTGGTACTAAAGGAGGGAGTTGTTAACGGCTACTACCACATGCAATTGAGTTTTTTTTTCATGTACAAGAATCGCTTCAAATAACACTCGTAAGCAGTAAAAGGGTGTTTATTAATAGAAGTAAAAGTCTAATTAGCAGCAAAATAAGGTTCTGGTTATGACAAGTAAATACAATTTAAGTATAAATCACGTGTTCACAAATTGTACCCTAATATAAAGTGTTTCCATTGTTTGTATGATTCTTTTACCCTCTGTGTGTTCTGTTGGACTGTGGTGCTGATAGCCGAGTCCACCTCGCACAGTGACGTATTTGCTGTATCTGTCAAAGCGCTGTACTGCTCCTTCATCTTCGCTAGCGCCCCCTGCAGGTTTGCCCTCTCCTCTGGGCTCAGACTGTCTCCTTTCTCTGCCAGCAGCTCCTCCACTGAGCGAATGGCCTCTGCTATTCCATCAGATTTGGACTGCAGGTCTTTTTGTACCTCCTGAAATGACAAATTACAAAATATTTCATACTTTTTTTCACACAAGTCTCTGATTTCAATTTAAAGAAGCACTAAGTCACTTTTATTTTGTTTTTACTTATTGTCCTCAGCATCTGACCCATCCTTCAATGCAAGGTTTGGTCAGACTCAGGATACATATTGTGCATGTTTTGTTGATGGGGGAAACCGAAGAGCCAGGAGGAAACCCACCAAGACATAGGGAGAACATGCAAACTCCACACAGAAAGACCAGAGGAATTGAACTTCTTGCTGCCACGATTGTATAGAATTAAACATGACGGAATACATCCATTTATTTCATCATGCGCTACTATTTCAATGTACATTTTTTACCATTATAACCACAGACTGTATAAAGAAGTGGACTAAGTGAATGTGACGTCGTCTATAGCATTCGGCTCCAGTCAAGATTTTGGTGTGAATTATTTACGTCATAATCCCAAGAATTCAAGTAAAAAACATATTTCTTCATGTTGTCTGCACTGAAATGAATCATGGGATATGTAGTTCCCGATGTTTATAAGCTGTTGCTACTATAAAACCATGCATTTAAGCAAAGGAACTCGTAATTCAATATATTGTGACAGTCCTTTTTGACTTTTGATGATAAGATATCACGATATTTCAGTTATTTTACATCCCTAGTATCTATATGTTTTTGTCAGCTAGGCCCCATCCACACTAGTACGTATTAGAGTGGTTTTCATTGTGGATGCAATGTTCGTTCACACTAATCCGATGGAAGACAATCTCTGAACAATCTGGTGCCGCCAGCTCCCACGAATTCATCTGAGTACAGATCTGATCCGGCACTGTGCGGACGCCTGAAAAAGCTGATATGCTGATGTAGGAGCTCTAATTGCGTCGTTATTGAACCACGTCACTGTGAATTGTGCCTTCCTGATTCGCTGGATTCGTGATATCGGTCATGTGACAAACGGGAAAGAGCGTAGCTAGAACTACTTGCACAGAACCATTAGCAGAACATCCCTCTGTCACAGAAAGTACACAGATATTCCACTGAGTTATGTCCTTTTTAAGTCCGACAGAAGTCTATAGCATTCGGCTCCAGTCAAATAAAGTTCATTGAGGCTGGCGGGCATTTAGCAACACTGTTGATAAATTAGAGGGAGTAAACTCAAGGAAAAAAGGCGCCCGATTTGTCCGTTATTAATGTTCATATCTTGATTTATAGACAAAACGGTGAAATAAAAACATGACTCGATGGAGCTGGAAGTGCCCATGCTCACTTCCTGTTTGAAATATGACTAATAAGAGCGTTACTGCACCTTTAGCTTCCTCTGCTTCTCCTGTAACGCGTTCACATCTCCAGACTGTCCCCCGGTCACATGACTCGCCAAAAGACTCGCCGCTCCGGCCAAATACATCGCAAGACCCTCCAGTTTCTGTGAGCACTCGGCTTTCTGCTGCTGTACCACCTGACGAAAAAAATGAAAAAAATTACGATTATATATTTAAGAAGAAGACAAGACAAAGGTGCATTGTGTAACTTTTTTGGTGGAGGGTCCGTCACATGTTTTTTTCTCTGTGAAAATGTTATTACTTTGTGTGGAATGCTTCACAGTTTGGCATTAAACCTTTCTATCTCCATGGAAACCAAACCAGACCAAGTTAGAGGTCAGATCTGTTGAGAATGTCTGTTTTTTTGGTATTTTTGAGCTATAAAACCACCTGCAATTTAATAAATGTAAAGTAGAGTTGTTTAATGTCACGCTGTGGAACATTCCAGGCAAATCAATGACATATCCATAGAAACAAGCAGGTGATGGACCCAGAACTAAAAAGTTACATAGTGCATCTTGACAATGTTTACCTTTTTGAATATGATTTTTTTTGTTTTTTTATCACAATTCACACAGATATTTTCAGTGCACTTTTAGTTTTGAGCATGTTGTGTCCACATTCACACATTCACACACACAAAGATAACATTACGCACAAACTGCAACAAATTGGCAAAAGCAACACAAAGACAGATCACACAATTCCTCTTTAAAACGAGACAAAACTCTAGCTTCAAAAGTACTGGATCTATAATAATCCCTATCTGTTTCCCATTGCGGTGACAAGTGATTTTCAGTCTGGAGCATCTGGAAAAGCAAGGCAAACAGGTTAAAGGCACACAATGTTAACTTACATGCAAAAAGCTCAATTTGTGAGAAGAGTGATGGTGCTATAGCGGGTATGGGTACATATTTTAGTTATTTTATTTTATTTTGTGTGGAACTTTTTGTGTTTGATGGCATTATAAAGATGAACAAGTGAAAGCGATGGGCGTGAATGAAATATTGGAATGGTCCTCTATTACGCAAAATTGACTCTTGTGAGGTTTCAGCCTTGTTAGAATGTTGTTACCTCATTAAACAGAGTTGTGTTTCGATTCATTCACATATGTTTGAGTAATCCTGCAGTACTGGTGATGTCTTTCAATGGTAATTTTCAATTTAGCAGCTACTTGTAGTTTAAAATGAACTGAATATACTGTAAAACACAACAATAACTAAAAATGGTTGCCCTTTCTATAACTATATCCATTTCAATTCCTTTATTGTCATTGTCATATAAAATCACAACGAAATTATGTTAGAGCATCACCACAACACTTTTTTAAATAAATGATGCAGTTGTGGTGATGCTCTAACGTAATTTCATCTTATTAATATGAAATTACGTTAAATTTCATATTAATAAGTGTATACATTTTCATCTTATACAGATGAAAATTAGGTTGTAGTTAAATCTGGTCTGTGCTATATATTTATTGTGTAACATTTGTCAAATAAATCATACAATAAATAAATAACAATAAATAAATGAACACTTTGTTTAGTTGAGATGGCCACACGAAGTCTACAATAGCTCCTGGTGGCTAAAACAATACCTGTAATTTTAAAGTTTCTACATTTCTGAGCTGGAAATCATCAGTGATTCTAGTGAAGGTGTTTGGAGTTCAGAAGCACTTCATTCTTTCAGTTTGAGAGAAGAACTCAGCCTAAATATGCAGAGTTTGTGTGTTAAACATGGGTGAATGAAACAAAACACAACTTCTGTCTGTTTGTGAAGAGAAAACATAACAGATCAAGAATTTGCTTAATATGGGCCCTTTAAGTGATGCATAACGTAAAGTAATGAAAGTGAACTGCATGCATTAAAGAGGTCATGTCTATAAAAAACAGCATAACGTGTTTCTAAGTTCATTGAATCACATGATATACTGATGAAGGAGTATTTAATTCATAATATTAATGGTAGTATTTGTAGACATTATAATTAAAACCGTACATAAACCTCTATATCCACAGGCCTTGCTTGGGGTAGGCTGATTCTCGTGTACACAGTATATGGTAACTTGAACATGACTAAAGGTCCTATATTACACAAAACTGACAACCGTGAGCTTTAAATCGTGTTAAAATGTTGTTACTGCATCAAAAACTGACTTGGAGTTGTGTTTTGTTTCATTCACACATTCATGTTTGAGTAACCCCTTATTATTAGTCTGGTCTAGTATGATAGTGGTGCGGCGTGAGTGAGGGGCTGATGGCGGTGACTGGCAGCCAGTCTGCCCCAGGTCAGCTGTGGCTACAATAGAAGTTTACCACCACCGGGTTTGAAGTGAATAAATAATGATCTGTAAAGCGTCTTTGTGACATAAGTCTGTGAAAAGCACCATATGAATAAAAACTTACATCTCCTAAGCTCAAAATGCTCTGTGATGTGATGTAGTTGTGGTTTTCAAGTTAAAAGCTACCTTTCAGCTTTAGTTCAGTACAATTGATGATTCTAGTGAAAGCGTATGGAGTTTAAAAACACAGTGGATCACTTCTTGTATTACCCCATGACTATAATTTATGTTTGAGAGAAGAACTCAGCCTAAATATGCAGGTTTAATGTGTTAATCATGTGTAAATGAAACAAAACACAACTCCAGGTCTGTTTGTGATGAGGAAACAACATTATAACTAGAATCAGAAAACAGTGTAACATGGGCCCTTTAAACTTGTAGGTATAATAACTTAAAAATTGAGTAAAGATGGATAGTGAGGAGAATATTCTGTAGTTTTCCAATTCATTCTGACAAAGCAACAATGGCATAACATAATAAAAAAGCATGGCGGTAAGCTGTTGAACACAAAGCATGTCTCGATAAAACATCAGCACAGCAGTAGCACCTCACAGACCCACTCCTCTTTATCCAAACCTCTCTCTCTTTTGCACTCTCTCTGTTCTTCTCCTCCTCTTTGCTCTTCTCCTCTCTGCGTCTCCTCTCCTCCTCTCTCTCCCTCTGGACGGACAGAGCCGTGGACCAGGCGTGGGCGTGGCCTGTAGCCTGGTGATAAGCCCCCTGAAGCTGCTGGAGCTTTCCCAGGACCCCCCTGCTCTGGTCCGGGCTCAGATCTTGGGCTCGTTCTGAGATAAAGACCTGGATGTCAAACGCAACATCGCTCACTTCACTGGAGCGGGAGGTCAGGGCGTCCTGGAGATCCTGTGAGGGAAAACAAAAAGGGACAAGAATTTTAAAATGAAATCTGTACAACTTGAAAACAACCTCTTCATGACATCACAAGGTGGAACAGGGCATTTTGAGCTTTGGAGATGCATACATTATTAAGTTAACTTACTTTACAGAGCTGTAGCTGCTGTGTTAGAGGACAGTCCCCGGCCCCCTCCTTCTCCTCTGTCCTGTTCATTCCTTCACTCATTTTGGACTCCGTTTCTTTGAGCCACGAGAGCAGAGTCTCAGCTCGCCCTTCCAGAGAAGAGAGCTCTGCTGCTACTGCCTCCTGGAGATAGAGAAAAGAAATAATGATAAAGTAACGAAACAATAAAACAAAGCCAGCAGTAAAGTTTAAACTAAATATTTCATTAGGTTTTGAAACAACTTTAACACTTAACCAGTCTGTAATAAAAGTGTGTTGGGTCCGTTTGATTAGGCCTATTTTGCTTTTTTAAACTACATGCTAAAAAAATGCTCGACCTAGTAATTTCCTTTAGTAGTAGTAGTAGAATTAGGCAAGGCAAGGCAAGTTTATTTGTATAGCACAATTCGTACACAAAGTAATTCAAAGTGCTTTACAGAATAAGAAATACATTAAAATCATAATAAAAACAAATCAAAACATAAATAATCGTGAAGATTAAAATAAAAAAAGAGAGACATAAATTGGAGAGAAGAGTGCGGAATGAAAACCTTTCATTCATATGCACAGTTAAACAGAAATGTTTTGAGCCTGGATTTAAACTGCGTCACAGAAGAGTCTGTCTCACATGTTCAGACTGTTCCAGGTTTTAGCTGCATGAACCTGAAACGCTGACTCCCCTTGTTTAGTCGTGACTCTGGGCACCAGCAGGAGGCCGGTCCCTGAGGTCCTCAGAGTGTGAGATGGTTCATATGACACTAACATGTCACAGATGGACTTTGGTTCTCGGCCATGGAGAGACTTGTACAAGCAGAGCTGCTTTAAAGTCTCTGAGGCACAGGAGCCAGTGCAGAGACCTGAGCACAGGACTTATGTGCTCGTACTTCCTAGTTCGAGTAAGGACCCGAGCTGCAGCGTTCTGGATGGATCGTCTCACAGCTCGTTTGGAGAGTCTGATTTAGACAGTAAACCTTTGATTTTTGCTATGTTTTTTAGATGGTAAAAGGCTGCAGATGTTATTGATTTGATGTGGCTGTTAAAGTTAAAGTCTGAGTCCATTATTACCCCTAGATTTCTTGCCTGATTTGAAGGTTTTAGAGAGAGAGAGACTGGAGGTGACTGCAGGTGAATTAGTAGTAGTAGGTGAATTAGTAGTAGTAGTATGAAAGCATGGTTTTATAAATGAGTCTTGTAGTTGAATTGTTGTTCTCTCTGTATGCTAAAAGTCACACTCAGCCCTCTGCGTGGGTCTATATCTGAGTTTAGATTAAATAGATGAAACTGAGCTGTGCACTCTCCTGTTACTCCTGAGTCTGAGGACCTCAATGATGGACATGTCTCTCTCCTCTGTTACTTTCTTAAGGCTGAATTATAGTTCTGCGATGACTCAACGCACCCTGCCACCATTGTTTTTGATTTATGGATCTGCGTCGAGGTCTATGCACCGCAAAGTAATTCACAACCACAATGCTAGGAGGCTAGGACTAAAACTGGCGTTCATGTAAACAAAATTAAACGGGAAAACAGAGTACTGGAAATGTATATAGAGCGGTGGTAGAGAGGACCAATCACAGCCCTTATTGTCCACGTCACTTTCCGTTGCTGTCTGCATCAGTTTGACGCATAGTTACAAAATTTCAGAGGTGCACGTTGGTCGATGCGAACGATCTGCGGAGGGGGTTCAAGACAATTTGAAGCATGACCATAAATTGGGCTTTAAATATATCTACTGTGAAGCTTATGTAAAGTGGAGCATCCTGATCATTAAACTTCTAAACAAGAATCTATTCACCTGGATCTGGCGCCATCTCCTAACAACAACAACCATCTCCTGATATCATAGTAGTAGTCAAAGTAGTAGTAGTACTAGTATTGGTATGAGTAGTAGTAGTAGTAGTAGTAGTAGTAGTAGCAGTTGTAATAACCTTGTGTGAGTCTCTATGCTCCTTCAGACTCTTCAGTATCTCTTCGGACAGACTCTTGGCCGCCTCGTATCCTCGGGACAGACTCCGTCCGTCTTTCTCCAGAGCCAGTAGGAGCTGAGGAGGCAGGTCCTCCGGTTTGGGGTTCAGGAAGTGTTCTGACGCCTCCAGCTGTTTGTGGATTTGAGGTTCTAAATCTCGCAGTTCAAGGTCCAATGTCTGAGGATTAGAAAACAAAAACAAAAGAGATTTAATATATTTAGAGACTAATCGGATAATCAGGGAATAAAGGCTAACATTTTTACGGGAAGAGACATTTTTATGTTAATAAACTGCACAATGAAAAATGTAGATAATTCTTTTGCATTGAAAAACCATGTTAATACGTGACCAAAAGTATAGCATAAAAAATGGAATGAACCAACATGTCTGTCATTTTTTAGGTCGAAATCTATTTTTTATTTATTTATTTACGTTAAAAAACTCATCACTCACCTCTGTTTGTCTTATGATGTCGTTCAGAGCTATAAGGCTACGTCCCACAGACTGCTGCTTCTGTTGTTTCAGTTGGACTTCAACATGTCTGACCATCGAGACCAGAGCCACAATCTGCTGATCCAGCTCCAGACACTCCTGCTTCTTCAACGAGGACTGCAAATCGCAATACAAAACAACGCGACGGTAATACAGACTTCAAAATGACATAATAGCTATTCAACTTACTCTACTTCCTTAACTTACCTTGCCAGTTTTAGAAGTTGTAGCTTGGTTTTTCAAAACGGCACCCTCTGTTATTTTAATCTGCTCGTTCAAAGGTTGGGTTTCGTTATCGGACTTGCCATTTTCAGGTAATTCCGTTGCGGTAATTTCAAAACCCTGTGGCGCATCCACTTTTTGTTCTTCAATAACTTTGATATCTGGCAGATTTACTGTTTCAAATGTATCCTCCATCTTTTCGTCTTTCTCTGCAATTTTCTCCACTTCCTTCGGTTCAATTACAGGTTGGATTTGGATGTTTGACTCATTTCTATCCGGATCAGTCTGGCCAAGATCTTTGGTACTTAAGAGGTCAGGTGACAGATCTGGTGAGGCTTTTGTTAACCCAGTACTATATTCCTCTGCTTGGGTTGAATTTGAAAGTGTTTGGTCTTCACTTTTACTTTCTGATAAACCAATAGTTGCAGTTTGATTGTCAACAATAGCTTGCAATTTTGGTTTCAAAGTAGTATCTTCAGAAATCACGTTTTCTTCACGTGGCTTCTCTGTGCGGTCCGTTTGAGTTTTTGCCTTTTTATGCTTCTTATGTTGTTTCTTTGGCTGGGTTTCTTTGATTTGTTGAATTTCAGATACTTCTTTTAATGCTACATGAGGAACATTTTCAACCTTATCTGAAACCACTTCTTTGGGTTTAACCATTTTATCCATTTCACCATTACTTCCTTGTACAGCGTCACCTTGCGTTGGTCTTTCTTGCTCATTCATATCTTTTTGTATCTGTTCTGATCCCACACTCTCCTCCATCGGCTTAACCATTTTACCATGTCCATCTTTCTTTCCCACCTCTTTCCGTAAGGCTTGCAATTCCTCCGCTGCTTGTTTCTCACTCACTCCTTTCTCAAAAACCTTTTTCAAAATACTCTCTTTGGCCTTCAGCACCAACGCTGCTTTTTCATCATCTGGCAAAGATGATTTTTGAGGTAACGCCCCTTCCTCTTTCTTAACCTTTTCTTCTTGGAGCTGTACTATATTTTTAGACTCACCATTCGCACCAGTTTTCTCAACTTTCTTTGCCTTCTTTCTTCCGTTCACTAGTTTCGCTTCTGACTTCTCTTTCTCTGATTGGAAAACTGACGATTCTTTGACGATTGCAGTGTCCTTTTCAACCTCCACTATTTGAACCTCATCTGAAGAAGATATTTCATCTTTAATTTTGGTTTTCTCAAATTCACTTACAGATGGGACAATAGCAGTTGATTGCACAATTTCAGCGCCTTTTTCAGTTTTGGTTTCAAATTTAGTGTCTTCAGATTTGGCTCCAGGTTGCTCCTCTGAACCATCTGCACCGTTACCTCTGGCCTTTTTGTGTCTTCGCTTCTTCTTACTTTTGCTGTCTGTTTCTTTAGCTGGAACAGCCATAACTGGTTTAGATACATCAGCGTCAGAGGACATTTTGGTTGGAGTTTCCAAAGGTGGTACAGCTACGATGACATCTTCGTCCTTATTGGTTGAAAATACAATTTCTTCAGTTTTCTCTTTACTTTCTTCTTCCAGTTTTGAAACAGTTTTGGTTGGAGTTTGCAAAGATGCTGCAGCTACGATGACATTCTCGTCCTTTTCGACTGAAACTGCAGTTTCTTCAGTTTTCTCTTTGCTTTCTTCTTCCAGTTTCGAAACAGTTTTGCTTGGAGTTTGCAAAGAAGGTACAGCTATGATGACATTTTCATCCTTATTAGCTGAAAGAGCAATTTCTTCAGTTTTCTTTTTGCTTTCTTCTTCCAGTTTCGAAACAGATTTGGTTGGAGTTTCCAAAGATGGTACAGCTACGACGATATTTTCCTTCTTATCAGCTGAATCTGCAATTTCTTCAATTTTCTTTTTGCTTTCTTTATCCAGTTTCGAAACAGTTTTGGTTGGAGTTTGCAAAGATGCTGCAGCTACGATGACATTCTCGTCCTTTTCGACTGAAACTGCAGTTTCTTCAGTTTTCTCTTTGCTTTCTTCTTCCAGTTTCGAAACAGCTTTGGTTGGAGTTTGCAAAGATGGTACAGCTACGATGATATTTTCATCCTTATTAGCTGAACTTGCAATTTCTTCAATTTTCTCTTTGCTTTCTTTATCCAGTTTTGAAACAGTTTTGGTTTCTGTAGCAGGAACATTTTGTACTGTTTCAGACAGATTTATATCAGTTTGTGTAGGTTTTATTTCTCCTTGTTTCATCTTTTTAACTGCTTTTGCTCGTCCGTTTTTCTTTGTCATTTCTTTAGCTGGTTTTGCAACTGCAGATGCATCTTCTACTGATTGAGAAGTAGCAGAAGTAGTGGTGGTAGTAGCAGTAATTTTCTGGTCAGGCTTGATTTTAGCTGTGATTTTTTCTTGACTTTTCGTTGCCTTGACATCTCCATCTTCACCAATAGAACTTTCAGCTCCAACATGTTTTGCCTCTTTAGTTTCCTTCACCACTTCTGAGATGCTTTTGTCTATTGTCAACCCATTTGTGTCAATATCTTTACTCTTCACGATCTGATCAGTCATCTCCAAGACAGGACTTGCTTTTTCCAGAATTTCGACAGATGTCATTTCGATTTCTCCTTCATTTTCAACGTTATTATCGGTTTTAAATCCAGAAGGCATCTCCTCACTCTTAGTTGGCATTTTCCTCTCTTCAGTAGTCATCCTTTCTTCATCTTCAGATATACGAGCCACACTGTCTGGGTATTCCTCTACTTGTGTTGTTGAAACTTCCTTTTTGATAGTCATAGCGTCCTTCTTGCCTTTAGTAAAATCTTTCTTACTTTGAGGACTTACTTTGTCTAGAGTTTCAACAGGTTTTGATATTTCGATCTTTCCTTTATTCTGAACCTGAATATCTGTTGTTGTCTGTATCTCTTCACTTTCAGCTGGAGTTTCTCTCTTTTCCATAACAATGTTCTTTGCATCACTGGATGAAGTAGACACACGATCATGATGTTTCTCTGTTTGTATTGGAGAAGCTTCTTTTTCTTTGGTAATCATGGTCTCCTTCTCAGCTTTAGTAATCTCTTCATCACTTTCCTTTGCTGGTTCTGGAATGCCCTTGTGGTCTACAGATGTCGTTTCTATTGTGTAAGGAGTAATATCATTATCTTTATATGACAAGGGCTCCATCTTCTCCACAACTTCAGTCCTCTTTTGAGTTTCTAAAGGTTTCACAAATCTGCTCTCTGACTTATTCTCAACCACATCTTCCTCAAGTTCTGTTTTTTGTTTGGCATCTTTAGCTTGTTTTGAAATGTCGATTTTGTCTGCCACAACTGTCTTCACTGTGTCCATATTTTCAGAGGAGAACATTGGTAGAACTTGGTCAGAAGTTTGAATGCTTTGTACGAGTCCATCAGCGTTTTCTTTAGCTGCTGTTAAAACAGCATTGCCAACTTTTATTAACTTCTCTGCCCCATCAGAGTTTGTAGGCACTGACATTTTAGGATAAACTTGGCCTTTAATTTGTGCAACGCCAATTTCTTCCACTTCTTTCTCAAACGCAGCATCTTTTTCAAGTTTTGCAACAACTGGAATTTTACTAACAGCTTTAATACTATCTTCACGCATTTTGTCCTCCTTCTCTTCTCGAACAGATCCAATATTAAGCTCAACTGGGCTTTTAATTGTTAGTATTTTATCACTTTGGTCAGCCTCATCAAGCTCTTTATAGCCAATTTTTTCTTGTGCATCGTCCATGGTTTCTTCAGTCGCTAAACTATCTTCCAAATTTTCTCCAACAATGTCAGTTTCTTTATTATCAATTCTAAAAGTAGGCATTGTTACAGCTTTTGTATCTACAGTTGCATCGTCTGTCTGTGGGGCAATTTCCTCAATAGCCTTTTGGATCTTTTTCTCCACATTTGCAGCAAACTTTGAGAGGATGTCCAGTGATTTATCAGGCTCTACTTGCACAATTTCTTCTGTGGACTGTTCCGATCCAGTTGATATTTTTTTCTCTCGCGCGCCTACCAAACCTTTCTCGTAAAGCACAGATTTTGAGTCAGTGTTTGAGTCCGACCAGGTTTCCATACTGTCTGCGCTGCATATTGACAGTGTAATTGCAGGGCTGTGTTCACTACCAGAAGAAGCGACAGGAGTTGAACTGTCAGCCAAGCTTTCTCTTTCTGTAGATAGCAGCTTTTCAGTATCATCTTGAGTAATTTCTTTGGGTAAGAGTCCTTTGGCAATAGCATCACTAAGGTTATCCACTTTCTGTCCAGTAGCAGGATCAATTAACCCGTCTTTCTTTAACTGATTGGCAGCTATTGTTTTTGCCATATCTTCTTCCACTAAACCTTTGCCAATTGCTTCACCTAAGGTAACTCTCTTGCCAGTTGTGATGTCGATAATGCCTCCACTGTCTGCTTGGCTTTGCAGAACCCTCATAGCAGGGATGGGGTCAACCTTTTTAGATGCAATAGCCTGGGGAAGTGTCATAATTACACCAGTTTTCTCACCTTGAATACCTCTAAATGGCTTAATTTCTAGGAAGCGCTTTCCAGTTTCGATATCTATCTTACCCTGGTTTGCGAGATCAGAGTAAGGCACAATGCAAGCAGTTTGTGGGTCAATAATTCCTTGTTTTACACCAGGAGATGTCATAGCGTTGTTAGCAGTTACTTCATTTATCAGACCTTTAGAAACCGCCTCAGTCAAAGTCAGTTTTTGTCCTGTGCTTGGATCCAAAACAGCGCCCGTAGATGCTTGCAAAACTACAGCTTCTTCGTTTGATGACTGGTTTGTTTTGCCTTGGTAAACCCACTCCAGCTCCTCGAGTCCCGGGGCCAGAGATCGGTCGACGAGTCCTCGATCAACTGCATCCGAAACAGGCAACCTCAGGCCAGATTCATGATGGATTATCCCACCTTCTGCAACCTGCTTAGCCAAAACCTTATAAGCATCTTCCTGTTTGATGAGCCCTTTTTGCAATGCTCTCTCCAATGGTAAAGGACATTTCGACTCAGGGTCAATTATTCCTTCAATTTGTAGCTGTAATGAGGCTTTAGTCATGGCAGTTTCAAGGTTGGTATTTTTGCCTTTGTAAGCCTTCTCCAAAGCAATCAATGGCTCTCTTTGCTCCTCATCAATTAGTCCCATATTGGTGGCAAGAGTAACTGATATTTTCTTGTCACGGTTGAGGTCTACAATGCCCCCAGACACAACTTGAGCTTCCAAAAGTCTACTGCAAGTATTTGTATCAATCAACCCTTCTTTAGCTGCTTCTGTCACTCCCAGAATCTTACCCTTTTCGGCATCTATAACCCCAGCAAGAGTTTTGTCTGATTTTAGTATACTCCACATGAGATCTTCGCCTTCCAGACCTTCTTGCATCAGATCATCCAAATTCAATGAGTCTCCAGTGCTGGCGTCAACAAAACCGCCGAATAAACCAGCTTGGGACATCAGCTTGACTGCAGTGTGGCCAGGAAGGATGCCCTGAGCTACAGCCTCATCTGGGAGTAGTCTGTCCCCTTCTGGAGTCTTCAGACCTCCTTCTTTAAGCTCTGCAACCAACCGTGAAATTTCCATCTCCTCCTCAGTCTCCTCTGTGGGCTTCAAGCTGTCATCTTGCCCGAAGACAGTAGACAATTGTGGCTTAGTTTTGTCCATTTGAGCAGGTTCAAGAGCTTTTTTACTTTCTACTTTGGACAAAACAGCTTTCTCTGACTCTGATGTTACAGTAGTGGCAGGATCTGTTATAATTTTAGCATTGGAGATTTCTGTATTGGCCAGTGTGGTAATATCTTCAAAATGTCCAGTTTCCTCAGTTTCATTTTTGAGGTTCTTATTCTTATCATCTACATTTTCATCCACTTGACTTACAGCTTTTATTTTTGCTTGTTTACCATTTTGTAGTCTCACAATTTCGCCCGATTGTTTGATAACTTTGTCAGCTTCCGATTTTGCTTGTCTCTGAATATCTTCTTTCATTTCAACAATTTTAGTTCCATCTTCTTCCACAGCTCCCTGATGTGGAACATCTACAGTTTCAGTTCTTACAAGCTGATTTCCATCTTCAGAAAACTGGTCAAAAGCTGCGACCAACTCCAGCAACTCTGAATCCAGCAAAACCAACCGTCTCCCGGTGTGTGCATCCATGTAGCTATGTGTCATTATGTGAAACAGGAGCTTTTGTTTAGCTTCCTCTTCCGGATCTTGGGAGTTTACAGATTGGATGTCCCATATAGGTGGACTGGGGAAAGATGGCCCCAACGGAGAAGATGGAGGTGTAGAGGAACTTGTTGAATTCCAGCTCAAACGTGACAGAGAAAGAGATTGGTTTGTGTTGGGAACAATATCCGGAATATGTGTGTCTTGAAGTTTACGGACAATATTTGCACCAAGAGTTTCCTTAGCTGTATCATTGAAAGGTAGTACTTGCAACGTTTCAGGGTTGTACAGGGCTCCTATGACATGCCGCTGTCTTAGCATGTTTTTAGCGAGCTCCCCTGATATTACGCCTTGTTGTAGAGCTTCAGTTATGGGTAGGATTTCACCAGATTTTGGCCACAGCATTCCCATGTAAGACCAAAGCGACTCAAGCACCAATAAAGCGAGGCGAGGGGAAAGCAAGTCCCTACGAATGCTTTCTTCCAAATCCAAGCGTTCCCCATCGCAGAACGGATCAACGATGCCGCCATGTTGGAGCTGTCTCGCTAAAATGGCGCAAGCGAGATCCTGGTCCATTAACCCGTGACGTACAGCTTCATCAACGGTGAGTCTATGGCCAGAACGTGGATCAGCAATACCTCCTGCAAAAAGCTGTGCCTCTAGAAGACGGACAGTCACATTTCGGTCGATCAGTCCTTCTTGGATAGCTCTGAAAATTCCTACTTTTCTTCCAGAACGCAAGCAAACGGTACCTTCCTGCTTGCTGTTTGACGGGAAGCAATAAAAATCCAGAATCTTCGTCGGTAATGCAGTGTTGTTGGAGATCTGAGAGACTTAGTTTCTCAGCAGTATTTGGGTCAATTAGCTCTTTCGCGTTTGACATTGAGTGTAATTTTCGAGCAAGATTGGGAGTTAAGATTTTCAGGTCTTCTGCTTGCTCAATACTTATTCTAGTTTCATTTGTTTCATTTATAAGCCCACCAGAATTCAATTGCAAAGCCAGTACGTGAAGACCAAGCTCCTCTCTGATTAAGGAATTCTCAATCGCGTTAACAACTGACTTAACATTTAGTTGCGCGTTCTTTCCCATAAGATAGAGGGCGTTGTTAAGTTCAGAAAGGCACTGCTGCGTGTGTCCGTTTACAAGTCCGATATCTTCTCCTTGCTCCAGCGATATAAGGAAACCGGACTGAGGTTGAAGAAGGCCGCCCCAAACTAGCTGTGCCTCCAGGAGAACCAAGCACGTGTCCTGGTCAATGAGTCCACGTTGGGCTGCTTGAAACACGGGGAAAGTCTCCACGGTCCCCAGGTCAATCACTCCGGCAATGACAGGATGAGTCTAGGAGAAAGAAAAAGTAAAATGTAAGATTGCGTACTGGTTAAAATTGATTTGTAGAGTTAATCAAATGTTATAAAGGCTAAAAACAACTACAAGAACACCACGATCTAAAGAAAAAGAAAAGAAACGAAACCCACAGCCAAAATTAAAGGGATAGTCGAGTATTATGTGATTCATAAGATACTTTGGGATTGGCAGACTTTTTATAACAGTAATGTCAGTATATATCATAGACCGATTTTGGCTCCATCGACCAACTTACTTTACACTTAAAAATTGTCAACCCTCTCTGTAACTGCTGCAGTAAGACTATGTTCATATTAACCTGCTCTACATGATCCTGGTGTTTTTTATTTTGCTTTTTTATCACCCCATAACCGCTATCAATGAGCTTCATTTGACTGGAACCAAACGCTAAGGGCGACTTCACAACTTTTAGTCTACTTTTTTATACAGTCTATGGTATATTTAAAATTTGGACTAGTAAACTAAAGCAATTGAGAGTTAAAGGCCTATTCATTCTTTATTAGAACATTAGAACATTAAAGCACCCAGGGCTGGCCGAACAAAAATCAAAAATCATTTTGTTCGTCCAGCTCCTGTTCAGCAGTTCTTCGGCTTGTTCTCGACATCTCAGCTGAGCAGAATTTTGCTCAGAAACGCTGTCTGACATCTTCGCTCTCACTGGTTATTTATGTTGGCGTGGTTTATCTACCAACGGGTGCCTGAGATCCAACGACTGCTTCCTTGCCGGTGCGGAGCAAGAAAAATAAAAGGATGGTTTTGAGTCACAGCTGGCGGAAATGGTGAGAAAATACAAACATCTATACGACACAAAGTTCAATGACTATAAAAAGGCCAAATGGCAAGAAATTCAAGCAAGGAGATCGCGGACATTTTAGGTTTGGATGAAAATCAGTGTAGAAAAGACTGGTGTAATTTCTGTGACAAGTGACAAGCCAAATAATGTGGGTCAACAAAAAAAAAAAAAAAGTGGACAAACACAGGAAAAAGTCCACCAATATGACTCCAAGTCAAATAATAGGCGCAAGAGACCGGACAGAGTGAGGGGTGGGCAGTTCGACAGCAGAACATCTTTTAAAGTTGAAATGTCAGAGCCCAAACAAATTATGTTCTTGTTCTTATCACCTCAAGAACAAGAACAAAGTTATGTTCTCATGAAATATGAATGGGCCTAAAGTCTTTGTTTAAATTCCCCATTGTGGCACAAATAAAGGTTCTTTGATCTTAAAGTTGTCCAGCACAAATTTCTGCTGGAAAAATGCTTTAACTGTCCTAAAGTATCTAACAGAATCACAAACATGATATCCCAAACATAAAACTGTCTTTGATTTTATGTCAAATAAAAAATATTTCATTCATATTTTTATTTTTAAATGAAATTACACACTCAAATGTTAAATCTAAAAGTAAATTTGGATTCTACAGTACTTACCACAGCAAATATAAGCATGCAACAAAGCAGTAAAAGCACACACAATAATAAAGTGCATCTAAAAAGAGGGATATTGCCATAATTTAATACAATAAACATAAAAAAACATCCCAGTTTTTAGATGCACTTATACAAATGAAAAACACAAAAAGCCAAAAAAGTAAAGAATTGCTCTAAAACTGTAGAGAAAAAACAAAAACTTAACGGTAAGAGAAAGCAAGCAGCACTTACCGTACAGGACCTTTCCTTGGCAACACACATTTGGGCTCGAGCGACAGGTGAGAAGCTGGTTGTTAGCACTTGGCATGCCACTCTCCACTCTACCAACCCTAAATTAAACCTATCTACTTTCAACTCACTCAACTAAATAAAAAATATATACGTTTTTACTCATATTTGACATTTGACTGCACTATAAACCAGTATCTTTAGCCTCTCTTTCCACTTCTGGCTCAAAGAATGGCGTCTTCTGGCAGCTGTTAGTGATTTTCAAGCAGAATGCTGGTTTAAAGTGTCACACACATTAAATGCATTAGAAAAAAACAAACATTTCACACACATAACACGCATAGTTTTTGGTGATCTGGACACAACATGCTCAAATGGTGAAGTTTTGCATAGCTGGCCGTTGGTGCACCAAGACTCAAGTTTTCTAAAACCTTCATGAATAAGACGGTTTGATATCATTATAATGGCATACGCTTAATGGACAGTCATGTTTCAGTGTTTTAGATTTCATAGGCTTTTCATAAGTGATGCAAGGAAATAAAATATAAAATGTGAATGTTGAAAAAGGCACAAATAAAGGTCCTATACTATATTACGCAAAATTGACTCTTTTGAGCTTTTAGTCATGTTATAAAGCAGTTATCTTGTCAAAAACAGACCTGGATTTGTGTTTTGTTTCATTCACATGTTTGAGAAATCCTTTATTATTAGTCTGTCTACATCTCCAAAGCTCGGATTGATCCGTTCCTCCTTGTGATGTCATGAAGTGGTAGTTTTCAGACCTCTAGTTTTACAAAGCATAGAGAAAAATCCCACACACCGTCAAAATGTGAGACTTATGATGACATACAGCACAACGTTTCAGCACTAGGCCTTCATCAAGTAGACCCGTTTGTGTGCCGAAATGTTGCACTACAGCGCAATAAATCTCCTAATAAATCCTAATAAATCTCACATTTTGCAAGTCAGACGGTGTGCGGGATTGTTCTCCATGTTCTTGGGCTGCTCCCTCTCCTCCAACGCACCCGTCTCGAGTAACTGATGTGCGAAGTTCTCATTCTTTTATACATTTAGTTTTATAAAAATTATCCAAATGATTCTAGTGAAGTTGTATGGAGTTTAAAAACACAGTGGAGTACTTGCTGTATTACAACATGACATCACAAGGTGGAATGAAGCGTTTTCCGTTTCAGATAAAGACCTAAATACACAGGGTTTATGTGCTAAATGTGTGAATAAAAACAAAACTCCAGGTCTGTTTTTGATGAGAAAACATTATAACAGATCATAAAAAAGCGTAATATGGACCCTTTAAAATCCGTGTATCATTCCTTCATTAGTTTTTCAAAATAAAACCAGAAATAAGAAAACACAAAACCCAAACTATTTTCTTCATTATTTGTCTCCAAAACCAAAATGAAAAACAGATAACTATTCAATTTTTAATTTTTGGATTTTGTGTTTAAATGAATAATGGAAAAAACTGTTTCCCGTTTCTGTGACTTATGTGACTGTGATGCCGGACTGAACCAGGACTGAACCAGGTCCGGGATCAGACCAGAACCAGACCGGGACTGAAACCAGAACTTACATCGGGACCGGACCAGGACTGAGACCGGGACTGAGACTGGGAACAAGACCAGGACTGAGACCGGGACCAGACTGGGACTGAGACCAGGACTGAGACCGGGACTGAGGCCGGGACCAGACCAGGACCAGACCGGGATTGAGAACGGGACTGAAACCGGGACCAGACCAGAACTGAGACCGGGACCAGACCGGGACCAGACCGCGACTGAGACCGGGACCAGATCAGAACTAGACCGTGACTGAGACTGGGACTGAGACCGGGACCAGACTGGGACTGAGACCGGGACTGAGGCCGGAAACAGACCAGGACCAGACCGGGATTGAGAACGGGACTGAAACCGGGACCAGACCAGAACTGAGACCGGGAACAGACCAGGACTGAAAATGGTTTAGTCCTGGTTTAATCCTGGAGCAGACCGGCATCGCAGTCACGGAAACATTTTTTCCATTATTCATTTAAACACAAAATCGAAAAACTGAAAAAACGCAATATTATCTGGTTTTTTTTTTCATTTCGGTTTTGGAGACAAATAATGAAGAAAACTGTTGTTTTTTCATTTCCTTATTTTTGGTTTTATACTGAAAAACACACGAACAAATGACACACGGATTCTTTAAGTGAAAAAATGAACTGCATAAAATGTATAAATTCTATATAGAAAATAAACATTATGAGCACTCCACTTTGTACTGAACAGAATTAACTTTTCCCTTTATACAGTATTTGTCAGAAAACGGCAAACGTGTATAAAATAATATAACTGTTAATATAAATACATACAAAATACTCATTGTGTCATCCTTACAAATTTGCATCATTATGTAAGGACACACAAAACAACACAACGTAAAGACGATGCTGAAAACTAAAATGAGAACTACAAACTACGAACTACAAACTACAAATCCACGGTGGCACTCCGAGGGCCGGGTATTAGCCACGTTAGCGTTTAGCAGATGAGTTTTGATCGTGATGGTAATGACATGATGATAAACAGTGGTGGTGATGATGAGGGAATTACTGAACAAGCTGTTTTAGAGGGTGGACGTGAAATGGACACACCATGCTCAAACCCAGTTCAGACAGTGGCATCCAGGAAAGACATACTCACGCTTTTAGTCTCGTTTTATTTGTTTTACGTTGGTATAATTCAGATTCGAGACCCAAATCTGGACCCAATTTAGAGTAAAGTAGTACTTTTTAAAATAAAACAATACGCAGTCCCATAAATGTTTTTATTTTAGAGGCTACAGAGTTTGGACTCATTCTCTTGTTCAATGTTTTTTTTTTCTATGTTTACTGCTTTCTATATTTGATAGACACGCAGAAGACATTAAATATATGAAGCAAAAAAGAAGCAGAAGAAGCAGAATCAAAAAGCAGAAGAAACAAAAGAAGTAGAAGAAGCAGAAGCAGAACTAGAAGATGAAGCAGAAGAAGGAATGGAAGAAGCAAAAACAAAAAAAAGCAGAAGCAAAGAGGTAGAAGAAGCAGAAGAAACAGAAGAAGCAGAAAAAGAAGATGAAGAAGAAGCAGAAGAAGAAGCAGAAGAAACAAAAGAAGTAGAAGAAGCAGAAGAAACAAAAGAAGTAGAAGAAGCAGAAGAAACAAAAGCAGAAGAGAAGAATGACGCAGAAGAAACAAAAGAAGTAGAAGAAGCAGAAGAAGTTAAAAAAAAGCAGAAGACAAAGAAGAAGCAGAAAAAGAAGATGAAGAAGAAGCAGCAGAAGAAGCAGAAGAAACAAAAGAAACAAAAGAAGTAGAAGAAGCAGAAGAAGTTAAAAAAGCAGAAGACGAAGAAGAAGCAGAAAGAAACAAAAGAAGTAGAAGAAGCAGAAGAAGTTAAAAAAAAGCAGAAGACAAAGAAGAAGCAGAAAAAGAAGATGAAGAAGAAGCAGCAGAAGAAGCAGAAGAAACAAAGAAACAAAAGAAGTAGAAGAACAGCAGAAGAAGTTAAAAAAGCAGAAGACGAAGAAGAAGCAGAAAGAAACAAAAGAAGTAGAAGAAGCAGACGCAGAACTAGAAGATAAAGCAGAAGAAGGAATGGAAGAAGCAAAAAAAAAGCAGAAGTAAAGAGGTAGAAGAAGCAGAAGAAACAGAAGAAGCAGAAAAAGAAGATGAAGAAGAAGATGAAGAAGAAGCAGCAGAAGAAGAAGTAGCAGAAGAAACAAAAGAAGTAGAAGAAGCAGAAGAAGTTAAAAAAAGAAGCAGAAGATGAAGAAGCAAAAGAATAGATTTTTCCTCTTGTGTACTTGCATAAATTTAAAAAAAGAAGTTTTAAGAAAAACATTAAATAACCAAAACATTTTCAGCATATTTAGTCCAGTTTTTTCACTTTTGTTTTCTTCACTAAATAATTCCATATATCTTGCTTCATATATTTGATGTCTTCCATATGTTTATAAAACGTAGAAAGTCGTAAGAAAAACAAAACAAAAGAATGAATCAACGAGACTGTCCAAAGTTTTGACTAACAGTGTATATTATAACTTTTTTTTCTCAAATATTAGGATAAAATGAGTTGCATAAATACTGTATCTACTTTATAAATATGACTAACGAGTATTTCTGAACACTCGTTATCACCTTTTATTATGTAAAAATGAACTGAATGCCAGTCTGAAAAGGGTTGGTGCTCGTAACATAAAAACCAAATGAAAATTGTGATAAAATGGAAAAACAACATGCTGTAGGAGACATAGGAGCTGCCCACACACACTGCGCTTTTAGCTCGCAAGCATTTATTTATTTTTTTTCATTTTTTACCAAAGTTCACGGCGACCTTTTCTCACAATGACCCATAATGCCGTAGTCTTTTGTCCAAGCACCTCGTATGAGACATTTTACCTTTCTCTCCTCCTCTTTGGCCAGCTGCTGCTCCAGTTGTTGTAGCTGTTGGTTGGAGGAGGTGCAGATCTGGTTGTAGGTGGCTTTGAGATCCTCGAGCTGAGCCTCCACCTGAGCGCGCTCCCCTGGGGACAATCTACAAAGACAAAGAGGAGGAATGAGTGGAGATCGGATACAGTGTTATGCATTTTAATTGTACCATGTGTCTCAGAAGAGTTCACAGCAGGTTCAGTTTTGTTTATCAAATTTTTTTAGGTTTTATTTGACATGACGGGCTTGGCTAGAACCACACGCTTAAAAAAAAAAAAAAACTTTACAAAGACGAGTGGATCTGGAGCTGAATCCTCTCTCCCTGATTTCAGAGGGAGTGATTGACAGGTGGATTAACCAATCAGAGAGATGCATGGTCTGTTCGCGTCAAAAACAAACATTGCTGGTTTCACGATAAAGGAGAAGAAGAAAAAAAAAAAAAAACTACATAAAGGACTGATAAACATTTTTGTAGAATCAACAACCAAAGCACCAAACTCGTATTTATCTCAGGTAAAAGGTAAACTTATATATTTTGTTTTTTTGTGAAGGTTACAAGAATTTTTGAGACAGATGTCTTCCACATTTGAGAGAAACGTTCTACAAATTTGTGCCAGTGGATAGTTGGAACCAGAAACCACGCTCAACGCAAAGGCCTGTATCTTAACAACCTTACTTAACAACCAGCCAACACTAGTTTAGTTTAATTGTCACATTTGAATAGTTTAGTTCAGTTTATTTACTCTTAACTTTAAATTATGATGGCAAGTATCAACCAACAACAATAATAGCACAATAATACGCAATTAATGTATTCAAATACATTAGATATGTCTGATAAACCTACTTGCTGGCTTGTTTCGACATGAGGAAGACTTCTGTGCTTCGGATGGCTTCAGCGACTTCATCCTTTTTAGAGGCGAGCTGTTCAGCAATGGCCTGAAAGGAACAAAAACAGCAAAGTGAATTCACTCAAATGAAGCCTGATATTGAAATAAAAATGACTTGATATCTCCTACACTGAAAGCATGATGTTATAAATGAGTCTTGTAGTTGAATTGTTGTTCTCTGTGTATGCTAAAAGTCACAGTCAGAATCTCATACCTGTTGAGCGGCGAGAGAGGACTCTGCGTTTGGACCTCCTGCTCGACGCTGCAGCCCTTTGACCCATCCCAGAAGGTCAGACACTTGTCCCACTCTGGCCTGCTTCTCCTCCTCCACCTCTTTCTGCAAACACCACATCACAGCGAGAATCAGCCTCAAAATAAATGAATATAGTTATACAGTTTTAAATGGTTCAAAACTCGCACCTCTTCCTCTTCCAGCCTCCGGAGGGCGTCGCTGATGTACTTCACGTGTTGAGTGGTTAAAGTGACCAGGGCTGTGTAACGTGTGCGCAAGTCCATGAACTACAGACAGACAAAAGAACACACACAGTCATCAAAACACAAGATTTACAGAGAAAAAAGACGTACAACTATGGAAAACTACTGTGGTTTAAAATGCATCCAATGTGACTTATATATTAACATTTTCACATTGGCAGCCTGGAGAGGGCGCTTTAGTCTTGTGTGTCAGTATCTGTTGCTCCTGTTACTCCTGCACCACTGTCACTTCACTCTACTGCGCATGTCTCCTGCAGAAAGAGCCTCTGTCCTGTCTGTATCATGTCAGTCAATCGCACCATTACTTCTGTACCAATGTAAACCAACTTATTAAGACGACTGAGAAGACTGAACACAAATGCCCCCAAAAAGGAAATCATATTTTTTAGATTACAAGCTGCAAGTAACGAAATACGCAGCAGAAAGAAAGTTTGGTGTGAGAGAAACTTGTGGCACCAGGAGGATGCACCATGAAACTTTCCTGGAAGTCATTGGATGGATTGACAAAGCCTGAACTTCAGTAACAACCAAACCCATCCTGGGGTTAGGGTTACTATAATTTGCATTTGAAGATGAAATGTCGGTTCCTGGTCTCTGATTTTATAAAATAATTTTCCCCCAAAAAGTGCGACTTATAAATGTTTTTTTCTTCTTCATTCATTCTGCATTTTCTGGCTGGTGTGACTTATACTCTGGAGCGACTTATAGTCCGAAAAATATGATACAAGTTAGAATCCTGAAGGTCTAATGTGTCTATTCTTGTCTATATTTAAGATAGGTAATAGAGAATACTAAATGGTAAACAAGTTGAAATTGTTGTTTTTGTTTTTAAGAGTGAAATACATAACTAATCTTTAACAGGTACAAACGTTTTTACAGAGGTCCATCAGACTAGAAAGGTCCTATATTACGCAAAATTGATCCTTGTGAGCTTTTATCCATGTTATAATGTTATTACCTCATGAAAAATATACTTGGAGTTGTGTTTTGTTTCATTCATGTTTGAGTAATTCTACATTATTAGTTTGTCTGTGTATCCCACGTTTAAAATGATGAATTTTGATGAGGAAAACAAACCACTATTGTAAAAAATGCAAGTGAAAAAATAGTCTGGTTATTGGTTAATGTGTGATTTATCTATCCATCCATCATATCGTGTGTGTTTATGACTTCTCGGTTTATTAGAATCATAAAAACACAGCGTGAAGTTCACCTCCTGAGTGATGACGTCAGAGGATGAGTGCGGCCTCCTCCTTTTCACAGACGATTTGTGCGTCGACTCCACAAAGGCTCTGTACGTCATCAGCTGCAGCTCATAATCCTGAAAAAGTATTTATTTTTTCAAAAGTTAGACCATATTAATAACATAAAAATAAGACAACTCCCAATGATGAAGACGACGCTCTCACCTTCACAGCTGTACAGTACTGTTTGGAGTGAGTTTGGCATTCGTCCAGTTTGGTCTGATTCTTCTCTATTTCAGCTACTAACGCCTAAAAGGAGAAAAATGGGGTTAATTCATTGCACTATGTAACTTTGTAGAGGGTTACTTGACAACATTCAATAAACAAAACAACCTTACTCTTTGTTTCTTACATTTATTTGATTACATGTTGCATTGCATTGTTAGAAAAATACCTTGGAAAAAAATGCACTTTCTTATTGAATAACTTAGTCTGGTAGGGTCAGCTCCTTGTTAAAAGTTTAAAGCTATACTATGGAACATTCAGGCAAAGCAGAAAAGTTACACAGTGCTCTTTTAAATTAAATATTAAGCATTTGAAAGAATATTGTCCTTAATATCTTGAACTTAGGACACATTCTTGAATAATAACACACTGTATAGCCTAGAGGCGTGCAAAAATATCCAAATATCGATATATTGTTTTGTTTAATGTGATGATACAGTATCGGTATCGTGGGCTGCTGTATCGATATATCCCTAAGAGCAATTTTTGGTATATTTTACTAAATTATTTTGTTACAGAGCAACAGTTTTGTTGCTTGTTTAGTGGAAGGAAACTAATTTATGCGACACATTTGATATTTTCAGTGTTTTGATGATTAAAATGTTTGTGTTTCATATGAAGTTTGCACAAGAAGTGGTTTAACAAAGACTTTTACTATCACAGACATGATTTAGCCTTTATTTTTTATTGAATGATAATGAATCGAATTGAAATATATAATATCAAATCGAAAGTGCACTGTATCGAGGTATGTATCGTATCGGCAACTTCTGAGCGATACCCAGCTCTAGTTTGGCCCTCACCGTCTGCTGGGCCAGTTGTTCAGACAGGGCCTTGCTGTCCGTTTGTCCTGGTTGGGTGTTTTCTTGTCTTTCTGTCGTTTCTTCGATCCATTTGATCAAAGCCGAGTGTCCGTTTCTGTACAGCTGCAGAGACGAGCCCAGCGCCTCCAGCTCTGTTTGTCTGAAAAAGAGAAATAAAAAAAGGTAAAAATGTGTTTGTATAATTTATCATTTAACAGTGCATAGACCTGTAATTACAAGTTTGAGCAACACGGACACAGTAGCTCGGGAATTAAAAGAATATTTCAATGACAAACAGTGAACAGAAGACTAAGCCCTGCAGTCTGATGTGTGTATTTTATATTTATGTTTGTTTGTTTGCTTGTTTTAATGCTCATAATGCCCCAGTACTGTACGGAACTTTTTAGCTAAAAATAGATTAAGTATGTTTAGTTTTTTTTAGGAATTGAAACTTGTATCAAATGTTGTTTGATGGCATAAATAAAGAAAAAGTGTCTGCATGGTTTTAATTCTGTTTCCATGGAATCAAGCATTTGACGTGGCAGGCAGAAAGTTACACAGTGTTGTTTTAAATTAGAAAATAAGATAAACATATCCTATTATGACCAACATCAGAACGTGGTAACCATTTTCACATTCTCCCCCTGTGTTTTACTGTTACCCTTATGTAACAGATAATACTCCCTACAACTGTACAACAATTCACCATTATGTAACAGATAATACTCCCTACAACTCTACAACAATTCACCATTATGTAACAGATAATACTCCCTACAACTGTACAACAACTCACCCTTGTGTAACAGATAATACTCCCTACAACTGTACAACAACTCACCCTTGTGTAACAGATAATACTCCCTACAACTGTACAACAACTCACCCTTGTGTAACAGATAATACTCCCTACAACTGTACAACAACTCACCCTTGTGTAACAGATAATACTCCCTACAACTCTACAACAACTCACCCTTGTGTAACAGATAATACTCCCTACAACTGTACAACTCACCCTTATGTAACAAATAACCCTGTGTCCTATGATCTCTTGTATAAAGCTGAGATTTTATATTTTATTACTTATTTTTTTTCTATTTTATTTTGACTTGAACATTTACATTTATATAATTATGTTTCATTTGACACCTGTCTCTTGCTCTTTTTTGCTACTTACTTAGAAGTTATTATCACCATTTATATTCTCACTCTTTATTATTATATTATATTGTGATGTGTGAGTTATTGTGTCCAAATAATTTCTCCTTGTGGATTAATAAAGTTTGTCTAAGTCTAAGTCTAAGTCTAAATTCCCGTATCAGTTTTCTCTTTGCACTCACCTGGTCTCGATCTGCCTCTTGACTCCGCTCCACCTCTCGCTCAGCTGGTGGGCTTTCTCCTGGTACCGGTCCAGTTCAGGGCTGCGTTCTGGGTGGATTCTGTTGAGCTGAGATCCTGCCTCTTTGGCCTGGGCCACCTCAGACTGAAGAGACTGGAAAATGCCCTCCTGATCTGTAACTTCAGCCTGCCACCGCTACGGAAAAGAGAGCAAAAAGGGTTTAATATCATAGAAACTCATGATATTTACAGGCTTGTTTCCATGGATATGTCATTGCTCTGCCTGGAATGCTCCACAGTGTGACATTAAACAGCTCTACCTTACATTTATTCAATTACAGGTGCCTTTACTGCTCAAAAATACCTAGAAAAACAACGTAACGTGGTCTGGTTTGGTCTCCATGAAGATAGAAAAGCTAAGTGCAATACTGTGAAGTATTCCAGAAAAAGCAATAATATGTCCATGGAGAAAAGCATTTGACAGATGTTCCACCATAAAAGTTACAGAATGCATCTTTAACTGCTTGAATAACTTGAAAAATAAATAAATAAAATAAAACGATTCCCGAGATCGAGGATTTAAAGCCGGAACAAAGAGAATGTTTGGTGAATTTTATCAAGGGGAAAGACGTTATTGTCCTTCTTCCAACGGGATTTGACGCATTATATACGTTATGACCAAATAGCAGCGATTGGTTAAATAAGTAAAGCACCCACGGTCAAGCGAATGAATCCTAATGCTGAGAGGTCAGACGGTTTCTATGAAGTGAAACCAGTTGATGAATCAGGCTACTGATAATGTAATAGATGATAATGATTCCTCCATGATTTTAAATTCTTATGATTCTCATGTATGTCAACCATTATTAATTATATCATTACAGTATTATAAAACATTATGAATTCATATATTTATTTTGAAGAGGGAGCACTTTACTTCTATGAGGTATTAACTGCAAAAACATAACATATTTATATCACTTGTTAGCTTTTATTGTTTTGAAAAGGTGATATTTACCCAAAACAATTTATTATCACGTTTTACAAGTTTCACTTTCGTTTTTGACACTCTGAGTCTCCCCTCTCTTTGCTAATGAAACTACTGCACATCACATCAGGTTTGTCAAGTTGTTTTTGTATCATGTTATGGTGTATTTATAGAGAATTGTCGTGTGGGAGCATGGGTGACGAAGACTTTTGGGTTGAGCATTGCACAGAATCAGGAAAGTTTGAATTGGGCCCAGGAGGGACCACTAAATTACTCAAACATGAGGGAATAATGTTATAACATGGTAGAAAACTCTAATTCAGTTCAAATTTACATATATAGCGCATTAAAAACAACTTGTGCTTCACATAAACGTCAACAAAAACAAAAGAAGCAGATACCATGTGAAAACTGCAATAAAAACACCAAGATAACCTGACTAGCTTGTACTAAATGCCAGGGAGAAGAAGGAATTTTGCATAATACCCCCCTTTAAGATAGAGTCCCTTTGCATTTAACAACCTAAAAGCTGCCTTAGTTAAATATAACCATCGCAGTTAAGAGTTAAGAGTGGCTCATGACTCACCTGCAGCTGGTCTCTGAGGTTTTTAATGGCCGTCGTATCAGGAGGAACGATGTCTTCTTCGCTCAGTCTGCTCTCGTACTTTTTGACCTGGCTCTCTGCTTCGTCCAGGCTTCGTATTAAAACGTCAACAGTCTTTAGTCTACGGGAAAAGCACACAAAGAAACATTTTATCAACAAGAATCATTTAAAAATAAGCATAAGAAGATTAGTAATTAACAATTCAAAAAGCAGTATTTTATCTTCTAAATCACAGGTGTCAAACATACGGCCCGGGGGCCAGATCCGGCCCTCCAAGACCTTTTATCTGGCCCTCGGCTGATTTTCTACTAAAATATTTTAATTAGATTTTCTATTAAAATCTTGTTAATTTTCTGTGGTGTTTATCACAGCAGCGTCTCCAGCGTCTCTGTACGTGGCCCCTCCCACCAGAGCAGCACAAATGAAGACTTGTCTCTTTCCAAACGCTCTTAAAGGACGATCGTTTTGACTGTTGACCGTGACACCCTCATCAGAAAAATGTCCAACATGAGAAAAGTGGACGTCGAGTGCAGGATTTTCCCAGAGAAATTAATTTATTCCTATTTACAGACAAGTTCATGTTAAAACTTTGTGTTGAAATTTCATTTTTCTTAAAGTTTCAGGTTGTTCATAATATTATAATATTTTGTAAAAAAAAAAAAAATTTAAAAGAGTTCCTCAATTAAAAAAAGATTTCTGTAATAGATTTGTGTTTCTCTGCACAAATATTTGAACTTATTGCTATTTTTGGTGTTTATATGACTTTTTTTTTTTTTTCCGGCCCCTTTGGGATCAAAGTAGGTTGGATACGGCCCCCGGACCAAAATGAGTTTGACACCCCTGTTCTAAATGATCAAAAGTTCTCAAAATGTCACTGAAGGAGCTATATTTTTATGCAGTTAAATAATGTTGACTGACTTTTGGAGGAAGACGGTGGAGAGGTTGTGCAGTTTGTCGGTCTTGTCCACGGCGTAGTTGAGTTCGGAGCGGAGGGCGGGGATACTCGAGGACGAAGGTTTCTCCTCAAAGAAGCGAATACAGCGGCGAGAGACATCGCCCAGACCAAAGCGAAGATCGTCCAACTCCAGCTGCAACCTCTGGAGACGGAATAAACAGGAAGAAGGTGAATCGATATTGCGATAAACATTGAAATTAAAAGCTGAAAATGACAGACGAGGTAAGACGAGAATTCCCTACAATGGAATGTTTTAAGACACTTTTATTCTCTGGTTTTTAACACAGCCTGAGTTGTGCGGTCCTTTGTGTCTTTTATTTATTTTTATTTTACTTACTTATTGCTATTTTATAATTTTCTGGTTTTGCTTTTATTTGCTTTTACTGGTTTTATTGTTTCAGGACTGGTATGACCACATTTTATCAATTTCCCTTTTTGTCGTCTTCATTTTATGATCTCTGTGCAGCACTTTGGAAACTGCTTTGACTGTAAATGTGCTATATAAATAAAGTGGATTTGGATTTAGATTTGGATAGAAAAATATATAAATAGACAGCAGTAATTAATAAGTAATGACTCTCCTAAATTTAAATATCGAAAAAGGGCCAATATTACGCTATTTTCTGATCTATCTAACACACAAATCCTGCATATTGAGGCTCAGTTCTCCTCTCGAATTGAAAACACTCTGTTCCACCTTGTGATGTCATGTGGTAATACAGGAAGTGCTCCACTGTGTTTTTAAACTCCATACACCTTCACTAGAATCATTTCGATAATTTCAGTTCTGGAACTGTCAATCTCTACTGAAGTAAAGGTAAAAGGAGCTGTTAACTTCAAAATTACCCCTTCATTACATCACAAGGTGTAACAGAGAATTCTGAGACAATAATAGACTAGGCTACGTTCAGACTGCAGGGCTTAATGCTCGATTTGGATGTTGTTTTTTTTTGGTGAAATGTAATTTTTTTGTGAGGTCGTTCACATTTTCAGTTAAATGTGACTTGTATGTGATCTCCAGTGTGAACTTTAAATGCCCCAAAATTGTCCCACATGTGCATTGGAGGACACGACGGCGTCACACACAGCGAGCGTGCTCTGTGTTTACGGAAGTCGCCTAAGCGCTGGGCTTGTCTCCCAAAATATGGTCCAGTTCTACGTAAAATGTACAGGTTACAAGTCCACGGCCACTTTGTTTGTTTGAGTCTTTATTTTCCCTGTATTTGGCTCGCAGGATCTTTATTTTTCATTGACATTGGAGCCAGGACGTCTGTAGCCGTGCTCGGACATTTCTTTCACAATTATTTCAAAAACCGCTCGGTTCCAATAAGGCCCCTCCAGTTTGGTCTCAACACAGCGATCCCCCCAAATATTAATTAACTCTCTAACCTGGCTTTATATGAATCAGCTTTAGGAGCACATATCCAAGTGTTCCTGGTCGCATTTGAAAAAATCAGATCTGTGTTGTTCAAACTGTCATTAAAAGATCAGATACAGGTCGCATAGGGGCGATAAAATTGGATTTGGGTCACTTCAGGCTGCAGTTTGAATGTAGTCTAACAAACTTATAATAAAAAGGTTACTCAAACATGTGTAAATGGAAAGAAAAAAAACTCCAGGTATGTTTTTGAGGAAATAACAACATTAAAACATGGCTTAAAGCTCACAAAAACAAAGACACTTCCATTATATTGCATTATAATTCACAATAATTATGAATTTAACTATATACAATTACAAAACACATTAAAAAAACATTTATTGTCATGTTCAGTGCTTCTAGTCAATCATATAAGAGCATGAGCTTATAAAGTAAAGAAATCAGATGTAATGCTCTGTGTGGCCTGCAGATGGCGCCTCACCTCCTGCTCTGTGATCTGTACGGTGTTCTCTGAGGGGTCTGTGGACAGCAGACTGGGCAGAGGCGTCTGGATGCTCCTCATCAGCCTCTGTTCTGCTTCATTCAGACGCAGAGTGATGTCCTGCAGCTCAGACAGGTACGAGCGCGACACGGACTCGTCCTTCTCCACTGCAACAAGAGAAGAAGAAGAAGAAGCATTTTTAGAACAGATTGTGGTCAATAATATATGACTGCGTGTTTTTATGAGTAAGCCACATTATGCATCTCTTCTCGAGAAGCGCTATTTCTTCATAAAAGAACATTTTAGCTTATGACTCATGATCATTATACTTAGGCCTGTTTTTGTTTATATTATAAAACTCTCAAACATTTATAACAAACTAAGGCACGGGTGGGCAAGAAGTTTTTTCCATGGGGCCACACGAGAAACAGAAAATATTGTAACGCTTAACTCAGTTCTGCATAATATTAATTGTATTTCTTTATAAAAACAGTAGTTTGATGATCTGTTAAGACTGATAAGAGTTTATGTTATGACTAAGCAATGAAAAAGTGAGGTTGTCTTACAAAAATGTCATTAAAAAACACCTCTAAAATAAAAGCAATGCAGCTTTAGTCCATGTATGAGGTAAAATTATAAAATATGTTTATTTTGTAATTCCAGATTAGGTTAAACGGGCCGGTCAGAGTCAAACAAAGGTCTGTATGTGACCTGGGAGCTGTACAATGCCCAGGTCTGGACTAAGGTAACATTGCTGTTGATCTTTTATAAAGAATGTCATGACAACATTATCTTACTAAATCAATTGTTTATTTTTTTAATTATCATATTTTTCGGACTATAAGGCGCACTTCAAATCCTTTTATTTTCTCAAAAATCGACAGTGCATCTTATAATCCAATGCACTTTATGTATGAATTCTGGTTGTGTTTACTGACCTCTAACTGATTTTATGTGGTAAACGGCGCTCAAATATCTGTCAAAATATTTTATTATGACTTTGGTCAACTATGAAGCCGAACTGCTTGATAGATTGTCGGAGCATTACTGCTGCCGTAGTCAGGAGCCTAGTGGAGTTACTCCGACAGAGTGTATCAGTGCACAAGGAGCAAGCTGGTTTTTCAGTGCTTATAGTTTATGTAAATGAGCCATGTGGTTTTAAGTTTCGTTTCTGTAAAAACAAATGTGCACAAAGCTGCGTCAAACACATTATTACTCAATCTATATTTGAGTCCTCCTCGTAGGAAATAAAAACATATCAGTGTCGTGTGTTTGTTTCGCTTAATCCGCTTTAATAATCCTTTGCGCCTTATAGTCCAAAAAATACGGTAGTCAAACAAAGATTTGTCCACTAGAAAATGTCAATGTTAAGATATAGAAATATGAATAATTTCGTAGTTAAATTAAAATGTGACAATTTGAAATAGAGATAATAATAAATACATTTGTGGTTAAAAAAAACAACAACATTTAATCGAGAGTTTTTGTCACTTCATGCTCATTTGTCCGGGCGATGCAAATCTCGATAAGGGGATGATATCCACACCGACACCACACCAGGTCTAGTTCCAGTTTAAAGTGGTGTTTCTTGTGAACGCACCCCGACAGTCAGTATTATACACTGTGGACATTGCATCATTTTCCTCATTCTGACACTCTCTCAGTACTGAACCGTGTACGTGTGTGCGTCTCACCGGTCTCCATGTTGAGCAGCAGGTCCTGACAGTGCTGCTGGGCCTGGAGCACCTCTGCCTCCAGCTCCTGCGTGTCTGCTGCGGTGAACAGAGCGCTCTCTTTACTGTCACTCACGAAGTCCGTCCAGTGAGAGTCCAGCTGGTCTAGGGTCTGCTGTCTCTCTGAGGGGGACTGGCAACGCACCTGGATCAGAGGAGAGAGGATAATGAAAAATTAAGACCTTTGGCATCACAATTAACTATTTAAAACTACATATTTTATCTTTTGAATAGTCCTCAAAATGTTGCGTATAATAGGCATCTGAAATCAGGGTTCCCACTCTTTTTCATCGACAAAATTTCAAAACTTTTCCATGACTTTTTCATGACCTACAGTGAATTTTCCACGACTTTACGGCACCTACATGTGTAGAATTGATCAGACTTAGAGCTAAATATGAAATGTCAATCCTTCCCACTCCCCTTATGGTTTGGGATGATAGTTTTTAACATTCAAAATACTGTCAGTGCATTTATTGTCCTCTCTTTTAAACAAAAGGCGCAGACGTTCAGAAATGATCATAACTGAACGCTGTAGTGTGGTGAAAGAGATACTAAAATTCCATGACTTTCCCAAAACTTTCATTGAATTTACAAAATTTCATGACTTTTCTAGGCCTGGAAAATGACATTTTCAATTTCCATGACTTTTCCAGGATTTCCATGACTATGGGAACCCTGGTGAACAGATTAATAACCAGATCCAACAAAAACAAGAACAATGCATACTTATAAATTACAGCAAATGTTTTCTGCCTGAATTCAACTTTACATTGCTGTCAACAATTGCTTTTTACCTGCATAGAAATAAAGGCTGATTTATTCCTTTCCTATACTTATTTTCCATATGGTCTTTTTTTTGTTATAAAATATGAAATGCCAACCTTAGACGGCTAAGTGTACTTTAAAAAGGTTAATTAATGCGTGATATTGAACCTTCAAGTGAACCAAATGCATTATGAATTATTATGAAGCGTCTCTGCGTCCTGAGGCTGCAGTGTTATGAGGATGGTGCCACTGACCAAAAAATAAAGCAGAATTCGTTGGGTATGGGGATCAGAAAGTCTCCAAAACTAAAACATCGCCTAGTCTGGTTTAGTCTGGTCTAGTCTAGTTTTTATTTGAAGGGACGATGTACAGAGACAAGCTAAAAAAAAACCTCAAATGTTCTGCACCAAATTATAGCTAAATGAGTTCTACAAAGAATGCCAAATTAAGTGGAGTATAAGTAAGATAAATTAGGTCTGGACAATCACAAAAAAGTACCATAATCACTAATTTCTTCCTCCCTATTTTCTAGACTTTTTATTTAATGTATTTTGTCTTATTAAAATGAATTTCAATATTAATTTCCTTCAAATGAAACAGAAAACGCACACTCAAGTTCTTGTAGAGGTGCAAATGCAAGGAACAGTAAAATAAAAGTTAAAAAATGCATAGTACACTCAGATGGCTGATGTCCAAAAGCTTTTTTTAAATTAAAAAAAAAAATTAAAAATAGAAAGAAAGCCTTCATCAGATCATTTTTCTTGCTTTGGATCACAGTATGCGAAATGCTTGTCAGAACCAGGTGCTCATATGTGTGCTATGCATTTTTTCACTTTTATATTAATTTCCTTAGAATTAACAATATATTTTTAATCACTGCCACTGAACACAAAAAGAATACTAAATTTCTTCCTCCAAATCTAAACTACTAATCCAAACCACATGACCAGATCTTGATGAAAATGTGAATAACTGGATATGGTAGGATAACAAAACACACAATAAAATGGTATTCTGTGTGTTTGATGATGGTGTGTGGTACTGACAGTGTCCAGGGTCCAGGCTGAGACCGTCCTGACGTCTTTGAGCAGGTAATGCCACGATACGACACTCTTCATATTCACATGGAGCTGGTGCCAAAGAGACATCACCTTCTGGTACAGCTGCTCCGCCCTGGAAACACAACAACAATAATAATAATAATAATAATAATAATAATAATAATAATAATAATAATAATACACAAGGGTTTGACACTGTTTTGGTCCTGGTTTAAGCCCATTTTAGTCAAACTAGTCTAGTTCTGGTCTAGTCCAGCTTCAGTTCTGGGTTTAGTCTAGGGTTGAATCACTAGGTCCCTCATGATTCGATATTATGCACAATACATGACTCACGGTACGATATTATCACGATGTGGTGATAGATGCGATAATCAGTATACACTGTACATGATACTCTGTGATATAGTGTTGTATGTAAGAACCAAATACATTTTAATAACAATATTTCTTTGTTAAAACACCATTTGTGCAAAGTTAATATAAAATACATCTTTTTTAATCTTCAAAACAGTGAATATGTCAAGTGTACTACTACAACTACTTTCTTTTCACTGAATAAGCAACAAAATTGTCATGTGGTCACAAACAACAACAACAACAAAAATTGCTAAAAGATACCAAAAAATACTACTGGCGATATATTGATACAGAAGCCCATGATACCGATACTGTATCATGATATTTAGATATAACAATATGAAAACATAATATTACTCAAATTGTTAGCATAGTTGGATTTGAGTAGGAGATACTAAAACTAAAACTACTACAGAGATCAACAGCAGCGCTTACATGTCAATGGGGGTCCACTTATAAAACACTTGCATTTATCTATTTCTCTCTAGACCCGACTCTCTCTCTGCCCGCGGCACAGCGGTGGGACAGGAAACCATTCCTCCCACAGCTCCCGCGGAGCAGGGTGTCCGCAAAGTGCAATCAAGCGACGGCTGCGCTTAGTCCCGTGGGACATCTACAGTCACCTGACGGTCTATGCAGGCACACCTCTGGGTCGTAATGAAGTCCGGCGCTTTGGCCCAGGGCTCCCCCCCGAGCGATAAATGGACTAGAACTCAAGGTGGTCCCTCGTGATAGGGAACTTGAGTTATTATTTATTTTTCAGAAAGCCACGTAAAATGAGGTGTTCTGATAGGGCATGCAAGCTGTACACCAAATATAATGTTGTTTCATTATTTCGCTGTCTGGTCGGGGGATGGGGGACATCACCGTCTGGGGGGGGCCACACACAATGCTACTTGGTTTGTGGGAAACACTGGAGTCTCTTTTAAGTGCATGTGCATGAATAAATAATATATACACTGTGTTATCATTATAAATGGTACTATTTATGTATTTTGTTGTTAATGGTGCACTTTGTAATTTTGGTTGGGGTTATGCTGGTTTTTATGGATATGTCATCGCTCTGCCAGGAATGTTCCGCAGTATGGCATTAAACAGTTCAAGCATCAATGTTATAGATGATGGAGAGAAGATGGTGAAATGTAGAAATGTAAAATAAATTAAAATTACAAAATACAAAAAAATAAAAAATTATATTAAAAAAATTATAAAATAAAGCAAAAATAAATAAATAAATGCATAATAAAATTTAAAATTAAAACAGCTCTACCATACAGTTATTCGACTGCAGGTGGTGTTAGAGCTCAAAAATATCTACAAAAACAAGCATTCTGACTGTGAGTGGGGTCGCCTCTCCACAGATCTGACCTGTAACTTGGTCTGGTTTGGTCTCCATGACAGAAAAGTTTAATGCCATACTGTGAAACATTCCAGACAAAGCAATAACACCTCCATGGAGAAAAGAGAAGTTAATATATTTCTATGTCTTGTGAAGTGAAGTCCTGTTTTCTAAATTTGTATAGATTTCAAAATATGTCAAGAAAACAAAGTCCATCTGTTAGCTGGAGCATGTGGGAATATCAGGTATAATTTTAGCTCTTATTGGGTGATCTCGATGCCCTCACCTGGCAGCAGTGTCGATGGCGTCCTGGTTGGGAGGGGGGATGGTGAAGCACACGGACGGGACCATAGCCTCATTTCCTGTCGGACTGATCACTTTCCATTTGGTCCGGTGTGAGCTGTCCTCCAAGACGCACTCCTCGCCGCTGTTTATGGTGATCTGAGAGGTGAAGGATGCGAGGAGGGAGGAGGGAGGACATAGGAAGTAGGAAGTAGGACAGAGGAGACAGGAAAGGAGGACGGAGCAGAGACAGGGGCAAGACCAGATGTAGCATGAGGATAAATTAGGTTGAAAAACAAGCAATGAAGGTTATAGATGATGGAGAGAAGATGGTGAGATGTAGAAATGAAGGGTACATTAAAAAAAAATAAATAAATAAATAATAATACATTTTTAAAAAAGTAATAAAAAAATATATTAATAAAATAAAATATGAATTCAGGCAGATGGAGTATGATAGAGATAGAGTAAAATGCATGAAAAAAATTATTTAAAAAGTAAAAAGAGTAAAAAAAAAGTAAAAAAAAAAAAAAAGTAATAATAAAAAATTTAATAAAATTAAAATTAAAATTAAAATTGTATAAATTAAAATACAAATTCAGGTAGAGGGAGTAAGATTGAGAGTTGAGTAAAATGCATGAAAAAAAAAAAATTTAAAAGCAAAAAAAGTAAAAAGTAAAGTAAAAAAAAATTATATATATATATATATAAAATAAATAAAAAATAATAAATAAAAAATAAAAAAATTAAATTAAATTAAATTAAAAATTAAAGAAATTAAAATATGAATTCAGGTAGAGGGAGTAAGATAGAGAGTTGAGTAAAATGCATGAAAAAAATGTAAATGGAAGATGAGGGAACAACAGAAAAAATAAAAAAAAGATTAAACAGATAAATTAATAAGATAAATCAATAATAACAACAAAATTAGATGCAAAACAAAATGTCAACGTACATGGATTTTATGAAATTACAGCAAAACTTAAAGGTGCACTATGTAACTTTCCGGAGAGTCTATCACCATGGAGATGTTACTGTTTTACCTAGATTTTTCCACAGTATGATTTTAAACTTTTATATTTCCACAGAGACAAGCACCAAGCCAATTTACAGATCAGATTTGTGGAGAGGTGTAAGTGCTTACAGTAGAATGTTTTGTTTTTTTTCAAAGATACTGTTTCAAAGATACACCTAGAATTAAATAATAAGCAAGTTTAATGCCATACTGCGGTACATTCCAAGGAAAACAATCTATGGCGTCAAAACAGTCCCATAATACACAAGCAAGATAAAACAGGCATCCAAACGTATTCTATTATTTCACACGTGTAGATATTAACTGTGAGCGAGCAAATTCTCTTTGGTTCAGTCCTGGTTTAGTTCTGGAATCAGTCCTGGTTTAGTCCTGGTTTAAACCTGGTTTAAACCTGGTTTAGACCTGGTTTAGTCCTGTTTTAGTCCTGTTTTACTCCTGGTTCAGTTTTGGCATCAGTCCTTGGTTTAGTCCTGGTTTACTCCTGGTTAGTCCTGGTTTAGTCCTGGTTTAGTCCTGGGATCAGTCCTGGGATCAGTCCTGGGATCAGTCCTGGGATCAGTCCTGGGATCAGTCCTAGTTTAGTCCTGGTTTAGACCTGGTTCAGTCCTGATTTTGTTCTGTTTTTATCCTGTTTTTGTCCTTGTTCAGTTCGTATGAGGTGCAAAAGTCCGGGAAATGGCCATTATCCATTTCTGAATTTTGGTTTTGGAGATAAATAATGAAAAAAATTGGCTGTTTTTTCATTCTCTTATTTCATTTTTTTATTCTGAAAAACAAATGACCGAATGATACACGGATTCAGAAATCCACCTTGCGCACGAAAGAACAAAAAACAACTTGGAGAGAGCTTGTTGCCTTTTCGAGAGTGTGTCTGCCCCCTAGTGGTTGTTTTGCGCACAGGTCACAGATAATTTGAGATAATTTGCTCGTTCGCCTGAATGCATGTTTTATCGCGCGTGAATTATGGGACTATGTTGAATCTCCCTACCACATCTCCACGGACACAAGAAAGTGCTAGACTTGTACCAGAAAAGTTACAGGGTGCACCTTTAAATATTAATAAACTCAAACTTAAAGGGGGAACTACTTTGCTGCGCACATAAAGTAAAGTTTGTTTAGCAAAAGCAGCGGTTTTCTCAGTCACTTAGAGTCACATAAGCGCCAACACGGGGATAATTACAAAGCTTGATTACATAACCAACTCGCTCAGGGGAGGGCGTATAGAGAGTTAGAAGTTTATGGCTTTGAAATACATACAGTGGGAGATTTTAGCTGCACATAGAAGACTAAAGCAGTACTAGACCAAGCCTCCCACTCGCGCCCTCTCTCACCCCTCACTGCACACACGTCAATACAATAAATACCACAAGAACGTACAAAAACAGATACAGGAAAACTACGGCTGAATGAACTGAATACACAGAGAACTTCAGCGCCATCTGCCCCCCGTCTGCTGATTTCAACATGTATTGGTTTAGAGATATTTGAAATCTATAAGCAGTGTTGTGTACGGACAATTTTCAAATGGTTCAATTTGCTTAATAGATGTGGTTTTCTTGTCATAAAATGGATATTGAGACTTTTTAGAATCAAAACAAGTTATAAAAAATGATAAAATGCAAGTATATATCAGGAGAAGATTGTAAAATTGCAATGAATGAGGCTCAGTTAAAACAGGGCACAGAATTGAAGTAGCAATGAAAACCTAAAATAAAAAGAGCGTGTCTCATTATTGTATGTTGAAGGAGCTGTACCTAATGTTTATAATGTTAAAAACTAAAAAAAACAAAACAGAACTAGCTGTCCAGACTAAGCTACGTTCAGACTTCAGCCTGAAGTGACCCAAATCCAAATTTTTCACCCCTATGCGACCTGTATCTGATCTTTTAATGACAGTCTGAACGGCACAGATTCAGTTTTTTCAAATGCGACCCAGGCCACTTGGAAATGTGCTCCTAAAACCAATACATATCTGATCTTTTGAAATGTGACTTCAGTCTGAACGGTCAGGTCGCATTCATCCCACCTACACGTCAGGCTCGGAGTTTCGTCAATGGAGGGAAAGCGAGGTTAGCGAGTTTATTAATATTTGGGGGGGATCGCTGTATTCAGGCCAAATTAGAGGGATCTTATCAGAACCGGGCGGTTTTTGAAATATCCGAGCGTGGCTACAGGTGGTCCTGGCTCCGATGTCAACAAATATAAAGAGCCTCCGAGCCAAATACAAGGAGACTAAAGACTCAAACAAACGAAGCGGCCGTGGACGTGTAACCTGTCAAATTTTACAAAGAACTGGATCATATTTTAGGAGACAAGTCCAGCGTTTAGGCGACTTCCGTAAACACTGAGCACACTCGCTGCATGTGATGTCGTCATGTCCTCTAATGCGCATGCGGGACACTTTTGGGGCATTTAAAGTTCACACTGGAGATCACATACAAGTTGGATTTAATTGGAAATGTGAACGACCTCGCAAAAAAATCTAATTTTACAAAAAAATCTGAATTAAGCATTAAGCCCTGCAGTCTGAACGTAGCCTTATTCATCTTCCAAATGCGTTTTTAGCATTCTAATTATTTATTGCACTGAGTATATAAGGAGATTTCAGAATTTTCAGAGGTCAGAATTTTGCTAATTGGTAATGCCGCCAACAACAACTAGCATGCTAACAGTGCACCAAGCATTACTTCATGGCTGTGAACAATAAAAAAGCCTTATCATTTGATGCAAACAGTATGCAGCTGTCTCATTTTGACCCTAAGAGCTGTTGTATTCAATACAACTGTTCTGGGTCAAGACAAATTTTACTTTTCTACTTTAAATAATTTACAAAAAAATCCTACTAAACATGTAAGTGTAAATAGCTCCTATAGTTTATGGCACTGTTACCCTCAGGTGGGTCGCAAGAGATTTTTTTGGGTTGCCTTGTCACGATCTGCAGGTAAGTTGTGTTAAGACATGTTTTGCATAACTTCTAATCTTTTTGTAATTATTTTAGTGACTATTTTGTTCCAATATTGCTGGTTCAATTGAATGTAGAAAAGAAAAAGAAATGAGCTACATTTAATGTCCAAATAGGCGACTTATGGATCCTTTTATTGCTGCTTCAAATACTGTTTTTCAGTGTTTAAAACTTGACTAATACTAATTGTTCAGAGAGACACGATCATTCAGTCAACAATAAAATATCCTCATTAATGTTCAATAATGGTGAAATCCACCTTTATTTTGTGATTTACGAATAATGTCTATTGATTTATGACTTTTAAAATATGGGTCCCCAGAAAAAAAGTTTGGGAAACACTGCTTTATGGCGTAATGCGAATTTAAGTTTGTAAGGACTTTTCAAAACTTTCAGAGGTCAGAGTTTTGCTGGCACGGTAATGCTAACAACAACTAGCATGCAAACAGTGCACCAGCATTACTTCTTGGCCTGTGGACAATAAAAATGCTTTATAATTTGATGCAGTGGGTGTTTTTGCAATACGACTGTACTGGGGCAAGACTAAATTTGACTTCTGGCACAGCCCCTTTAATCCGGAAAATCCCGCTAAACATGTAAACGTAAATAGCTACAAAAGCTTATGGTGTAATGTGAATTTAAGTTTGTAATCCAGAATAAATTGACCAATACATGTGAAACCAGCTGTGAGCACTAGAGGGCAGTAGAGTGTGTGTGAGTCTGAGGTGAGAGAGGCAGATTATAGCAGCTATACCTGAACGTTTGTCTTGCCAACCGGGCCGACAGACGAGAGGAAAAGTGTCGGGAACGAGGGAGGGGTGAACGGATGAGGCAAAAACAAGATGGAGGAGGAGGAGGAGGAGGAGGAGGGATGGAGAGATAGACAGAAGGAGGTGAAGGAGAGAGATTTAAAGTTACAAAAGCAGCAGGTCCAGTGGAGAGTGCATGGCTTGGCTGTAAAGTGGAGGGTACAGTCCTGATGTTTCATTTATGAGGTTTTAGACCAGACTGAGAGCCCTGCATAAAAGTGTAGCATAAATAGAAAGATGTACTTCGGCAGAGTTACTTTCATAAGCTATTTTTGGAGTTTTTCTATGAATCTTTGAACAGGTCTGGACAGTGGTCACATACAAGACATTTTTTGGTTTCATTCACACATGTTTAACACACAAACCCAGGATATTTACACTGAGTTCTTCTGTCTGATAAATGATAGCACTCTGTTACACTTTGTGATGACATGAAGTAATACAGGAAGTGCTTCACAGTGTTTTTAAACTCCATATGCCTTCACTAGAACCATTTAGATAAGTGGTACCCAACATTTTTTTATGCCACAGGTTTTATGTCCAGCAATATTTTGCGGACCGGGGGCGTACGGGAGGAGACACTCATCGTTTAGTTCTGGTTAAATCCTGTTTTAGTGCTGATCTAGTTCTACTTTTAGACCTGATTTAGACCTGGTTTAGACCTGACTTTAATCCCAGTTTAGTCCTTGTTTAGTCCTGATTTAGTTTCTGGTTTAGTCCTGGTTTAGAACTGATTTCAGTCCTGGTTTCATCCTGGGTTTAATTCTGATTTAGTTCTGGTTTAGACCTGGTTTAGACCTTGTTTAGATCTGATTTTAGTCCTAGTTTAGTCCTGGTTTAGACTTGGTTTAGGCCTCGTTTAGTTCTGGTTTAGTCCTAGTTTTAGTTCTGATTTTGTTCTGGTTTAGTCCTGCTTTAGTCCTGGTTTAGAGGCGTGGGAAACATCAGAGGAGGCCCAGTTCACGAAACGTATGGAAGGGGGAGTTTAAGTTTTCGTGGCCAGTACCAAACAACCCACGGCCCAGTACCGGTTCGCGACCTGTGGGTTGAGGACCCCTGATTTAGATAATTTCAGCTCTGCACTTGCCAAATTCTACTGAACAAAAGGTAAAAAAAAGCTGCTAACTTGAAAAACTGCAGCTTCATGACATCACAAAGTAGAACAGACTGACAATAGAGGCTTATTTAAACATGTGTGAATGAAACAAAACACAACTCCAGGTGTATTTTTGGGGAGGTAACATTACAACACGGCTTAAACCATTTGTAGGCCACGTCACAATAGGAAATGGACAATTGTTATCAATACAGAGGAAGCTCAAATGTGATCTTGGGACAGGGTTTGTAGAGGAATTTGGTGCAGTGGGGTAAAGTGGAAGGTACATAGGCTGGTCAAGAATGCACTGGTTTAAAATGGCCTAGAGTAGGATCATAGACTGTATAAAGAAGCGGACAAAGCGAGCGTGACGTCACCTCAGTCAAATGAAGCTCACAGATTTTGGAGCCAGTTCCATATTAGAAAAAGGAGTTAATTTACGGAGAAAATAGTGGAATAAAAACACCAGGATCATGTAGAGCGTGGTCACTTCACATTTACTGTCCACTTACATGTACAGTCTACGATTAGGGTTGATGCTGTGTGTTTCTATCGTGTGGTAAATGTATGCGGTTTACCTCGATCTGTCTGTAGTCACATATGGCTCTGATGGGGGTGGTGGAGCCGAGGGGGGTCTCCGCACTTCGGGGTTTGAGTTGGACCACGGTTTTGGCTCGTCCCACCAGACTGGCCACTGTGCCCCGGTACTCGATCAGCTGCTCCTTCTCCTCCTGAACACAGACAAATAATACGGGTTTAGAAATGGTAAGGCAAGGCAAGTTTATTTGTACAGCACAATTCGTACACAAAGTACTTCAAAGTGATTTACAGAATAAGAAATACATTAAAATCACAATATAAACAAATCAAAATATAAATAATCATCATAAAATTAAAAAGAGAGAGACATTAAATTAGAGAGAAGAATGCGGAATGAAAAATGAAACACTTTCAATCATATGCACAACTACACAGAACCGTTTTGAGCCTGGTTCTAAACAGAGTCAAAGTAGAGGCTTGTCTCACATGTTCAGACCGTTCCAGGTTTTAGCTACATGAATCTGAAACGCTGCATCCCCGTGTTTAGTCCTGACTCTGGGCACCAGCAGGAGGCCGGTCCCTGAGCTCCTCAGAGTGCGAGATGGTTCATGTGGCACTAACATGTCACAGATGTTCTTTGGTGCTCGGCCATGGAGAGACTTGTACAAGCAGAGCCGCTTTAAAGTCTCTGAGCCACAGGACTTATGTGCTCGTACTTCCTAGTTTGAGTGAGGACCTAAGCTGCAGCGTTCTGGATGTTCTGGATGTTCTGCTGGATGTTCTGGATGTTCTGGATGTTCTGCAGCGTCTCACAGCTCGTTTGGAGAGACCAGTGAGCAGAACATTACAGTATCTAACCTACTGGAGACAAACGCATGGATAAGTTTCTCCAAATCTGCTTTAGACAGTAAACCTTAGATTTTTGATGTTTTTTAGATGGTAAAAGGCTGCAGATGTTATTGATTTGATGTGGCTGTTAAAGTTCAAGTCTGAGTCCATTATTACCCCTAATGATATGTAGCTTATTGAGTATATTACCTATAACACTTGAGAATATAGATTAACTTTAAAGCTGCACTGCGTCAGTATTTCTAGTGCAGGGTCTGCCACCTGATTTCTCCATGGAAATGTCATTGCTTTGTCTAGAATGTTCCACAGTACAGATTAAACTTATCTATCATGAGGGAGACAAGCAGGTTACAACACTATACTACTTTACAGTTCAGATCTGTGGAGAGTCGCCTCTATTCACAGAAGGAATTATTGTATTTTTGATCAATAGAAACACCCGTAATCATGGTATATGTAGTTCAGTTTGTTTTTTTAGCTGTTGCTGCATCATAACTATGAATTTACGCAAAGAAACGCATAATTCGATATATTGTTATGGTATTATTGTGAGACTTTTGACGACATTTCGTGACAAAATAGTCCCCACAACTTATTATTAAACAGCGACGATAACAACACTATCATCAACATCTACTTCCAAACTACCTGTAACTGTATAAAGCCCAGTTTCTATTGTACACGTTCTGCTTTTGAACCTGCATCGTGCTTGTGGGTTTGTCCTGTGGAGCGTGGCCCTCAGCGGCGCCACCATCTGTCTGAAGTCAGGTGTGCGCCAATGTGTCCGTGAACAAATGGCTCAGGGGAGGAGGATGAATCAGCGACGCTTCACTGCTCCGCGCGAGGATCAGGCCCGGGCGCGGTGACTCAGGGGCAGGGCTAGAGACTCGATGTTAACACGTTCACACTTTGGTTTATGGGTGTAGATGTGCTAACGGCTGGAGGCTGCGGTGTGTGTCATGCGAGAGGCGTTTGGTGAGTCATAATTACAGCGTTCACACATAGGGGGCAGCAGAGCGCACACGTGAAACGCAGAGGTCACTGAAGGGGTAATTTTCTGCAATCAGACCATTTCAGAGTTTGCAGACGTTTCACAGAGAAGTTCATTGACCAAATAGTGTAGTATTAATGTTAACAATATTTTTGTTATTTCTGGTATCACTTGGCATGTAATTTTTTTGTTTTGACAAGAAATATTATGTAAAAAAAAAAAGGCAAACTAATGTGGCAAAGATAAAATGAATGCTAAAAGAAAGAGATGTTTTTAGATTAATTGCACTTTGTCTTCTAAATACAACAGTTATGCTAAAAAATCATCTAGATATTTGATTTTTACCAACTGTGTAAATGTACCCACTGTTATCCATGCAATAATTTTCTTAAAGGACCCATATTACACTATTTTCTGATCTGTTATAATGTTGTTTTCGCATCACAAACAAACCTGGAGTTGTGTTTTGTTTCATTCACACATGTAATACAGGAAGTGCTCCACTGTGTTTTTAAACTACATGCACCTTCCCTGGAATCATTCAGGTGATTTCAGCCCTGAAATTTCCAAGGCAAAAACTACTTCATGACATCACAAGGTGGAACAGAGCATTTTGAGCTTTGGCGATGTAAAGAGACTAATAACAAAGCTTTACCAAATATGTGAATGAAACAAAACACAACTCTGGGTAAGTTTTTCAAATTAAAATTCAATTCAAAATTGTTAAATTTCCAGATGAATATATGAAACATTATGTCTCACTCTCAGTTCTTCTAAATTAAATAATATTTAAATAAAAGGAAAAGTCCAAAGTTCTTTAAAGAGATGCAGACTCCTGTTTCCTGGCAGCCTGGTGGTTAGAGGGGGGAGGGAGTTCAGCATCCTAACAGCCTGGTGAATGAAGCTGATAGTGAGTCTGGTGGTGCGGGAACCAGTGGGTCCCAGAGGGCAGGAGGCTGAACAGATTGTGTGCTTGCATCACTCGCAATTGTGACTGAAGTCTTTGATGAGGAAACAACATTCTCACCATAGAATCCTGCAGCAGATCCTCCAGTCTGCTGAGCCTGCTGTTCTTGTCACAGGTGTATTGTCTCTTTATGGTGTCCTGGAGCTGCTTCAGGTACGACTCGCAGTCTCTGGCGTCGCTCATGAACTGCACACAAAATAAATGTAATAAATATGTAATGTAATATATAAAATACAAGACTACATTCAAACCATATTCCATACAACTCACCCTTATGTAACAGATAATACTCCCCACAACTGTACAACAACTCACAACCATTATTTAACATTATTGTGTATAGCTGAGAGTTATATTTGTATTACTATATTTCTATGTTTTTATTTTTACTACTCCAATAAACATTTACCTAATTATGCTTTACCTGTCTCTTGTTATGTTGCTACTTATTTTGAACGTGTTATTATCAATTATATTTTTGCTCTTTGTTATTACGTGTGAGCTACTGTGTCCAAATAATTTCCCTTGTGGCTCAATAAAGTTTGCCTAAATCTAGTGTTTTATAAGTTACCTGGAAGTACGCAGTGTTGTCTTTGAGATGTTGCTCCACACAGAGGCAGAGCTGGTTCACCCACTGCCACTGAGTCTGAAGAGCTGCGCTGTAGGCCTGAAGAGGAGGAGGAGGATAAAAGATGAGAGGAGATGACGTAACATAAGAGAGCCTTTTGTATTTTCTGTGAATATTTTTTTTTTCTGTGGATCTTGGATGGAAAGATCTTAATCTTTAAACCGTATCGACTATTTTTAAAACCTTTGTTACTTTCGACTAGGGCCCGATTGATATGGATTTTTGCAGCCAATATGACACCAATAAAATGGGAGTTGGAGGTGCTGATAGTTGATATAACAGCCAATATATTTAGTGCTGTAAAAATTCACTGTAAATCTTCAACTGACTATAAAACTTAGCTCAGGCTCTACTGGATTTAACTGTGGTTTGTTTTGGCTAAATTTATTCTTATTGTGCCTCTTTACAGTCATATTTAAAGACAGTAGATTCGCCTAATGGCATTTTTGCAAGACATTCTAGCCAGTAAAGAAATTATGTGTGGGAGCTACAGCAGCTAAGCACTAACTAATGAGAAAGAACGAAAAGCAGCTTCAAAACGAACACATTTGCAACACTCACTGCTCACACAGGCTCCTCTCAGATCACAAGTCTTGACTAATAAGTTTGATAAAAACAAGCAGTAGTTTTGTTGCCGGCCTAAACTGCGCTGAAGTTCACTTTTATTTACGGTGTTGAGCACATGGATCTGTGGCTGCGCACTGATGTAAACAAGCACACGTGAGTCTGGGGGTGCGTTCAGGGGCAGTACGGTCTCACAAACACCGACAAATTACACCGCAGATAAATACTGATGCAGCGCCACATATTAGGACATTTATCTATCTGTAAATGTGATTAAATTGACACAATATAGAGAGAGTCTAAGCTTTAAAATGAGATATAACATGCCCATCTGGACTATCTGCATATATTGGCCAGATTTAGGCTGACAGCTGATGTGTCTTAAAGTGCCCATATCAGGTCGGGCCATACTTTTGACCCCATATTTAAGGTCCCAAATTAATAATCATTTTCAGGTTTGGTAACTACTTAAATAAGAGTTTAGTTGTGTAGTTATTATTTTGTGTTACCATATTTTTTTTTGTGTACTAAATAAATGAATAATGTACAAATATTTCATGTAGTTTTCTCTGCGTTACCTCTACGGTTTGTTTGGCGGGATGGTTCTCCTGACACAGGCGTCCGGCTGTTTCCTGCAGCGACCGCATCACTTCCCGTTTCTCCTCCAGCTCTAACCTCATTTCCTACAAACAGAACAGGAAATTATAGAGGATTATCAAAGGAATGACATCAGTATATTTACATGAAGGAAATATCGTGTTCTCCGTTAGTCTCAACAAAGGAAATTGACCCACGCCCCAGATACAAGAAGCTCATTTTAAACAATACCCTATTAACCTATTTTCTCAACACTTTACAACAGCCATTTACAATAACAAGTGGGGGTATTTACAAAAAAAAAATCTTTCTTTTTTACCACACATCTCTATAATCCAACAGCCTAATAGGTACATTCTTCTCTCCAATTTATGTCTCTCTTTTTTTAATTTTAATCTTCATGATTATTTATGTTTTGATTTGTTTTTATTATGATTTTAATGTATTTCTTATTCTGTAAAGCACTTTGAATTACTTTGTGTACGAATTGTGCTATACAAATAAACTTGCCTTGCCTTACATAGAGTTCTGAGTACTTTTGTGGACTTTACACTATATAAATATGAGTAGGTTTTATTGAATATTATAGATTTGTATTTGCATTCAAAGACTTTATAGTACATTTTATTGATACTAGGCAGTTCTTCATGTATGTCTATGGTGGAATGTTCAGCAGTTACCATGGAGACACAGCACACACATTGGCAAACACTGTCAAGATAGTTTTAAGACTGAACTACTCCACAGTAACAGAGTACAGTTCTCTTTAAGCTCTCATATTGGGGTAATTTGCACTGTATTTTAATAGTTTTTATTGTATATTATAGACGTTGTATAGATATTTTTTGTATATTTACTCCACACTCACAGAGTACAATTCCCTCTTGGCGTTCATGTTGGAGTAGTTTTTACCAGAGTTGGGACCAAGTCGTTGTTTGGCAAGTCTCAAGTAAGTCTCAAGTCTTTGACCTCAAGTCTGAGTCAAGTCCCAAGTCAAAAACAGGCAAGTCCAAGTCAAGTCCAAGTCGTCTGCTTTAAGCTTCAAATCATTTCAAGTCTTTAAACCAAAGTTACATTTATGCAATTTATATGAATTTTTAATCTAAATTGTACTTAAAAAAGGTCAGGGTATATTTATAAATGAGTATTTATATAAGAGTTGTAGAAATGATCATTTTTACTTTTTGTCTTGACAAAATCTTCGTGAGAATCATTACGGTCAGAACAGAAATAATTCAGATTTTAAAGATGCTTAATAAGAGTTATTTTCTCATGAAATTGAAGGATCATGTTCTATGCAGTTCCTTCAGTTTTACTGTATTGTACTGCATATTACTGTAGTACATTTGAGGATACTACATCACAGTACTTCAGTTACATCCAAAGTAACAAACAGTTGTGGGAGGAACATGTTCCAGTTTGTTCGTGTAAAATGAATCAACTGTAAAGAGAAAAGTATTATCTAAAAACATATATATTTTTCTTAGAAGAAGCATCAAGTCTTCTCAAGTCACAGGTCTCAAGTCCGAGTCAAGTCCCAAGCCACTGACCTTCAAGGCCAAGTCAAGTCCTAAGTCTTAGTCTATTTTCTCAAGTCAAGTCTCAAGTCCTAAAAATAGTGACTCAAGTCTGACTCAAGTCCCCACCTCTGGTTTTTACTGTATTTTTATAGTTTTTATTGTATATTATAGATGTTGTATAGATATTTTCTGCATAGTTACTCCACACACAGAGTAAAGTTCCCTCTTGGTGTTCATGTTAAGGTAGTTTTTATTGTATTTTGAGTTTCATTGTATATTATAGCTGTTGTATAGATATTTTTTGTATATTTACTCCACACTCACAGAATAAAGTTCCCTCTTGGCGTTCATACTGAAGTAGTTTTTGCTGTATTTTAATAGTTTTTATTGTATATTATAGATGTTGTATAGATATTTTTTGCATAGTTACTCCACACTCACAGAGTAAAGTTCCCTCTTGGCGTTCATGTTGGGGTTGCCATGGCTCCAGTCGAAGGCGAGCTCCTCCTCCTCTCTCTCGTTGAGCCAGATGAGCTCCTCCGTGCACCGCGACACAAACTCGTGCAGACTCTCCAGACTTCGCAGGCGCCACGACGACTGTTCCTATGGCAACCAACAACAACACCACACAGTCAGGGGATGCTACAGTAATGTTTCCATCAGTAAGAAGAGAAATGATTGAAATATTGTAGTAATGCAATATAAGAACATTTCTGTAGTATTTTGGATCAGGAATTGTTTTACAAATCTTACAAAATTACAAAAAGTAGAATGAAAAAGTAAAAAGTGCACACTATCATCACTAGTAGCTATGAATGGGATGAGACACAATTTCTACAAAATGAGACAAGACAAGATTTAGAGAAATTACTCTTCACCGTTTTTTTTTTTCACTTTTATTTAATTCATAGTTTACTGTTATTTTAGCACTGCTTTTTGGCATTATAGCTTCTCAAGGAGTTATTCAGCAAAGTTAACCTTTTTTATCCAAGGCAAATGTAAAAATATGAGGGGAAAAATCTCAGGAGATCATTTTTTTTCATGGGTGCAGAGTCTTGTGGCAACTTTGTCTCGCGAGATCTTGTAGTACAAATCTTGTCCCATCCCTCCTAGCAGCATTAGTAAAAAGTACTGCGGCAAACTCCAGCTACGGCTACTTCTACTACTTAATGCTCCTATTACTTTTTAAAATTACTTTCAATTACTTATACTTCTTATAACTTAACTACAACTCATATTACTGTGCCCAACAAAAAAGTGTCAGATGCAGCTTTAAACAAAGGTTCAACTTTAATGAAAATATTAACAAAATCAAGCGACAGATCCCCAATATCTTTTGCTCAATCTCAAATATCAGTTTCGTTTTCAAGTTCCAGCCCATAAGAAAAGAAATCTCAGGGGTCCGGCAGATGAATAACTGAGTGAATTTAAATGAGCGATCTGTCACGCTCTGATCGGATTAAATAAAAATGAGTGCGGATGGAACAAAGAGGAGACGCGGACGGCTCTGTGGGACTGACCAGTAGTTTGCAGTATTGGTGCTCCAGCTTGGCCAGGGTTTCAGAGTAACTGCTCTTGAAATTTGGCGAGACTTTGGGCTTTGGGGAGAGAAAAAAAAAAAAGAAGAGTTTACAGTTACACAATCAGTTATATTACGGACAAAAACACATTTAGTAAATCATTTCAGTAAGTTAATTCAAAGGAAAAACTCATTATAATAGGGATACAGATATTTATACAAAAGTTTTTTTTAATTTGCTGTCATGGTTGGTTTTAAGAGTTTTGTTAAGACATATCCTCACACACACACACACACACACACACATGTAATGTTATGTAAACTATTATTATTTGCCAAGTATCTCTAAATACAATGACTGTGGTAGGAAAATGACATAAAACCTTGCTTGGTTATTTAATATAAAACAAAAATCCAATATTAGGTGGACTTGGCAGATAATTTGTGGTGTCAATATTTTAAAAAATCAATATACAAAAAACTGCATTATACCTTTTGAACTGAAATTACCACAATAATGTAAGCTTTGCCACTCAAGTTTAAATGTAAAAAAGTGTTTTTTATGAATCAAGTTTCCTACTACCCAGAGACTGTGGCTATTGTGATATAGATATTTAATTTTACCAAATAGGAAGTGAGTAATGGGGCCCTTCCGGCTAGACTGATTCATCAACCAGTTTCACTTTGTGGAAACCGTCTGACCTCACAGCATTAGGATTCGTTCGCTCGACGGAAGTTGGGTACTTTTTTTCATTTAACCAATCGCTGCTATTTGGTTGTGATGTATGTAATGCGTTGCTAACGGGGCTAACTGGTATATTAAGCTTTTCCCAAATCCCGTAGGAAGAAAAGCAATAACATCTTTCCCCTTGATAAAATTCATCAAACATTTTCTTTGTTCCGGCTTTAAATCCTCGATCTCGAGAATCGTTGCCAACACAGAATGTCTGACTCTTCACTGATTGGCTGGTGCCCAAACTTGCACTTCTGGGGTTTTTGCAAACCGTCTAGTGTATTCCAATTTCTGACCTAGTCTCTGGAGAGAAATGAAACTGAGCGGAGGCACTAGGTGGTGCCAGCCTGGATAGCTTCCGAGTCCATCTGCTTCCAATTAACTTTACAGTAAAAAATTATTGCTGCTCTGAGCCTCGTCATTTTGGTAAAATGTTTGTTTTAACCCGCTCTACATGATCGGGGTGTTTTTATTTTGCTATTTTGTCCATAAATTAATTCCTGCTCTTAATGTGAAAGTTGACTCGGAATCGTGAGCTTCAATCAGGACTTCACACTCCCTTAATCCACTTCTTTATATAGTCTATGCTACTACTCCTGTACAGTAGTAATATGTTGTGTACTCTTGTGTCCTGTGTGTACCTCGTAGCTGCGTGCCTCCTGTAGGCTGCTCATCAGATCCTCCACCGCTGTGTGGATGGAGTTCTGCTCCGTCAGGTGTTTCTCCACAGAGGGGAGATCTGCGCCCCACTCCGCCTGCTCCAACAGGTCCTGAGTAAACAGAAAAAACAAATATAACTGTTCAAAGAGTCAAATATCACCAAAAAGTTCACAATGGTGCAATCAGATACAAGTTTTTCAGGGATATAAGTATTTGTTTTGATGCAGCCCATGTGTGTCTCTAATTGGCTAATCCACCTGTCAGTCATACCCATCATGCAGTTTCACTGCTGCTTCTGAAAAATGAATTTCCTTTGGGATCAATAAAGTATTCATCTATGGTAACACTTTATTTTAGGGTGCACTTATGAACATCTAACTACCTGTTAATTAGCTGCTATTTGTTAGACATTTACAAACACTTTCCTATTAATACACTTCTTATTACTGCTTATTAGTATGATACTAGGCCATTTTTGTCCATGAATTATGATTCTAGTAAGCTTTTGGCGCAAATACATTTTTTGTGCTACTTGTCCTTAACAACACCCTTATTACCAAAAGCTTATTAGAATCAGAAGTCATATACAAAAATGGCCTAGTATCATATTAATAAGCAGTAATAAGGAATGTATTCATAGAAAAGTGTTTGTAAATGTCTAACTAATAGCAGAATAAGTGTTGCCTTATCTAATTATTTATCTGTCTATCTATCAAAAAACAGGGAGAGTCACCGCTGACCAGACTCACATTTTGTGCTTTGGAGATGTGGACAACCTAATAATAAAGGATTACGCAAACAGAAACATAACTTCAGGTATGGTTTTGATGAGTTAACAACATTATAACAAGGCATAAGGCTCACAAGAGTCACTTTTATGTAATATTGGGCCTTACCTGTGTCTCTTCGACCCATCCCAGCAGCTCGTAGATGAACCTCAGACTCCCCTCGTCCTCAGATGAAGACATGGCCACTAACTGAGACCGGTCCATGGGCCTCCGGAGCAGAGCGGCGCCCATCATCCCCACAGCGCCCACGGCTCCCAGCAGAGTCTGTCCCAGAGAGAGCCCTCCGTCCTGGGAGCGCTGGGTGAGCTCTGGCCCTGTCCCGCTCAGGGCCTGTCCAAAGTGACCCTTCCTGTAGAGACTGGAGCACTGCAGCCGGAGGGAGACCAGCTCCTCCTGCAGGCACGACACTCTGAAGGGACACACAAATGTAAATGTGTAAGTGTAATGACAAATAAGTAGCATACGAATAATTCAACTTCAAATTTTCTAGTGTTACTATATAGATAACAAACAATATTCATGAAAATGGATAAACAACTTTTTCACTTGGGCCCAAACAGTGAGAAATACACACTAGTAAATCTATTTTAGTGTAAATCTGAAATGAATCACTGTCTGCAATCTGTCTGACAAGTAAATATTGTGCAACTCTAGAAACCAACACATCCCTTATATGTTTAAAAGGTACTGTATTATGCAAAATGGAGCTTTAAGACATGTTATAATGTTGTTACCTCCTCACATACCTGAAATTGTGTTTTGTTTTACTCACACATGTTTCAATAATTTGTTTTTTTATTAGTCTGTCTACATTTTCAAAGCTGAAAATGCTCTGTTCCACCTTCTTATGTCATGAAGCAGTAGATTTCAAGTTTACAGCTGCCTTCTAGCTTTTGTTCAATAGAAATGGACAATTTCCAGCCTAAATATTCAGTGTTTGTGTGTTAAAAATGTGTATATGAAACAAGACACAACTCCAGGCATTATGCTCTGACGAAGACCGTCTTGCTGGTCAAAACGTGCTGGGGTCCCTCCATGTAATAAAGGAGTTTTCATATATTCAGTCGGAGTGCCTCAGGTTTGTACCTTGCCCACTTTTACATTATTTTAGTAAGGGTAACTTTCTGTTAAGATTAACCCTCGTAGAGCACCTGTACTGCTATTTTTAACTTTTTTTTGACCCAGTGAAACGCGCAACCACTTTTCTTCATCTGACAGCTCCAGGTATGTTTTTGATGAAGAAACATTATAATCTAAATCAGAAAATTACAGAATATGGACCTATCACAAAAAAGACTGACAAATATACAGCAGCTCATATTTCAGACCAGAGATTAGAAAAACTGATAGCAGACTACAGACATGTTCACAGGACTAGACTCACCTGAAGGCCAGCTGCTCCACCTGGTAGTACCTCTCGTCCCTCAGAACCTTGAGTTCCTGGTTCAGGTTCCTGATGAGAGCCTCACAGTCCTGAAGGTAACAGGCCATGTCCCTCTCACACTGCACCGACTCCCCGCTCTCCACCCGGGACATGTCCTACACAAAAACAACACACACATTTTTACTAGAGTCATTTATTATAATCATGAAAATACGATGAAATGTGAAAGAAAATGTGAAAAACGATTTGGAATATTATAAAAACTGTGATTTGTCTACCTGATTTAGGACAGATTAAATGCCACATGAACTCACAAAGTATAAAAGTATATGTGGATTTCATTTTACATTTTTTAGTTCATACCATAGCCTGTACAAAGAACTGGACTATAGAGAAACGTTCAGTTCCAGTCAAATGAAGCTTATCGAGGCTTGCAGTTATAGGAGCAAATTTCGAGCTACTGTATATTCCGCGCGCTCTTAAGCCTCCAACCCCATTAAAAAACGACTGCACGCCCCGCAATCCAGAGCGCCCTATACACGAATCCACTCGGGTGTCCCAGCACGACTTCAGTAAACTACAAAGCCGCACCACCCGCAGCGCACGCAAACACACACAGGAGCAGACAGCGACCGCACAGCGAAAAACACCCGCAGCCAGACTCATCACTCCACGCCGAGGAGGAACGGAACGGAGGAACGAACCGAAAAAGCGAGTGCAATGTGCCACTTCTAGACACAACTGAGTCACTGCGAACACGCCGACAATCCGTTGGTCCCAGACAGCACCCTCCCTACACGCCACAACTGAACAAAGCCCAGAGTCACCGTGAACGCGACAAACAAACAAAACCACTGACCCATCCAACTGTTGTGTTTCGTTTAAAGTCTGGTGCGGTTTATTTGTGAAAAAAGTTCAAAAATAGACCATTTAATGACAGCGCGCCTTATAATCCAGAGCGCCTAATAGTGTGGAAAATACAGTAAGTTCCATGTTTGGAATTCCGACAGCAAGTATCAGCAACTAAAAGAACCAATCCAGAGTGAGGTTGCTGAAGGTAATGCTTGCAGGAGACACCTTGGGGAAAGACGTCGCCTGATTTGTCTGTTATTAATGTTCATATCTTGTTTTATGGACTAAATAATGAAATAAAAACACTACAATCATGCAAAGAGTTCTTCACTGGCAACATCACACTCCAGAGATTTTTGTCACAATTTACACAAGGAACACATTTTTCTCTGACACTTTTAAGCAAAATAAAGCAATTTTCTTATATTTGTATTTGTCAGATAATATTGGAAGAGTTTTGCCAGGTCACAGTTATGTAATTCTCTAGTATGAGGTCACCATTTCCAAGTAAGAAGTAAAATTTTAAACCTAAAAAATGGCCAAAGTGGGAAAACGAGTGTTTTCATCAAATCTGTAGTCTAACCTGTCATAGATACTTTATCACCACGAGAAATCCAGACTTCTTACGATACGCAGGGAAAGTGGTAAGCAAATATTTACGGTTCAAATAAAGACACTTGCCTTTTTATTTTAACTGTGTACTTATTATATTAGTGGATTGTAAAGCTTTAAAGATCCCCCATAAACCCAAACCTTTGTGCAAATGTGTGAGACAAATTAAAATTTAAATAAAGTAGAAGAGGAGCGCTCACAGCTTGTAGTGTGTTCTTCGCTAACGTCAGTTTCTCCTCACAGTCCAGAGCCATGTTTTGGATCTTGTTGGCTCTTTGTAGCAGCAGCTCAAGTCTAAAATAAAAGAAAGAAAAAGAAACAGTAATTAAATATAGTTAATGGAATATGCAAATGAGACAATATCAAACATACAACATGACATTATAACCTGACATGCGAAGAGAACAGGGTGGAGCTGTTATAGATGGTTTAGTTCTGGTTTAGTCCGGCTTTTGTGGGGTCTGTTTTAGGAATGCACTGATATGATCTCGAAATGTTTGAACATTTATTCATACAAAGTTGTTCAGGAGTGATTTGAAGGATAAATAACAGTTACATAACACAATTTGATCTCTTCTGTAAAGGAAATAAGTAACATTTTTGTCCCTTCACTGGTATCAGTCAATATCAGGTATCGGCAAATAATTAAAGTCCGAGTATCTGAACTGAAAAAGCAGAATCTGTGCATCCATGACTTAATTTTTTTGGCGGCCATACTGGAGGTCAAGGTTGGGGTTGATCCGGAAGGTGTTATTCAGTTACTGCAATATAATCGTGGCTACTTTAAAGAGCGCAAACAACATAAAACTGTCCATAATTGCCAGCTCGTTAGATCAGCCGTCATTAGAAAGATGTAATGTTAAAGTCGTCCTCCTGGGTTGTGGAATAGATCCCTAATTTCAATGCTCGCTCTGTGCCCAACCTCCAATGTCCAGATATTTCTAACTAGTTAATTCATTCTACATCGTCCTACACCAACCAAGAACTGAAAAGTTAAGAGGGGTTTTGGGTTCCATGCCGGCGAAAGTGAGGACCGGGTCGGGGGCCAGCAAAAGTGAAAAACTGCACAGTGCACCCTTCCTTATTTTATCGCGCACAAATACTACACATTCGTCCAGATAAATAGTTTGACCTCCAATATGGCGGCATAAACAACACGTCACATGCTTTTGTGCCATAGATGCAAAACCTTAATACTGATCTACCAAACTGTCCAAAGAAAGAAGGATAGTTAAGCCAATCGAAGGCTATGGCCGTGTCTCATTTCTCGTTCCTCGCTTCCTTCTCCTTGATTCCTCTCCTCGATCCTCCATTTTCAGCTGTCAATCAAATGTGTCATATAAAGTGGTGTCCCGGAGAAAACCACAGAAGGAGCGAGTAAACATGAGGGAGGCTTCAGGAGCAGACATCACATAAAATAATCACACTTTATTGATCTCAGCTGGGGAGTTTATATCCTCTCTCCTTGCTTTGTCACGGGAGAATCGAGGAGAGGAATCAAGGAGAAGGAAGTGAGGATAGAGGAATGAGACGAGGACGTATGGACTGTATGGACTGAACCAGGTCTAAACCAGGTCTAAACCAGGTCTAAACCAGGTCTAAACCAGGACCAAACCAAGACTAACATTGGACTAGGACTTGGAATCTAGGTCCACCCTTGAGAGAACCCTGAGCCTGTGGAGCAGGGTGTCTCTGTCTGCAAAGCGTGATTGGACCGGCCTGTCTCAACATTCGGAACCATAACGATGGCATTTCACCGCTGCTGATATCGCGGTGATTTTAGCGAATTTGTATGAAGAAAAACGAAAAACCCACCACTTCAATCCAGGTTAAAAAAGCATTGTGACACGAGTTAGTGACATTTGTACCGAGTAAAATATTACCAATTTTTTCCCTGTTATACCTTTTCATAACTATATACTAACGCGTTACTCCCAACACTATTTATTGTGGACGAGCCCATGACACAAAGGGATCATATTATAGTGATTATTGTTATTTGTTTTATCTGCACTGCAATTTACGCAATGCAATAGAGTCTATATTAAGGACATCCTCATAATGTCATTTCAGATTGGAGTAAATACATTGTGTGTTTTCCTCTGCCTTGTAATAAAGTCTAACCTAATTCAATGTAATGTAATGTAATAATGTAAAGTATGTATTCGTTGTTACCTCTCGACGGCCGGTCTCAGAGCCTTTTCTCTCTCCAGCATCTCCAGGATGAGTTTGCCCCACTCCTCCTCCAGGTCGTTTGGATGGAGGCCCTGAGGAAGCTTAATACGACCAAACTCTATCCACACCTAAAACACACAGAAATACAACAATTTACCACACCAAAGTGATATAAAGACACTTAAAAGTGAATGAATCCCGAAGTTAAATGTTGCATAGTGCGGCTTTAACACTCTAAAGATGGCCGTGAATACAGAAATGATACAAAACAGGCCAAACTCGTCCTGCTCCGTTTGTTTTATTTATGGATGAGGACAATCAGGTCAGAAGACTCTCGGGTCCCAGGAGCCTCAGAGCTTCACCTGCTCAGACTCCTCACACCGTTTAATTATAGTGACCCCAAAGTGGATCACACACCAAACATGTTTTATTCTGTGAAAGCTCAATGTTAAATGGATAATTGTTATATCGTTAGTATCATTCTATTAGTGCAAGGTCTACATGTTATAGAAGTTTTAGCCAGATTTGTTAAAGGTCTAATTAGTGTTAAAAGCTCCTAAACTGTTAGAAATGTTCATGTTTATAACTGGGTTTAAAGGACTTATATTACACTATTAATGAGCCGTTATAATGTTGTTTCCTCATCAAAGACACAGCTTTTTAACACAAAGACCCTGTATATTTAGGCTGAGTAATTCTCTAAAAGAACAAAACGCAATGTTCCACCTTGTGATGTCATGTGGTAATACAGGAAGTGCTCCACTGTGTTTTAAAACTCCATACAACCTCACAAGAACCATTTGGATAATTTTAGACCTGGAATTGTCAATCTCTACTGAACCAAAATGAAAAGGAGCTGTTATAGGGACAGTCCAGAATTTTGGACATGGGACCTCATTTCGTAGTGAACCAGAGTGTTGGAGACGTGTGGAGACACTTTTTACCTCCGCCAAGGAGGTTATGTTTTTGCCGGCGTTTGTCTGTTTGTTTGTTTGTCTGTTTGTTTGTTTGTTTTTGTCTGTTAGCAACATAACTCAAAAAGTTATGGACCGATTTTGATGAAATTTTCAGGATTTGTTGGAAATGTGAAAAGGAAGAACTGATTTCATTTTGGGGGTGATCTGGAAGAAATCCTGGATTCTGGATCACTTTGAAATTTTAGTTAACATTGTGGTAAATGGGGCCAAAAGTTTTGTTTCTCAATATCTCGGTTAATTATTGACCAAACCCCATGAAATTTGACTCAGGGATGGACAATGGGATCCTCTTTCATATTCCAAATTGAAAGATACGAGACAAATATTTATGGAAAACACAATTAATATGAGGGGGACTGTAGTCCTTGGCGGAGGTCTGCGCTCTCTGAGTGCTTTTCTAGTTTAAATATTCCATCCAGTCCTTGTATTTGCAGAGGTCGCTGCCACTAAACCCACTCCACAAAACACCTGATGAAAATCTATTATTACACCAGACTGTCGATGTGAACGTCTGTGTTGATAGAATAATTTTAGAAGTAAAACCAACCTTGCATTTGAAGGATTTATGTCTGAGCAGCAGCAGCGAGTTGTACTTCCTGATAGAAAGCTTGGCAGCAGCGGACTGATATATGAGAAAATAGTCCCTCAACATGCAACGATTCATGCGATTCAAGGTTAGTTTTATTTCAAACATTATTCTGTCAACACAGACATTTACATCGACAGTCTGAAGTAATAATAGATTTGTTTCCGGTATTTTGTGGAGTGGGTAAGACTGTTTTTAGTGTCAGGATAACTATGGCCATTGACATGCACTAGTCTAGCACCAGTGACCTCTGCAAATACAAGGACTGGATGGAATATTTTAAAAAGTGTCTCCACACGTCTCCAACACTCTGGCTCACTAGGAAATGAGGTCCTATGACCAAAATTCCAGACTGTCCCTTTAACTTGAAAACTACTCCTTCATGACATCACAAGGTTGAACAGAGCATTTGTATGAAACAAAACACAACTCCAAGTCTGTTTTTGAAGAGGTAACGACATTATAACACGGCTTAAAACTCACAAGAGTCAATTAAACATAATATAGGACATTTAATGAAAAAAAAAAAAAAAACTGAATAAAACATTTAATCTCAAAATGGTGCCTATAAAAAAGGAACCCGAAACCCAAATCCTACACCCAAAAGAAGGGATTAAAATTAAAATAAGCAATGCAAATAAATAGGGGTGTAAATAACAATATTTAAATCTCTCTGTACGATATTTTCACGATATACATCTCACAGTACGGTATTTATTGCGATATTTTGTGGAGGATAAACAGCTAAAACTGTAAATACGCTACTTTTTCCTCTTAAAACGCCTTGATAAGACTTATTCCAAAGAACTACGACTTAAAAGTGCTTAGAACTGTTATTTCTTCATGTACTCTGCAGTGAAATGGAGCAAAGGATCATGGTCTATGTAGTTCCCTCTGTCTTTTTTTAGCTTTTGCTGCACCATAACTCTTAATTTAAGCAAAGAGACTTGTAATTCGATATATTGTGATGATCGAAAGACTAAGAACGAGACTGTTTTTCAATTGCAAATACATGTACAGGGACAAACAAAGCTATAGGGGATGATAAGGTTTAATTTATGTGCAATCACTGAGTAGAATAAATGGCTGTTCCCTGTCAGCTCATCACATTATAACAGCCCCGGGTCCGTGTCTCTGTGAATTACACGTGTTCTAATTATCCTGAACAACGTATAGATTAAAAACTCAATTACATCTGTGTTTTTTCCCGACGTGAGATCACACTTTGGTCTCATCAGCTGGTCAAAACAAACAAGTCTGTGCTGTATCTGCTCTCATGTGATTCTTTTGAGACAATATATCTCTTTGATAATGTCACATCACGGAGGGGTGTTTGGACCTTGACAACAACAGTTATGATATAATTATGGAGCCTCTGAGCTAAACCCATGATATGTAACGGGATCTGCACAAGGGAGAATCAGGAACTGCAGTTTTTCCTGGGAACTGACAATATTTTTCATGCTAATATCGATATAGTCTGTTAAGTATGATTTGTTTTCTATACAGTTTGCACAGTCTGTTCCAAAATGTATTTTCTAAGCAGCTCCTGTCCCTTCGTATCCATATATTTTTGGTTAGTTTGGTCAAAATGCATGAATATTTTTAAAGGTCCTATATTAACCAAACTTTAAGCAATGTTATAATGTTACCTCATCAAAAATTCATTCATTTTGTTTCATTCACACTCGTCTCCAAAGCTCAAAATGCTCCATTCCACCTTGTAATGTCATGTGATGGTAGTTTTCATGTTAACAGATGTCTTTTGTTAGACAGGCTGAAGCCACCTGGTGCCTCCGCTCAATTTAATTTCTCTCCCGCGACTACGCCAGGAATCGAAATACCCTTGATGGTTTGCGAGAAGCCGGGAGTTGTAGATCGTGCACGGCCCAATCAGCAAAGAGCTGTGAAGCCGGCAATTACTTGGACACCACTGAGCAATTACATAGGTCTCGACCAAATAGCAGCGATTGGTGAACTAAAAAAAAATGCCCGCCTACTGTCGAGCGAATGAATCCTAATGCTGCGAGGTCAAACGGTTGATGAATCAGGCTAATGTTTTGTATTTAAGTTCAGTAAAATTGTCAATTCCAGGACTGAAACAAGCACAATCAGAGACAGCAACCTGGTCCCCCATGAGGCATCAGTGGGGGCAGTTCATCACCACAGAAGCAGTTTATGAGGAGTCCAGCCCATACCCTGTTTATGTGTGTGCCAACTTGTGTGATGATTGGGTGAATATTTTAGGCCGCAGATGGTTTAGAAATTGCAGAAATTGCCTGTCCTTTATAACGGCGTGACCTTTCAATTGACCCAAGTGACCTCAAATGACCTTGGATCATCACAAAACTTTTTTTTTTTTTGCGGCATCGGTCACAGGGGCTTGACCCATGTACCAAAACGGTGACAATGGGTCCATAAATGGCGGAATTATCGCGGGTGGACAGACACACAGACACACAGGGTGAATACAAAACCTGGTCAACCCTTCGGGGACCAGGTAACTGAGGAGAAGGTGTGTGGAGTTTAAAAACACAGTGGAGAACTTCCTGTATCACCACATGACATCACTATGCAGAACTGAGTGTTTTGTGTTTGAGAGAGCACAAAAATCAACCTAAATATGCAGGGTTTGTGTGTTAAAAATGTGTGAATGAAACAAAACACAACTCCGGGTTTGTTTGTGATAAGGAAACAACATTAAAACATAGAAATCTGTTTAAAGCGTCCATATTACGCTATTTTGTGATCTGATTTACAACTGAAACTATGGTATATTTGCTGTATTACAATAAAAATACAAAACACTGCATTACAAAAGTGAATTATATCTTAAAATCTGCAAGTATGAGGTTAGACGGATTAAATCGGATCAGTATTGTCTGACAAACTCCATTTCGTAGCATCACAGAGCTTCCCTGTTGACTCACCTCCAGTAGTTTGTAGAGCTGTTCGATGTGACCTTTTTCCTTCTCCTTTGAGGGGATTTCTGTCTCTTTGAAATGGACGTACTCGTTGTAAAGTGCCTGCACACACACACACAGAGAGAGTAGAGTGAATGGACTGTGGTCAATAACACTGTAAAAGGGGCAGTTTAAAATGACAATAACACTGGGTTTGCTGACAGCAGTTTTACAACCACATATTGACTGGACACATAAATAAGTAAATTTGACATGTGTGGTGTGAGTTCAGTGTGGTGAATTGTGCTTCAAGTTTAATTAGTACTGCAGTGCATCGCTAAATGACCCAAGAAATGAAACCAATGAAGTGTACAGGAGCAACAGGGACACACTTAGACTGAATAAAGAAGAGGACTAAAGAAGGGTGACGTCAGCCATAGTGTTCAGTCAAATGAAGCTCATGAGGGTAGCAGTTACGGGGGGAATTTGGAGCCGAGTTCCATATTAGGAAAAGGAAATTATTTACGGACAAAATAACAAAATAAAAAACACCAGGATCATGTAGAGCGAGTTAATACAGATATTTTAAAACCAAAATGAAGAGGCTCAGAGCAGCAATTACAGAGAGAGGGGTGACAAATTATACAGCTATGTCTATCGTCCATTTATACAGTACATTTATACATTTATACAGTAGAAATATTCTCTCTCTTATGTCTAGTATATAAGACATCTTTGTTTCAAGCATGGAAAATGATTTACTACTTGAGATGGACAAATAAGATCAAGAATTTTCTTCAAAAACTGAGCAAAATAAACCAGGTGATACGTCAGAGGCGGCGCTACCCCCTCAGTCCTACTAATGTCCAAAGCCTCAGAACAATTAGATTTTCTCTCAATAAATGAGAGTAGTTCACTTTTAAACAATTATCATAAGAAAAAAAAAATCATATGTAATGGATGTAAACAAAAAAGTAATTACACCAGCAAAAAAATAAAACTACTTTTAACTAATAAGACAAGATTCCAATCCACCATAATTCAAATAAATAGAGATGTGCACGTCTCCAGAACAATGGGAAAAAACAGACAATATATTAAAAAAACAACAATAACTGTGCATTATTAAGTTTGCCTAGGGCCACCAAATTTCTAACTCTGCCAGTGTGATATGTATTTGCATGACTCCTCACCTTGAGTTCCACAGGGTTTTGTGGGAAGTTCTTGTTGGCCATGAGGGCCGTGTGCTGTCGGCTCCACTGGAGCAGAGAGGAGAACCGGGCCTGGTACTCAGCCCACCGCTGCTCCACCTCCTGCAGACAACACGGTACAGACAGAATATTAAGAGAGAAACAGTGTTCAGCACATGGATGGTCTTGGTGAGATACTGTGTCCAAACAGATTCCATTGTATCTTAATAATGTCTGAAATCTACAAGTCGTGCTGCAGATCCGCGGGTTTCAGATGTGATGATGTCATTCTCCCAGATGGAGGCGAGAGTCAGTTTTTCCAATTGATCACATTGTACTTTGCCATGAAATAGCTACAAGGTGAATTCACAAATGTTGACTCAAATCATCATCAAGAACTCACTGTATTACAACAAAAATCTGCACTTTAACAATATTCATTTTAGCTTCCCTACATTTGTATTAAATATTACAGGCCGCTGTGATGTCATCTGAAACCCAGCTCCTTTAATGCATACTTTAATATAAATGTTTTTTCTCTCAGACCTGTCAACTTGAATAACTATATAGAGTATTTACAGTAGAATCCCCTGCACCGCCTCGTCCAGAACTGCTTCTTTAATGTCCACATTATAGAGAGTTTTAATATTATATTTAATACATAATACACGATCGTATGTCCTTTCAGCTTTAATGTAATCGTATGAGTCTTGGCATGATTGCATTTGCTACTGGACATGAAGAGGAGGAGGCACTGACATTGATTTGAAACTCAGCGTAAACGAGTGCATATAACCAAGGTTAAGTGGCAGGCAGTGGTGAGTTAAAAGCATTAAAGCTCCACTGTGGAACGTACGTGTGCGGCGACGCCCTCTCCTCCCTCGGGGATCTTCGGGAAGGCGTCGTAGATGGAGGAGACGTAAGTGATGACGGACTTTTCATCTGGAGAGGGCACATCCACATCTGCCACAGAACAAGGTCAGAGAAGGAAAGTAGTGTGAGATATGCAGAGTAGGACCATCATAGATTATAAGAGATTGCAATATTGAGATGGAATTGCTTTCTGTTAACGCAACCTACACCTCTCATGGGTCAATCTACAACATATTTAAAGTGAAATTAGTTTTTAAAGGGCCTATATTATGCTATATTTAACACACACACACACACTCTGCATACTTAGGCTGACTTCATGGCAAGCAGAAAACACTCATGCCATATGGTAATGCAGACGTGCTGTGTTTTTAAACTCCATACATCTTCACTAGAATCATTTAGACTGAGTAGTATGTTATCCTGATTCATCAACCGGTTTCACTTCGTGGAAACCGTCTGATCTTGCAGCGTTAGGTTTCGTTCGCTCAATGATAGATGGGAACTTTTTTTTTATCCAACCAATCGCTGCTAATTTGGTTGTGACGTATGTAATGTGAAGCTTTTCCTAAATCCCATAGGAAGAAGGGCAATAAACATCTTTCCCCTTGATAAAATTCACCAAACATTCTCTTTGTTCTGGCTTTAAATCCTTGATCTCGGGATTCGTTGCCAACACAGAATATATGGCTCTTTGCTGATTGGCTGGTGCCCGAACTCACACTTCTGGGGTTCTTGCAAAACATCTAGTACAGGGGTGTCCAAACTTTTTTCATCAAGGGGCACATTTCTTAACACAGGTGAAGCAGAGATCTGTTTGAGGGCCATAGACTGGTGCTCAGTACAGTCAATAATTGAAATATGTGCATGTTAGAATGAGCCGTTAGTCCTTTATTCACGCTAAGATCCTCAAAACCACACACTAAATATTAAATATGAGCTTTATCAAGGTAGATTTTCAAAAAACATGCAGTAAAAAAGTTAATTTTTCATTGATGCAAGGTCATTTGGGCCAATTCTCCTGGAAGCATTTCGCCCACGAGCCATAGTTTGGACTTGCCTGATCTAGTGTATTCCGATTCCTGATCTAGTCCCTAAAGAGAAGTGAAACTGAGCGGAGGCACTAGGTGGCGCCAGCCCGGCTAGTAGTATGTAGGAATGGGCGATACATCAGTGATAGTAAATGGTATTGGCTGATATCGATGCAGATTTGTTGGTACTCATGAGTTAAAATAACATCAAAAGTTCGTCCTCAATGAATTTCTTTATTGTCGTTCAGATATTGTAAAAATAAACTGTATTCCTGGTCACATGCGGGTCCTCACCTTCAGCGTCGAGCAGTCGTGTGACTCCTAAAGACTCTGCGATCTCAAAGGCCTGCTCCAGGTTCTCTCTGTTACTCTGTCGCTCCACCAGCTTCATGTCGATCAGATCGGGCCTGAGCACAGAGGGGAGGGGTCAGGAGGGCTCACGCTGACAGAGCTCAGGGATACGTTCACCAGTTACAGCAGAACTGACATTTCAGAGCTTTTAACCATCTTATAAGAAAATAAAATTAGAGAACGTAAGTACAGAGCAATGAGATGTGCCTGTGGCGTCTTGAAAATAAGCGATTAAAGATTCCTCAAACACGCACGGATCACATCAAATACAACTTCGAGCACGTAAATGAGAAGGGGAAACAACAATAACATTTATAAAGTCTCTAATCAGTCCCTTTTGCGTAGACGGTCTGCTTTAAACAGTGTTCAGATACCGGTGCGTTTTATCTTGACATGAGCTAAAGCTTTGTGTATCTGCAGAAAGCATTAACATTTCTCTCATGTCTCTCTGCTCCACTGTCCTTGCGCCGCTGTTTATTTAAGCCTCTCTCTGATTCTTAAGTAGCTGCTACAGTCGCAGAACTTCAGACACTGAGGCAGAATAACGCTTTGTAAAGTCATATATCGCATGTTTCTAAAGGTATGAAGCATAATATACGAGTACAGTCAATCTGCAGTATTTAATCTGGGCTGATAAAACTAAAGACCTAAACAAACTGACATTGCCATAGAATTAATTTGAACATTTTCTTAGTTGTGCAGTGTAGTTGTGCTCATCAGCTGTTGCTCTAGTTTCTAAACAACATAAAAAGGCCATAAAAAGAAAATACAGAAAAAACTAAACTCTAGAAGAAATATTACGCTTGCTTCTGCTCTATAGTTATAATCTATGATACATGTGGATCATTGTGTTAATAAGTTGCATATTTAAAAAATGACAAATAAAATAAACAAGTCTTCATTCGTTCATTCGTTTTTCAATATAAAACCAAAGATAAGGAAAAAATAAATAATTAATTAAATATTTTCTTCATTATATGTCTCCAAAACCAAAATAAAAAAAAAAAAAAAAAAAACGGATAAGGATAACGATTTGTTTTTTAATTTAATTTTATTTAGATTTATTTGATTTCATTTGATTTCATTTCTATTTCATTTCATTTTATTTTATTTTATTTTGATTTCATTTTATTAAATTTTTTTTATTTTTATTATTTATTTTATTTGTTATTAATATTAGCAGTAGTATATTTGTTATCATTCTATTATTATTATATTGGATGACATTACTTGTATTTCTTGAGTGATTCGTTTTTGTTGGGTCACTTTATAAGTTACGTTTTATCTGCATAAAAATGAAAAATTGTGTGTGTACATGTGTTGTTTGAACGACATATCTATATCTGTTTGCACATGAATAAAAACATATGAAACCGGAAAAGATTAGTCAAAGAAGATTACCTTAATCAATCTAAATACAAATGGAAAGGGGAAACAGCTAAAATATGGTTAAAAGCTCTGAAAAGTCGATTTTTACAGAATAGGTCTTCTTTAATAAATGGGAAAAAATGTCATAATAGTAAATAAAAACATGTGTAGAGTATTTCCCAGCTGGTCTGTACCTGTATCGGTGCAGCAGAGCGTTGAACATTCGCCCATCGCTCCAGGATGAGCTGAAGTTGGAGCAGCGGAGCCCGGGGTATCCCTCTGTGGCCTTCTGAGTCCACAGCAGCAGCTTCTCTTTGGCCGTCAGGTCTCCAGACTCCCCGCTCACGTAGATCTCCGAAATCTGAAAACGAAAACACACGAGAGGTTTAATACACGAGGCAGACGAGGAAATATGTTTAAGGAGGATTTTGATGACAGGAGTGGATTTTGTGTAATATTAGGACCTTTAAAGTCAAATGTAATATTGAGATCAAACCATGAGGAAGGATTATTCACTAAAAAATTACAAAAAAAACATGAGGTACAATAAATAAATAGCAGTCATAGGAGTTCAAGATCAGCTCAGACCTTCTCATATTGCAAAACAAAGAAAGTACATGACAGAAGAGTCGTGTTTTGTGCCATTGAATCGGCGCGTCCACACTCGGCTTTAAATGGCCTTTCAATAATTTATTAGTTTGTGGGATTCTCGCTCACTCTGTCAATGCCTCCTTCTCCTCCTCTCCCTCTTTTCTTCTCTTTTTTTTTAGTCTACATCCCTCGTTTTTTCTTCTCTCTCTCTGTCCTGGCCACATTTTGCTTCTCTCATTTTCTCTCTCACTATCTCACTCTCTCTGTCTCCCTGTCCCTCTATCTGTCTCTTTCTCTTTGTCTGTCATTCTGCCCTTCTTTTCTTAGGTCTCTCTGCCCCTCTCTCTCTCTCCATTCCTCCCTCTCTCGCTCTCTCTTTCTCTCTCTCCATCCCACTTTCTCTCTCTGTCTCTCTTTCTCTCTCTCTGTGACTATATCTCTCTGTCCCTCTTTCTCTCTCTCTCTCTCTGTCCCTTTTTCTCTCTCTTTCTGCAACTGTCTTTCTCTGTTGCTCTCTCTCTCTCTTTCTGGGACTTTCTCTATTCCTCCCCCTCTCTTTCTGTCCCTCTGCTCCTCTTTCCTTTTTTTCTTCTCTCTCTCTGTCCCCCCTTTTCTCTCTCTGTGACTTTCTCTCTCTCTCTGCGACTATATCTCTCTGTCCCTCTTTCTCTCTCTCTCTCTCTCTCTATGTCCCTTTTTCTGTCTCTTTCTGCAACTGTCTTTCTCTGTTGCTCTTTCTCTCTCTTTCTGGGACTCTCTCTATTCCTCCCCCTCTCTTTCTGTCCCTCTGCTCCTCTTTCCCTTTTTTCTTCTCTCTCTCTCTCTCTCTCTGTCCTTCTTTTCTTCTCTCTCTCTGTGACTTTCTCTCTCTCTCTGTCCCGCTTTCTCTCTCTGTGTCTGTCCTTCTTTTCTTCTCTCTCTGTGACTCTCTCTCAGTCCCTCTTTCTCTCTCTCTCTGTTCCTCTCTCTCTGTGTCCTTTTCTTCTCTATGACTCTCTCTCTGTGTGTCCCTCTTTCTCTCTCTCTGTCCCTTTCGTCTCCCCTCCTAAACTCCCCCCCTCCTCCTCCTCCGCCCCTCCAGTCTGAAAATGTCTGCTCCGTTCGTCTCTCTCTTTCATCTCGTCTTCGTCAGATGTGGATCAGTCTGTTGTGGATCGTTCTGCTGTGGCCTCCCGCGTCTCCAATCGTAAAGTCATTTCTTTCAAAGCCATAATCACAGACCACTCCAGAGAGAGAGCTGCGTGAACCTGTCTGTAAAAACGTGGACTCGATTTGTATTTGTTTCCAACGGCAACGGTAAAACGATCCTCTCAAAATAACAAAAGATGTGTTTTGGATGGTCTTGCATCGACAAATAAAGCAATTAGGCCTCTGTGTTTACAAGAACGACTGCAAGATACACTGGAATTGAGATCGAAATTTTGAACGTCTCAATCAAATCACAAAAACGTGCAATTATTAAGTTGTTATCACGTCCACTGTACACGACGGGATTTAACAATATCCAGATCCAATATTTTCACAATATGCATTTCATGGTACGAAAGTCCTTTGCTTTGTCATAAACCAAAGAATTAAGTTTTAAAGGTGCTTAAAGCTCTAAATTAATAATATTGTCATGTGAAGTTGGCACTGAGACGGTGCAAAGGATCATGGTCTATGTAGTTCCCTCTGTTTTTTGCTGCATCAGAACTATTAATTGAATCAAAGACACTTTTAATTTGATACACTGTGATGGTCCACGATATTATTATCAGACTTTTGATTAGAGCTGGGTATCATTAAGAAGTTGCCGATACAATGCATACCTCGATATATCGGCCACGATACAATACGTCTTTCGATTCAGTAAGATTTGATACGATATATTTTAAGAGAGAAGAGTAGGGGTGGGATTAAATAAGTTTTCTTCTTCACACTCCTTTTTGGGCAAAATAATAATAAAAATAGTAAATTTTTTGTTGTTGTTATTTTCATTTCTATTGTGATTTCACTTATGTTATGTTCCATTGTGTATAAATGTGACTTGCCCAAAATAAATGCATACAATTTTAAATTAATTAAATTAAATCGATTCGATACGGATTATTGAAAAAAAAAAGGCTAAATCATGGCTCTGACACTAAAAGTCTACCACACCAGACAAGATCCACGGTGTAGACTGTGCAAAGAGGCTCCTGAGACAGTCCAGCACAGAACTGCAGGGTTTAAGATGCTGCAGGGAAAACATACATGGAGCGACAGAATCAAGTGGCGGGCAGAGTGTACAGAAACATCTGTGCAGAGTACGAGCTGGAGACCCCAGGGTCAAAGTGGGAAACACCTCCAAAGGTTGTGGAGAATGACCGAGCCAAGATCCTGTGGGACTTCCAGATACAGACTGACAGGATGGTGATGGACCAACCAGACATAGTGGTGGATAAGAAACAGAGCAGAGCCGTGGTGGTTGACATCGCAATACCAAGCGATAGTAATATCAGGAAAAAGGAACACGAGAAATAGAAAAATACCAGGGGCTCAAGGAGGAGTTGAAGAAAGCCTGGAAAGTGAAGGTATCTGTGGTGCTCGTGGTGATCGGAGCACTCGGGGCTGTAAAACTCAAACTGGAAGAGTGACTACAACAGATACTGGGAAAAACAACAGACATCTCAGTCCAGAAAAGTGCAGTACTGGGAACAGCAAAGATACTGCACAGAACTCTCAGGCTCCGAGGACCCGAGCTGGATGAGGGGAAGAGAGACCAGCCACTGTGGAGGGTGAGAAACACTTTTTTTTATATATATATCGCATAAATAACCCCTCTTTAAAGCTTTTTTTTTTAGAGATTTGAATACATGTTTATGGATATTGGAAGCATCAAGAGAGAAGTGACAACAGCACAGGGAGAACACGCAAACTGTGACAAAGCACAAATCCTTTTACGAGCCACTGACATTTAACCAAATCTATTTCCATCAAAACATAATGGATCTTATAATGTCTTTACGGTCCTATTCTCCAAAGCGATATTATAATAATGTAGGAGATTTATAGTGTCGCTGTAGAGAAAAATAAAACCACATGACATCCACTAAAGATCAAGGCTTTTATAGTGAAATATAAGGCCCCATACAACAGATAAACAGGCCTGAGAATAACAGGAAAACTCCAGGACGTGTTTACAAGCTGCAAGGAAACTGTGGACTTATTTAACCACGTATTAGACCGTTATAAGGGTGTGAAAAAGATGTGAAACAAGCCTAACAGGGAAAATTTGAAATAAAGCTAGAATTTTATGTTCATCTTACTCCAGTAGATGTTTGAGAACGAGTCTATAAACTTGTAGAAGTGGCTGGAAAATGTCAAAATAAGTTGTTTTCGAGATTAAATTCAAATGTCAAGTATGTTGGCAATGATAAGAAAACTGTTAAAAAGGAGCAAAAACAATGGACAAATATTAAATAAACTCGCAGTGAAATGGTGAAATCCAAAAATATAAACAGTAATATTACGACAATCAGCTTTAAGTTACATTTATGCAATGTTTAGATCCTATATTATACAAATATATTACACAAAATTGATTCTTGTGAGCTTTAAGACATGTTATAATGTTATCATCTCCTCAAAAACAAGCTTTATTATACTCTGTTCCATCTTGTGATGTCATGATGTGGTAGTTTTCAAGTGAACAGCTACAGGACTTTTTACCTTCACTGGAAAAAAAAACAATATCTAGGTAAGTTAAAATGACTTAAATGAAGAACATTTGACTTTATTTAAGTTGATTCAACCTGACAAGTAAAATTATCTACCAATGGAATAAGCAACATTAGAATTTGTTTCTTATTTTAAGTGTGAAAAAGTTGTTGTTTTTCTTATTTTAAGTGTAGCAAGATGTATTTTCATATTTTAAGTAAAAAAATGCCTCCGCTGAATTTCGTTTCTCTCCAGCCACTAGGTCAGGAATCAGAATACACTAGACTATTTGCAAAAACCCCCGAAGTGCGAGTTTGGGCACCAGCCAATCAGCGAAAATTGATATATTCAGTGTTGTCAACGATTCCCGGGATCGAGGATTTAAAGCCGGAATAAAGAGAATGTTTGGTGAATTTTATCAAGGGGAAAGACGTTATTGTCCTTCTTCCTACGGGATTTGGTGCATTACATACATCACAACCAAATAGCAGCGATTGTTAAATGGTAAAAAGTACCCGCTTACCGTCAAGCGAACAAAATCCTAAGCCTGCGAGGTCAGACGGTTTGTACGAAGTGAAATTTACTCAAAACCTTAATTCAAGTCATCTTAATTTGACTAGATTTTGTTTTTTGTAGTGTTTAATTCAGTAGAGATTGGTAATTCCAGGTCTGAAATCATCCAAATGATTCTAGTGAAGGTGTATGGAGGAGATTAAAAGCACAGTGGAGCACTTCCTGTATTACCACATGACATCACAAGGTGGAACAGGTGGAGTGTTTTGGCTTGAGAGAAGAACTCAGACAAAACATGCAGGATTTGTGTATGTTTTTGATGAGGAAATAGAAATATTAGATAGAAATAGATCGGAAAATAGCGTAAAATGAGCTCTTTAATGTCAAAAATGAAATAATCTCCATAACATTATAATTCTGTCATGTTAATTCTGTCAGTTTTGTCCATGAAACTGTCTCACTGTTGGGTCTTGGCTCTTGGTACTTTTGTAGTATTGGGGAGTATCCAGTTTTGTAGTCGTTAGTATTCTGTTACCGTCTCTCTCCTGCCCTGACTAATGGCCCAAAGCCCCTGCCCAT